AAACAACACATTACATAATAAACATGTTCAAGGAAAGAGACTCAAACTAAATAAACAAAACAATGTTTTAAAGCAATGTTAGAAAGATTACAATTATATCCATCAACATAATTCAGGTTTAAAGTGGTTATCAGTTGAACAGGTTGACAAATTCTGACCTGAGAGTTTCCAGTTTACAGTGTGGACTCTCCAGTCCAACAGAAAGCAGCTTCAGTCCTGAATCCTGCAGGTTGTTGTTACTCAGGTCCAGCTCTCTCAGACTAGAAGACTGGGAGCTGAGAACTGAAGAAAGAGCTTCACAGCTTCTCTCTGAGAGGTTACAGTCACTCAGTCTGTAGAGACAATGATCAACAATAAGAAAAATAACATTTGTGACCAGCACTTTATAACTTAGCCAAAACCAATAACACTTTAAATTAGTTCTGTAAAAGTGATATCAGCTAGTGAGGAGCTCCCAATGTTAGTGATATATAATGTCTTTATAATCGGTGGATTAGTGGAATAAGTGGAAAAGATAGCAGAGTATTTAAGTGATAATACAGAAATCCAACTCTGTCTGTACTTACAGAGCTTTGTTGGAGGCTTTGACCACTGGCAGCAGCCTCAGAAGAGCCTCCTCTGAAGCAGAGTATTTCTTCAGGTCAAACACGTCCAGATCTTTTTCTGATGACAGTAAGATGAAGACCAGAGCTGACCACTGAGCAGGAGACAGTTTATCTGTGGAGAGACTTCCTGAACTCAGGGACTGTTGGATCTCCTCCACTAGAGAACGATCATTCAGTTCATTCAGACAGTGGAACAGATTGATGCTTCTCTCTGCAGAGGGAGTCTCTTCGATCTTCTTCTTGATGTACTGGACTGTTTCCTGATTGGTCTGTGAGATCCTTCCTGTCTGTGTCAGCAGACCTTGTAGGAGATTCTGATTGGTCGGCAGTGAAAGACCCAGGAGGAAGCGGAGGAACAAGTCCAGGTGTCCTTGTTGACTCTCTAAGGCCTTGTCCACAGCACTCTGGTGGAGATATTTTAGTTTACGTTTGTCTTTGAAGACTTTAGACAACCGGGATGTTGTTTGTTGTTCTGCCAGCAGATTGACTCCAGAGATGATGAATGTCAGATGGACATGAAGAGCAGCCAGAAACTCCTGAACACTCAGATGGACGAAGCAGAAGACCTTGTCCTGGTACAGTCCTCTCTCCTCTTTAAAGATCTGTGTGAACACTCCTGAGTACACTGAGGCTGCTCTGATATCGATGCCACACTCTGTCAGGTCTGATTCATAGAAGATCAGGTTGCCTTTCTGCAGCTGCTCAAAAGCCAGTTTTCCCAGAGACTCGATCATCTTCCTGCTGTCTGGACTCCAGTGTGGATCTGTCTCAGCTCCTCCATCATACTTGATATTCTTCAGTTTGGACTGAACCACCAGGAAGTGGATGTACATCTCAGTCAGGGTCTTGGGCAGCTCTCCTCCCTCTTTGGTCTTCAACACATCCTCCAGAACTGTAGCAGTGATCCAGCAGAAGACTGGGATGTGGCACATGATGTGGACGCTTCGTGATGTTTTGATGTGGGAGATGATTCTACTGGCCTGCTTCTTGTGTCTGAATCTCTTCCTGAAGTACTCTTCCTTCTGTGGGTCAGTGAACCCTCTGACCTCTGTCACAATGTCAACACACCCAGGAGGGATCTGATTGGCTGCTGCAGGTCGTGTGGTTATCCAGAGGCGAGCAGAGGGAAGCAGTTTCCCCTTGATGAGGTTTGTCAGCAGCACATCCACTGAGGTGGACTCTGTAACATCAGTCAGGATCTCAGTGTTGTGGAAGTCCAGAGGAAGTCGACACTCATCCAGACCGTCAAAGATGAACACAACCTGGAACTCTTCAAACCTGCAGATTCCTGCTTCTTTGGTTTCAGTAAAGAAGTGATGAACAAGTTCCACCAAGCTGTACTTTTTCTCTTTCAGCACATTCAGCTCTCTGAAAGTGAATGGAAATGTGAACTGTATGTCCTGGTTGGCTTTGTCTTCAGCCCAGTCCAGAGTGAACTTCTGTGTTAAGACTGTTTTCCCGATGCCAGCCACTCCCTTTGTCATCACTGTTCTGATTGGTTCGATCTCTTCCAGGTGAGGGTTTAAAGATGTCTTCTTGTCTGATTGTTGTTTCTGGTCTTTGTGGTTTCCTGGATGCTGTTTCAATCTGTCTGACCTCATGTTCATCATTGACCTCTGCAGTCCCTCCCTCTGTGATGTAGAGCTCTGTGTAGATCTGGTTCAGAAGGGTTGGGTTTCCTGCTTTAGCAATCCCCTCAAACACACACTGGAACTTCTTCTTCAGGTTAGATTTAAGTTCACGCTGACAAACTCCAACGAGATGTTCTTAATGAAGACACAGAAAATATGATCATTAAGTGACTGATAAACAAAATATGACAATTTCATTCCCCTAAAGCAGAAACATTTTCAGCTCAGAAAGAAAATATCTATTTTGTTCTTCCTCACCGAGTGAGGTTTGAAAGAGAACATTTACATTTAGAAACTACTGAAACAGAAGTTAGCAACACATCAGCCAGAAGAAAAGGAGTGGTCTCTATTTGTATATTTAAATAAAATATTATTGTTTTTTTTTACTTTTAATAAAATTAATTATGGCATTGTTATGCACTTTAATTTGTGAGTTGTGACCAATTTTGGCTTTAAAGAACGAGTATGAGAATATATTTTGGTCCATCTGTTGAGACATCAGTAAATGTCTCATTTATCCAGCGAGTTCAATCTTTAGAGAAATCCTCTTACTGCTCTGCAGACGGTCAGCCAGCTCCTCCTGCTTCATTCTCCTCAGGAAGAGCAGTGTGATCTTCAGAAATGCCTCTCTGCTGCTCCTCCTCTGCTCTTCATCCTCACCATCCAACACCTCCTCATCCTCCCTCTGACTCTCTAAGCATTCTGGGTAATCTGAACTCAGACCCTTCTGGATCTTCTTCAGCTCGTTCTTCACAAAAGTGACAATGTTGTCCTCCAGCAGCTGGAACAGAATATTATATGAATGACTCAATCAAAGTCAAATCATGGAAGCAAACATCAGATCCATGTTGGACAGACTGACAATCCACTGGTCTAAAAAGTGCAGCATGGAGATTATTGTGAACACAATAGATGTAAAAGTAGTTGTTGTCCATGTACAGACCATAAATATGGAGTCCAGGTGTGTTTGATGCTGCTGGGCAGACTGACCACTGGGAACCTCTGAGCTCTCCTGGTCCACTCTGTGGAGGAATCATGAAGAATGAGCTCACATTATGTCTGTCCACACAGAGACAAACACAAGGTAAAGGTCCATGAAGTGATATTTGGATGTGAACAGTGAATCTGATGACTCCCTGTAGTGGTAAAGGTTTACTAGTCCTGCTGATCCCACTGAGAATCAACAGCTCAGTTTGGTTCAGTCCCAACAGCTCTCACCAACCCTCCATATACCCCCTCCCTACTGTACACTGCTGAAGTGCCGGAGCAAGGCACCTAGAGCCTCAGCTGCTCCAGTGGAGCTGCTCAGTGTCTGCTGTATCAGACTGGTTGTACTGGGCAGCTCCCAGTGTAATGTGTTTGATGTAGTGTGAGGCAGCTGCTGCGAAAGAGTGCCAGAGAACTTCATCTGAGTCAGTAAAGGTTTAAAAACTGGAGATCTCACAACTGAGAGTCTGATAAAAACACATCATTTAATTTTTTATTTGATCATCCCTCACCTTTGATCAACAGATTGGCGGCCATCTTTGAACCTTAAAACCATAGAGCATCACTCTTCATGGACACACAGCTGGGTTCAGGTTTTTCCTCCTGATAGAAAAACAGGATCAGTTCTGCACTGCACCCACAACACACTGAGACAGAACCTGCCAGTGACTGAATACACCGACTGTACACAGTGTATTTGTACCCAGGGAGTTCTTGGTTAGGATTTCTATAAAGTCAGTGTTTGATTTAGACATGTTTCACTGTGTATTTAAAGCTGTATTCAGTGCAGTGTGCAGTATAGGCGGGGAAATGATGGAGTGGAGTGACCATATCGGTCCAATTAGGATAAAAAGAGGAACAGACGTGGTGTCAAAGCAGTGAGTTTCTATAAACTGCTGCAACTATTTGTTCACTGTGAAACTGAGGCTGTTGTAAATTGACACAAACCATCACCGTCCATTAAAAGACATTTTAAAACATTCAAAAATAGAGATCTCACAACTGAGAGTCTGATAAAAACACATCATTTTATTTTCACCATCAGTTTGAAATCCTCACCTTTGATCAACAGAGTGGCGGCCATCTTTGAAGTCTATAAGAAGACCCTTAGAGAGATCACTCTTCATGGACACACAGCTGGGTTCAGGTTCAGGACAGTCTGGTCTCTGATGGATCCTGATAGAAAGAAATTCATTAAAGCTCACATATTCAGAAACATTGTCACTGAATCAAAGACTTTGTGAAATGATGTATAATTTGAAATGTTTGAATACAGGGCTGGACAATAAGAACAATGTCTTCAGTTACTGACATTATGGACGTGTTACTGAACACAATTTACTGATGTCACACACTTCAACACACTGTCTGAATTCCATATAATTAAAGTGAGAGCAGCTACAACATCTAACCAGAGAGCAATCAGCTCCCAGTCCAGTCCAGAAGAGCAGAATGTGGAACTGGTCAGACTGGATTGAATCAGGACAAACATCAGCAGTGAGCAACATGAGGAAGGAAATCTGCTCTGATTGATTCAAACACATGTTACTGTTACATTTCTCATTATGAAGCTGAATGTTTCTCCTGATACTGATTTGAGATCAGATTGTCCAGCCCTGTTTGAATACTGACAACTACGTACTTTAGCTCAGATAAATGTCTTTGTTTCAAATGGAGAATCAAAGCCTTTGTGACATGGAGAAGAGTCATGGACAGTTAGAGATCCTCATCTCACCTCTGAGCTTTGGTCCTTGTGTCATGTTCCCCACACAGAGTGCTTTTAGAGGGAGGGACTCCCTCCTCTCTGTCCTCACACTGATCCATAGCAGAGCCCACACCTTCACACAGACACAGCAACCTGCTGGGAGAGATCACACATTATTTCCCATTATTCCTCTCAGTCACATGACAAACACACACAGCTCTGATTGGAGGAAACGGCTCATTCAGCTCAATACTAAATCCACTCATCTGACAGTTTCCATGGCAGAGTAGAAATGTTGTTGGCACTTTGAGCTGCAGTATCTAAGAAATGACATTCACAATGCTCTTTAGTCTGTGGGGTTGGTTGAAGACTAGAGGAATACACTTCATGTTGCTGTTTCACTTCTATTTGACTGACTTTGAAAAGCTCCTCAACAGTTGAAATGTTGCTCTTTTTCCAAGTCTACTATATCCAGTCAGAGCATGCAGTGGCAGCTAGTCCAATAATCCAAAATCAATCCTGTTACCTTGGCAGCTGCTGCTGAATTCACATCCACATCAGCTCCCAGAGACTTTCTACCTTCATCTGTAGAGGAAACACTGAGAGCAGAGCTGAAAGCATCAGTCCAATCACTGATCAGCACTGAGAACTCATCATCACTCATTCATCCTTTACATCAGTGGTTCCCAACCTTTTTCTGTCACTGAGTAAACTGACGACCCCTGACTGAGGGACATATTTTATACATATTTCATATTATATCCAAAACTGTACAATCAACCCAAATATTGAACTCAGTAGCTGCAAGAAGTTGAAGTTGATTCTGATGAATTCTGAGCAGATTATTTCCTGTTTAGGGAACTTTTTATACAGTTTGTCTGTGTTATGTATCTTTTATCATTTTTAACAATCATAAATACTTAATATGCTTCTTTTTGGACAAATTCAGTGTTTTCTTGTCCCTGATGTTTGGTCATTGATCTATTAGACAGTTTACTTTACATTGACTTTTCTTCACAGAAGTGAACCAGATGCTGAGATATAGGCCGACCTACAGACCCCCCATGAAGCTTTGGTGACCACTAGTGGGGGTCCCCACCCTCAGGTTGGCAACCACTGATTTACATCATTTCTCCTGTAAAACTATCAGCTGCTTCTCCACTGATTGGCTGCTTCTCTCTGTTTCCTCTCAGTGTCAGTTGAATCCCTTTGTCTTGTTGGACTGTTGCTCAGACTAAAGAAGCAGTTAGAAAACATGACTGTGAACTCTGGGAACTACTGATGGCCTTTTCTCATCACTGTCACACATTGCAAACTAATCAATACATGGATCAATAGTGGTTTGTTATTGGCCAGAGGAGATGCTGCTTGTTCTCATTGGTCAGTGTTGAGGAAGAATGAGAGCAGAAAGCTGCCATCAGCTGCTCTACTTCTACTATCAGTCCACTAGATGGCCTCATGGAGCTGCATTTATCTGACAGCTTTACTTCCTGCTTACTTTTCAAACATGGGATCAGTTTATAAAATAGAATTCATTATTTTACATTCAAGCAGCCAAAAGTATTTGAAGTCGTTCATATTGGCTCCACCTGCAGCAACTCCAACATTAAAGTAGTGATTACATGTTAATGCATCAATAATAATCATCCACTAATATAATAATACAACACTGACAGAGGCCATTCTGTACACTGACTACTTTCACTTTACATACTTCAACTACATTGATAAGGTGAGCTCATAAAGACAGACAGAAATCATACAGTGAGTACTCTGAGTACTGTCAGTGAGTACTCTGATTACTTTGAACAGTGACACACTGACAGTAAGATGGAGGAAACTCTTCCTCCATGTTGGTTCTCAGTTGACTGTTAGTAGAGTTTTCTGCTCTTTCTACTGAACTAAACTAACAAGATGAACAAACAGTGAAAAGTGTCTCTTACTAACCTTCACATGGACAGAAGAAGAAGCTGCGACACGACGAGCTCACAAAGTGAAAGTTACCTGTGGACAGGGAGCGGCTGTGACGTCACGGTTGTCAGGGCAACGGCAGGAGTGGGGGATGGAAGTGAGGTAAGACTGAGGGAGTGTCTGCAGAGAGAGACTGGGAGCTTCCAGGTGAGGTTCCTCTGTTCCTCACAGCAGCAGGTTCAGCTGTGGGCGAGAACATCAACATGGCTCCGTTCCATTTAGCTACAGAACCGAATGGGTTGCAGCCGTTATCAGTTACACCTGTGAGTCCTTCCACTGATCACCTGCAGAGGTCAGCAAGTCACCTGAGACCGGAACTAATTAGACCCTGTTCAACCCGGTGTTTAAATAAAGTTTATACAAAAAAAACATGAAGATTAGCAAGAAATGATCATCAATATATGTATCAATGTATCAATGAATGAACTCTAAATGATTCATTAACAGACATAACTCTTCTTGTTCATTAGGGCTGCGATTAATGATCTTTTTCTTGATTCATTGATTCATTTGGTCCATAAAATGTTGATCATCGTTTCCTAAATGTCTCATTTTGTCCATAAAACAAAGATATTCAGTTTTTGAAGAAACTATAAAATATTCACATTTAAGAAGCTGAAATCAGAAAATTTTGGATTATTTTTTTCCTAAAAATCCATGAATAATATTTAATTATTTAATAGTTGGCAACAATCAATGAACTGATTCTCCACTGCAGCTCTATTGTTGAGGTAAATGTGGTTTGTTGTGTGTGAAACTTTAAAGATAAAACAGACTGAAGGAACGAGGAGACGACACAAAGAGATTTTTTAAAATATATTTTAAGAAAATACTGACAGATGCTGCTAACAGCTATATACAGAGAGTTTTTAACAACAGCAGATGAAGGAGAACAATATGCACGGGTCGACTGACGGTGACGGACGGACGCAGCGTCACAGGCTCCGCCCCCTCCCCGCTCTCACTTCTTGGACAACTTGGCCTGTTTGTTTTTAGGAGGCGCCCACTTCAAACACATAGTGTCCACTGTGGAGGAGACGAGACACAGCGTGAGCGAGACAACGGAGACAAAGACCTTTTATTGTTATTCAACGTGAATATTAAACTACACACACACACAAATATCCAACAGTTAACCCCGACCCACTGAGGGAACCCAATCCACACTGCAACTGGCCTTCAAACAGAGAAAATAAAGGAATTAAAGGAAGGAAAAAGAATCAAATCACCAATAAAACAAACATTCCCATACAGAGAGGGTCTGTGATCCAGTGTCTGATGGCTGATTGACTGGCATTAGTCTGGGAGAGACAATGAGGAGGCTGCAGCTGTCAAACTGACCCAGAGGAGGAGACACCATCACGACCCAGGGCATCATGGGAAACACCTGGTTTGGACGTTTTCCTAATTTTTCTGTGACTGTAGATTACAATGAAGGTTTAATCTGTGAAACACATCCTGTGTGCTTGATAATAATAATAATAATAAAGTTTATTTATGTATCCAAACGTGGTCTAAAAACTACAGGCAGCCTACAGATGATCTAACAGGAAGTAAACATTTAAAGGCTGCTGTTGTCCGACCATCTCCATCGAGCCTAACGACACATTGAACTCCAGTTTTCTTCCTCTTTATGGATGCAGGGTGGTGATGAAGAGTCTCAGCTGGTTTATCTTCGTCTCCAGCAGACTGACTTCACTTCACTACAGTTCTCCTCTCACACAGCCCACAAGAGATCAAACATTACCAGGACAACACACATTATCTCCAGGTGTTTCACTGACCTGTGATCGGCGGTTTCTTGTACTGGGCGCTCTTCAGATGCTCCTCCACCAGTTTGGGCGTCACACAGATAACGTGCTGGCCTTTCCAGTACTTCACCATGTTGAGCGACTGCAGCGTGCTGATGATGTCGCTCTGCGTGATGCTGGTCATCTGACTGCGGGGGGGAGGAGGAGGAGCTAATGTGAGCACCAATCAGAGCTACAGAACAGTGTGGACTAACTGGAGGATTGTGGTTATAAAGGAAGATGTCTGAGTGTCTACCTGAGGTCTTTGATGGACAGCGTTCCTCTGAAGTCCCTCAGGATCTCCAGCAGGACCCAGGACCAGTAACTTCTGTAGCTCAGCTTCCCCAGATCAGACAGAGGCTTCTCCGGAGAACCCACTGCACTCTCCAGCTTAGACAGCTCGTAACCTGAGATACACAGTCCAACAGTTTCACTTCAGATGGAGCGATGGCAGCGAGCAGGTTCATAATCTCTCTCCATAATCACACACACCCTTCCAATGTGTCTATTTAAACATTACAACATGAGCTGTCTGTTCATTTATGGAAAAACATTTGTGTAAAGTGAGCTGATGTTTTTGAATTTGAACAAGAGGTTGGCTCAATGTTCACCTCTGAATGTATTTAATCATTAGCTGTAGGGCGGCTGCACACACACACACACACACACACACACACACACACACACACTATTAGGCTGTCTCACTTACTAAAAGCTATGAGGAACTTCCCGTAGCCTCGGCGTTGGTAAGGCGGCAGCGTGAGAATACACGCCACATTGTTCCCATCAGGAGACTCTTTTTCCTGCAGGACAAAACAAAATGAAAGATTGAAGTTGTTAATGATTCCACTTTAAAGTTCTCTCCACATAAACTGTGTGATTCTGCTGAAGTCATTTGATTGAACTGTAACACGGTTCTGTTCTCCAACTGATCAATAGACAAACACATACAGGGATGTAAACAGAACTGTGTCCACACTGCAGCTTTAACACAGATCTAACATCAGAAACATCAGAGGAGAGTCTTTACTTTGGAGAAGTAGCCGACGATGTGCGCTCCCTGTTTGTTGACTTCAGTGAGGATGTAGAAGATGAAGGGCTCCACGTCAAAATAAAGCGTCTTGTGGTCCAGAAATAGTTTTGCTAGTAGACAAAGATTCTGACAGTAGATCTGCAAACAGAGACACAACAACGAAACTCACAACCATAAACATCACAAAGAAATCTCTGTTTACAGAAGCAACTGATTTCCTTTATTATTTAACAGTTTGTATCTCCAGGTGTGCTCACCTTGTGGTCCCGCCCGTCCACTTCATACACCGATATGTTGCTCCTTCTGTAGATTTCTTTGCCTGGAGGCTGCTTCCACTGACAGTGCGACTGAGGAGACAGCGATAAAAACGGGTGAAACAAACATCCCATAAATACGACTGAGTATAAGGGCCATACTAAGAGGAAAAATAAATAAATAAATACATTTTGGAAATTACGAGAATAAAGTCGTACTAATATGAAACAAAAGTCGTCTTAATGATAAAAAAGCTTCTATAGTTATCAAGATCTGACGTAAGCAACCAATCAGCAGCCTCAGTCTGAGCCCAGCAGCCTGTTTGTCTCAGTCGTACAGTCAACAGGTAAACTAACGTATTGATCATTTCATCGTTAAACAGTTTTACTGACTGAGCCAACAAACTGACAGTTCTCATAATATTACGACTTTATTCTCGTAATAAAAAAAAACATTCAACTGAACTAAATGAAACTTCTCTCCACTCTTAGACTCAAAGGACGGAGCAGCAGCTGTGACTGAACTGACCAGGTGATGTCTGAAGGTCTTCTCGTACTTCATGTATTTGAGGCAGTACTCGCAGATCCACAGCTTGGGCTGTTTGCCGTAGTCCTCGGGGAACGGCGAGAAGTACCAGGCGTCGATCTCAAAGTTTCCGATCTGGATCTTATCCACATATTTAACTTTGGTGATCTGAGGGAGAGACGGGGCGAGAGAGGATACGATGAATGTGGAGGACACGGCAGTGAGGGAGCTGAACCTGAAGAGCACAGAGTCCACTTACCGCCTCGTGCTCCTTCTCCAACGCCGCTGTCGTTGGGTCCATCTCCGCGTACGTCTGCGGAGGAAAACTCCTTTAGATAAACGTCCATAACACAGAGCGCCACCACAAACAGCGTGAGACACACTCACCTTCTGCACATGGTTGATCTCGTCGTGTTTGCGCTTCTGGTTTCGAGTGATCTTCCTTTCGGGCTGCTCGCCCAGATCACCGACGCCCCCGATCTCCGTGCTCTTCCTCACCGCATCCTTCACTGTCTTGGTAAGCGCCAGGCGGGCCTTTCCCACCCACTCATCTAGCCGTCGGTTGACTGCACGCCACAAAAAATAAGAAAAAGGAGATGGAGATCACAGTAAAGCAGCAGGTGAGAGGGACAGATGTGTGAATATCTGAACATGTCAACATCTGGTGGTGAACTCACATCCGACGTAGTGCACGTAGAACTCCTCTCTGCCCTCCTGTTCGTTCAGTCGGGACTGAATAACCTCCGCTGTATCTGAAAGGGGAACAGGGTCCATTAGGTTTGTCCAATACGGCTACCATTTTTTTCAAAATAATGCTCCATCTGACTGGAATAATCTTCTACTTTCTGTTTCTGTTTTTAATTTTTGTTGACTTAATAATCTTCAGTACTCTTGTTTCGTTGCTGTTTCTAAGGTGAGCAAGGTGTGTGTACCTGTGTATGTGCAGTGAATGTCTGTTATGTAACGCTGTTTCTGTTCATATATGTTGGGTTTAGTATTTGTGTCTTTAGGACAAACTCGAAAATGTGATGCTGCAATTCAAACGCAAGCTCAGCATCATCTTCTGCTGTCCTCACCAAACTCCATTCAGATTTCTACCACTTTAAAACCTCCTTCCTCAGGAGCAAACATACTTACTGTAATTTCAACCTGAGAAAACGTGTCTTGAAATGAACTGAACTATTATTCAATTCGGCGATCACATAATCCTCCAAACTGCAACGTTGGGCGATTCACTGCAGTGAAATATCAACTTTTATAACAGCCTGGCCTGTTTGTTTATATTGTTATAGTTTGATCATCTCCGCCGAATGTCCCAGAAAGCCCCAATGACCATTGCTAAAACACAGGCCGTATTCAACACGCACGTATTTAAAATAATCAATAAAAAACGTAAAATATTGAATGGAGTTTGGTGAGAATGTCTCCAAACAGAAGAGCAGCCTGCCGTTAACCCGCTGACTGAAACATGGTGAACAGAGGAGTCACTCACGCCATGTCTTGTCGGCTCTTTGACACAAATACGTCTCTCCAATTTCCACCGACACCTCTTGCTCCCTGCCGCCGCAAAACACGCCTCCGTCCGGCGTGTGGTGACTACTACAGCCCCCGGCTTCTCTCGAACGTCCAACGGCCTCCGCCTCGTCGTCCTCCCCGCCACTGCCGTTAGAGGAGCACGCCGCCGGGATACTACCGTCCAGCTCCCCCCGCTCGCTCTCCATATGACCAGAATCCATGTCCACGTCCATTCTGGGATCAGAGTCCTTGCTGTTACTGTAGTTCTTGTGAAACTCGCTCCCGCCAGTCATCACCTCGGCCGTTTTGAAAACAACAACACGCCTGTGCGACCCTGCGCAGATACTTCAGAGGGGCAGGTCTCCTAACAACAAATACAACAGCCAAGATGGCGCCGGTGGAACGTTGCGTAGGTTCCGCCTCTCTTCCTCCCGGCATGCGCCTGCGTCAACGTTCAACAACTACAGCTCCCATAAGTCCTAGCGGTTTTTATCTGGATTCATATTTTAGGGGTTAAGATGAAAGAAATATGTGTTTTTTTCACACTTTATGCACATTGTGAATGTGTAGGTTACAAATAAAACACATTTTAAAACACATATTTATTAATATAATTACAGAGCCCCCCTGGTGACATTGGATAAAAAAAAAAATAACGCCTGGCCACAAGATAATTATTGTAGTCATTTCCATGCAGAGACTGTTGATTGTTAACATGGACAAGTTTGAATTAATTTTATTTTATTTTAATATAGGACTGAATTACAATGACACTCTTCAGTCACTAGCGGTTAGGCATGGAGCAATTCTTAGCAAGAGACACTTAAATCGGCTGCTCAAAATGCTTGGACTTTAATAATGTCAAAGCAAAACTGTCCAAATGGATCCAACACTGTATAAAATGAAGGATTAGTTAAATCCAGCTTCATTCTCCACTTTGTATTGTTCACTTCTACTTCCATACATCACTGACTGTGTGCTCGTTTGGGGAAACTCATATCAAACAAACACTAATCAGATTTTTACATTTGAACAGAGAGACATAAGAAGTGTAAACCAAACTACTGATCAAGAACCAACTCAGCTGTTTGTTCAATGAAAGGCTGTGGGATTCATAGAGTTGGTGGATTTTCAACCAGCACAGATCAGGTATAAAGTCAGAAACTAATGACGAGCTGAAAGAGTCCAAAAGTTGTTTGAAATGAGAGAAAGTCCAAATGATTTGAGAGGAATCTGCAGCTTTAAGGACTGATGTCAGAGGTGAACTTGTGGAGCAGCTGTAGTGAGGAAATCAATTATTCTATAAAGAATCATTTCATCAACAAATATAAAAGTGATCAAACTGACAATAATTCAATTCAATTCAATTCTATTTGAAAAGTATGTGTTTAGATGAGTGTGATCAGTTCGCCTCGCTGTTGGTTGCACACCATTGTGTTAGAGTGTCTGTACTTTCTAGTGTTGCCTGGCTGTTATCTGAGTGGATTCAACCAGTGCCTTTTTAATCTTTTGTGACCTTTTAAGTTGCTCAATAACTGCTAGTTTGTTTTTTGTTCACTAGTTTGTACGCTTATGGGTGCTGATCTCTTTTTGTTCTTTAGTGTGATTCAGTCATTTTCATTTTGTGTACTAGTTATTTGTCAGCACCTGTACAGCCTCTCTTTTGTTATATTTCATTGTGCAAGCACACTCTCTGTAGTTAATTAAACACCTGATTAGAACTTGAACCTGTCAATTGTCTCATTCCATCTCTTTTCCAATTCCAATTCTATGTTACTGCTCTCCAAATGGAGCCGGGTCGTAACAATCACATCATACACCTTCATCTCCATAATAACAAATGTGCTTACACAAGCAGAACAACATACACAACTCTCCTGTACATGTGTAACAATAATAATGACATTTAAACCAACAGAAATACATATTAACCATAATAATAGGTTAACTGGTCCAATGGCTCCATCTACTGCTGTTAGCTCACTGGACACTCAAACCACTCAGTCATCAGCATTCACATTATGCTCATAAACAATGTGTTTTGTTGGGGTTTGTGGGTTCTTCAATAACAACACACTGGTTCCTTAAAGAGACAGAACTTTACTGTATCAAAGGCGTGAGCTTCATTCATGTTACAAGTACTACCGCTTCCGGCCCCCTGCTGTCTGCACATGATAAGATCTACAAAATGTGTTCTTATCATTACACAATGTTAAACCACGAACATCTGTTACCTATCGGCGGAAGAGCACACATGAGATTTAACGACGTGCGTCGTAATTAACACGATATACAAACGACACTCACTTCGTGCATCCGCTTAACACTCGGAGTAGCACAATAAAACACAATCCAAACAACAACAACCTTAGTTAAATACATTTGAAAAATACTGAAAGTCCCCACATGTGTGTCAAGGTGTAAAGGCAGAAAAGAAAAAAGTCCCTGACTCGACTCCAAAACGCACCTTCAAAATAAAAGCCTTTAGTACAATGACATTAAACTGAATATCTTTGTTTTATGGACAAAATGAGACATTTAGGAAACGATGATCAACATTTTATGGACCAAATGAATCAATGAATCAAGAAAAAGATCATTAATCGCAGCCCTAATGAACAAGAAGAGTTATGTCTGTTAATGAATCATTTAGAGTTCATTCATTGATACATTGATACATATATTGATGATCATTTCTTGCTAATCTTCATGTTTTTTTTGTATAAACTTTATTTAAACACCGGGTTGAACAGGGTCTAATTAGTTCCGGTCTCAGGTGACTTGCTGACCTCTGCAGGTGATCAGTGGAAGGACTCACAGGTGTAACTGATAACGGCTGCAACCCATTCGGTTCTGTAGCTAAATGGAACGGAGCCATGTTGATGTTCTCGCCCACAGCTGAACCTGCTGCTGTGAGGAACAGAGGAACCTCACCTGGAAGCTCCCAGTCTCTCTCTGCAGACACTCCCTCAGTCTTACCTCACTTCCATCCCCCACTCCTGCCGTTGCCCTGACAACCGTGACGTCACAGCCACTCCCTGTCCACAGGTAACTTTCACTTTGTGAGCTCGTCGTGTCGCAGCTTCTTCTTCTGTCCATGTGAAGGTTAGTAAGAGACACTTTTCACTGTTTGTTCATCTTGTTAGTTTAGTTCAGTAGAAAGAGCAGAAAACTCTACTAACAGTCAACTGAGAACCAACATGGAGGAAGAGTTTCCTCCATCTTACTGTCAGTGTGTCACTGTTCAAAGTAATCAGAGTACTCACTGACAGTACTCAGAGTACTCACTGTATGATTTCTGTCTGTCTTTATGAGCTCACCTTATCAATGTAGTTGAAGTATGTAAAGTGAAAGTAGTCAGTGTACAGAATGGCCTCTGTCAGTGTTGTATTATTATATTAGTGGATGATTATTATTGATGCATTAACATGTAATCACTACTTTAATGTTGGAGTTGCTGCAGGTGGAGCCAATATGAACTACTTCAAATACTTTTGGCTGCTTCAATGTAAAATAATGAACTCTATTTTATAAACTGATCCCATGTTTGAAAAGTAAGCAGGAAGTAAAGCTGTCAGATAAATGCAGCTCCATGAGGCCATCTAGTGGACTGATAGTAGAAGTAGAGCAGCTGATGGCAGCTTTCTGCTCTCATTCTTCCTCAACACTGACCAATGAGAACAAGCAGCATCTCCTCTGGCCAATAACTAACCACTATTGATCCATGTATTGATTAGTTTGCAATGTGTGACAGTGATGAGAAAAGGCCATCAGTAGTTCCCAGAGTTCACAGTCATGTTTTCTAACTGCTTCTTTAGTCTGAGCAACAGTCCAACAAGACAAAGGGATTCAACTGACACTGAGAGGAAACAGAGAGAAGCAGCCAATCAGTGGAGAAGCAGCTGATAGTTTTACAGGAGAAATGATGTAAATCAGTGGTTTCCAACCTGAGGGTCGGGACCCCCACTAGTGGTCACCAAAGCTTCATGGGGGGTCTGTAGGTCGGCCTGTATCTCAGCATCTGGTTCACTTCTGTGAAGAAAAGTCAATGTAAAGTAAACTGTCTAATAGATCGATGACAGATAATGAAGATGAATAGATCAGGGACAAGAAAACAGTGAATTTGTCCAAAAAGAAGCATATTAAGTATTTATGATTGTTAAAAATGATAAAAGATACATAACACAGACAAACTGTATAAAAAGTTCCCTAAACAGGAAATAATCTGCTCAGAATTCATCAGAATGAGTTCAATATTTGGGTTGATTGTACAGTTTTGGATATAATATGAAATATGTATAAAGTATGTCCCTCAGTCAGGGGTCGTCAGTTTACTCAGTGATAGAAAAAGGTTGGGAACCACTGATGTAAAGGATGAATGAGTGATGATGAGTTCTCAGTGCTGATCAGTGATTGGACTGATGCTTTCAGCTCTGCTCTCAGTGTTTCCTCTACAGATGAAGGTAGAAAGTCTCTGGGAGCTGATGTGGATGTGAATTCAGCAGCAGCTGCCAAGGTAACAGGATTGATTTTGGATTATTGGACTAGCTGCCACTGCATGCTCTGACTGGATATAGTAGACTTGGAAAAAGAGCAACATTTCAACTGTTGAGGAGCTTTTCAAAGTCAGTCAAATAGAAGTGAAACAGCAACATGAAGTGTATTCCTCTAGTCTTCAACCAACCCCACAGACTAAAGAGCATTGTGAATGTCATTTCTTAGATACTGCAGCTCAAAGTGCCAACAACATTTCTACTCTGCCATGGAAACTGTCAGATGAGTGGATTTAGTATTGAGCTGAATGAGCCGTTTCCTCCAATCAGAGCTGTGTGTGTTTGTCATGTGACTGAGAGGAATGATGGGAAATAATGTGTGATCTCTCCCAACAGGTTGCTGTGTCTGTGTGAAGGTGTGGGCTCTGTTATGGATCAGTGTGAGGACAGAGAGGAGGGGGTCCCTCCCTCTAAAAAACAAAAGTGTGGGGAACATGACACAAGGACCAAAGCTCAGAGGTGAGATGAGGATCTCTAACTGTCCATGACTCTTCTCCATGTCACAAAGGCTTTGATTCTCCATTTGAAACAAAGACATTTATCTGAGCTATAGTACGTAGTTGTCAGTATTCAAACAGGGCTGGACAATCTGATCTCAAATCAGTATCAGGAGAAACATTCAGCTTCATAATGAGAAATGTAACAGTAACATGTGTTTGAATCAATCAGAGCAGATTTCCTTCCTCATGTTGCTCACTGCTGATGTTTGTCCTGATTCATTCCAGTCTGACCAGTTCCACATTCTGCTCTTCTGGACTGGACTGGGAGCTGATTGCTCGCTGGTTAGATGTTGTAGCTGCTCTCACTTTAATTATATGGAATTCAGACAGTGTGTTGAAGTGTGTGACATCAGTAAATTGTGTTCAGTAACACGTCCATAATGTCAGTAACTGAAGACATTGTTCTTATTGTCCAGCCCTGTATTCAAACATTTCAAATTATACATCATTTCACAAAGTCTTTGATTCAGTGAGAATGTTTCTGAATATGTGAGCTTTAATGAATTTCTTTCTATCAGGATCCATCAGAGACCAGACTGTCCTGAACCTGAACCCAGCTGTGTGTCCATCAAGAGTGATGACTCAAAGGTTCTTCCTATAAACTTCAAAGATGGCCGCCACTCTGTTGATCAAAGGTGAGGATTTCAAACTGATGGTGAAAATAAAATGATGTGTTTTTATCAGACTGTCAGTTGTGAGATCTCTTTTTTTGAATGTTTTAAAATGTCTTTTAATGGACGGTGATGGTTTGTGTCAATTTACAACAGCCTCAGTTTCACAGTGAACAAATAGTTGCAGCAGTTTATAGAAACTCACTGCTTTGACACCTCGTCTGTTCCTCTTTTTATCCTATTTGGACCGATATGGTCAATCCACTCCATAATTTCCCCACCTATACTGCACACTGCACTGAATACAGCTTTAAATACACAGTGAAACATGTCTAAATCAAACACTGACTTTATAGAAATCCTAACCAAGAACTCCCTGGGTACAAATACACTGTGTACAGTCGGTGTATTCAGTCACTGGCAGGTTCTGTCTCAGTGTGTTGTGGGTGCAGTGCAGAACTGATCCTGTTTTTCTATCAGGAGGAAAAAACCTGAACCCAGCTGTGTGTCCATGAAGAGTGATCTCTCTATGGATCTTCCTTTAGAGTTCAAAGATGGCCGCCACTCTGTTGATCAAAGGTGAGGATTTCAGACGGATGATGAAATAAAAAAATAAAATGATGTCTTTTTATCAGACTCTCAGTTATGAGATCTCCAGTTTTTCAACCTTTACTGACTCAGATGAAGTTCTCTGAGCACTCTTTCAGCAGCAGCTGCCTCACACTTACACAGTCAAACACATTCACACTGGGAGCTGCCCAGTACAACCAGTCTGATACAAGCAGACACTGAGCAGCTCCACTGGAGCAGCTGGAGGCTCTAGGTGCCTTGCTCCAGGGCACTTCAGCAGTGTACAGTGAGGGAGGGAGAGCTATATGGAGGGGTTGGTGAGAGCTGTTGGGACTGAACCAAACTGAGCTGTTGATTCTCAGTGGGATCAGCAGGACTAGTAAACCTTTACCACTACAGGGAGTCATCAGATTCACTGTTCACATCCAAATATCACTTCATGGACCTTTACCTTGTGTTTGTCTCTGTGTGGACAGACATAATGTGAGCTCATTCTTCATGATTCCTCCACAGAGTGGACCAGGAGAGCTCAGAGGTTCCCAGTGGTCAGTCTGCCCAGCAGCATCAAACACACCTGGACTCCATATTTATGGTCTGTACATGGACAACAACTACTTTTACATCTATTGTGTTCACAATAATCTCCATGCTGCACTTTTTAGACCAGTGGATTGTCAGTCTGTCCAACATGGATCTGATGTTTGCTTCCATGATTTGACTTTGATTGAGTCATTCATATAATATTCTGTTCCAGCTGCTGGAGGACAACATTGTCACTTTTGTGAAGAACGAGCTGAAGAAGATCCAGAAGGTTCGGAGTTCAGATTACCCAGAATGCTTAGAGAGTCAGAGGGAGGATGAGGAGGTGTTGGATGGTGAGGATGAAGAGCAGAGGAGGAGCATCAGAGAGGCATTTCTGAAGATCACACTGCTCTTCCTGAGGAGAATGAAGCAGGAGGAGCTGGCTGACTGTCTGCAGAGCAGTAAGAGGATTTCTCTAAAGATTGAACTCGCTGGATAAATGAGACATTTACTGATGTCTCAACAGATGGACCAAAATATATTCTCATACTCGTTCTTTAAAGCCAAAATTGGTCACAACTCACAAATTAAAATGCATACCAATGCCATGATAATTGATTTTATTAAAAATAAAAACAAATTTTTTTTTTATTTAAATATACAAATAGAGACCACTCCTTTTCTTCTGGCTGATGTGTTGCTAACTTCTGTTTCAGTAGTTTCTAAATGTAAATGTTCTCTTTCAAACCTCACTCGGTGAGGAAGAACAAAATAGATATTTTCTATCTGAGCTGAAAATGTTTCTGCTTTAGGGGAATGAAATTGTCATATTTTGTTTATCAATCACTTAATGATCATATTTTCTGTCTTCATTAAGAACATCTCGTTGGAGTTTGTCAGCGTGAACTTAAATCTAACCTGAAGAAGAAGTTCCAGTGTGTGTTTGAGGGGATTGCTAAAGCAGGAAACCCAACCCTTCTGAACCAGATCTACACAGAGCTCTACATCACAGAGGGAGGGACTGCAGAGGTCAATGATGAACATGAGGTCAGACAGATTGAAACAGCATCCAGGAAACCAAACAGACCAGAAACAACAATCAGACAAGAAGACATCTTTAAACCCTCACCTGGAAGAGATGAACCAATCAGAACAGTGATGACAAAGGGAGTGGCTGGCATCGGGAAAACAGTCTTAACACAGAAGTTCACTCTGGACTGGGCTGAAGACAAAGCCAACCAGGACCTACAGTTCACATTTCCATTCACTTTCAGAGAGCTGAATGTGCTGAAAGAGAAAAAGTACAGCTTGGTGGAACTTGTTCATCACTTCTTTACTGAAACCAAAGAAGCAGGAATCTGCAGGTTTGAAGAGTTCCGGGTTGTGTTCATCTTTGACGGTCTGGATGAGTGTCGACTTCCTCTGGACTTCCACAACACTGAGATCCTGACTGATGTTACAGAGTCCACCTCAGTGGATGTGCTGCTGACAAACCTCATCAGGGGGAACCTGCTTCCCTCTGCTCGCCTCTGGATAACCACACGACCTGCAGCAGCCAATCAGATTCCTCCTGAGTGTGTTGACATGGTGACAGAGGTCAGAGGGTTCACTGACCCACAGAAGGAGGAGTACTTCAGGAAGAGATTCAGAGATGAAGAGCAGGCCAACAGAATCATCTCCCACATCAAAACATCACGAAGCGTCCACATCATGTGCCACATCCCAGTCTTCTGCTGGATCACTGCTACAGTTCTGGAGGATGTGTTGAAGACCAGAAAGAGAGGAGAGCTGCCCAAGACCCTGACTGAGATGTACATCCACTTCCTGGTGGTTCAGTCCAAACTGAAGAATATCAAGTATGATGGAGGAGCTGAGACAGATCCACACTGGAGTCCAAACAGCAGGAAGATGATCGAGTCTCTGGGAAAACTGGCTTTTGAGCAGCTGCAGAAAGGCAACCTGATCTTCTATGAATCAGACCTGACAGAGTGTGGCATCGATATCAGAGCAGCCTCAGTGTACTCAGGAGTGTTCACACAGATCTTTAAAGAGGAGAGTGGACTGTACCAGGACAAGGTCTTCTGCTTCGTCCATCTGAGTGTTCAGGAGTTTCTGGCTGCTCTTCATGTCCATCTGACATTCATCATCTCTGGAGTCAATCTGCTGGCAGAACAACAAACAACACCCAGGTCTAAAGTCTTCAAAGACAAACGTAAACTAAAATATTTCCACCAGAGTGCTGTGGACAAGGCCTTAGAGAGTCAACAAGGACACCTGGACTTGTTTCTCCGCTTCCTCCTTGGTCTTTCACTGCCGACCAATCAGAATCTCCTACAAGGTCTGCTGACACAGACAGGAAGTAGCTCACAGACCAATCAGGAAACAGTCCAGTACATCAAGAAGAAGATCGAAGAGACTCCCTCTGCAGAGAGAAGCATCAATCTGTTCCACTGTCTGAATGAACTGAATGATCGTTCTCTAGTGGAGGAGATCCAACAGTCCCTGAGTTCAGGAAGTCTCTCCACAGATAAACTGTCTCCTGCTCAGTGGTCAGCTCTGGGCTTCATCTTACTGTCATCAGAAAAAGATCTGGAAGTGTTTGACCTGAAGAAATACTCTGCTTCAGAGGAGGCTCTTCTGAGGCTGCTGCCAGTGGTCAAAGCGTCCAACAAAGCTCTGTAAGTACAGAAATAGTTGGATTTCTGTATTATCACTTAAATACTCTGCTATCTTTTCCACTTATTCCACTAATCCACCGATTATTAAGACATTATATATCACTAACATTGGGAGCTCCTCACTAGCTGATATAATTTTTACAGAACTAATTTAAAGTGTTATTGGTTTTGGCTGAGTTATAAAGTGCTGGTCACAAATGTTATTTTTCTTATTGTTGATCATTGTCTCTACAGACTGGGTGGATGTAGCCTCTCAGAGAGAATCTGTGAACCTCTTTCTTCAGTTCTCAGCTCCCAGTCTTCTAGTCTGAGAGAGCTGGACCTGAGTAACAACAACCTGCAGGATTCAGGACTGAAGCTGCTTTCTGTTGGACTGGAGAGTCCACACTGTAAACTGGAAACTCTCAGGTCAGAATTTGTCAACCTGTTCAACAGATAACCACTTTAAACCTGAATTATGTTGATGGATATAATTGTAATCTTTCTAACATTGCTTTAAAACATTGTTTTGTTTATTTAGTTTGAGTTTCTTTCCTTGAACATGTTTATTATGTAATGTGTTGTTTTGTGTGTTTGCAGGCTGTCAGGCTGTCTGATCACAGAGGAAGGCTGTGCTTCTCTGGCATCAGCTCTGAACTCCAACTCCTCCCATCTGAGAGAGCTGGACCTGAGTGACAACAACCTGCAGGATTCAGGACTGAAGCTGCTTTCTGTTGGACTGGAGAGTCCACACTGTAAACTGGAAACTCTCAGGTCAGAATTTGTCAACTGATAACAACTTTAAACCTGAATTATGTTTATGGATATAATTGTAATCTTTCTAAAGTTGCTTTAAAACAGCGGTCCCCAACCTTTTTTGCGCCACAGACCGGTTTCACGTAAGACAATATTTTCACGGACCGGCCTTCAAGGTGTAGACGATAAATACGACGAAATAAAATCATACGACCAGCATAAAAACAAATATAAAGTGCATACAAATACAACTCACCATTACCCTGAATTAGTGGGAGCCCTGAGCTTGTTTCTCCGCAACGAGCTGGTCCAATCTACAGGTAATGGGAGACAATGACACCCAAAGTGTGTTCCTTATGTACAGTCTATTCAGTGATTTTGTTTTAGCCGCTGTCACTGCAGAAACAACGCGCTTCACAAAGATAGGATGTTGGAAAGGGAAACAGGGTTTTCAGTGCTTTTGTAGCGATCTCAGGACGTCTCAGACGTTTGTTTTTTACTCTTTTTTTGCTAGCTTAAAGGCTTAACTGGGGTAACTGTCCTGTGACCGAGACGAGCGTCTTGACCTGTGTCAAGAGGCACAGACGTACAGACGGATGTAATTGGGAGAGAATCCGGTCATTTTTCAAAATAAAATATCTTTCAGACTCTGATCATCAATAAGATATTTATTTATTTATTTTTCTGTGCCGCCCGGTACTAAATGACCCACGGCCCGGTACTGGTCCGCGGACTGGTGGTTGGGGACCGCTGCTTTAAAACATTGTTTTGTTTATTTAGTTTGAGTCTCTTTCCTTGAACACGTTCATGTAATGTGTTGTTTTGTGTGTTTGCAGACTGTCAGGCTGTCTGATTACAGAGGAAGGTTGTTCTTCTCTGGTCTCAGCTCTGAGCTCCAACCCCTCCCATCTGAGAGAGCTGGACCTGAGTGACAACAACCTGCAGGATTCAGGACTGAAGCTGCTTTCTGTTGGACTGGAGAGTCCACACTGGAAACTGGAAACTCTCAGGTCAGAATTTGTCAACCTGTTCAACTGATAACCACTTTAAACCTGAATTATGTTGATGGATATAATTGTAATCTTTCTAACAGTGCTTTATACGGAAGCCAAGAACAGCCATGGATTTTTCTTGTGATAACGACTTATTAATTTGTTATCTCGATATAACTAATTAATTCATAATGTGTTCGTCTTGATTTCAACCTACAAGAGCTGCCACGAACGGCTTCCAGTCAAGTAAACAAACTAACTTAAAGTGTAACTTACCGGTCAGCTACAGCTACAGCCAGTGGCTCCTGAGGTTGAAATAACAAATTAATTATTTTGTTATCTCGACATAACAAAGATCGTTTTCTCGTTATAACGAATTAATTAATAATGTGTTCGTCTTGACTTCAAACTAATACGCTGCCACGAACGGCTTCCGTAACTTTGTGGCAGCGCATTAGTATGAAGTCAAGACAAACACATTATGAATTAATTTGTTATCACGAGAAAACGATCTTTGTTATGTCACAATAACGAATTAATAAGTCGTTATCACAAGATAACAGTGCATAAAAATAAAAAAAAATCCATGGCCGTTCTCGGCTTCCGTAGCTTTAAAACATTGTTTTGTTTATTTAGTTTGAGTCTCTTTCCTTGAACATGTTTATTATGTAATGTGTTGTTTTGTGTGTTTGCAGACTGTCAGGTTGTCTGATCACAGAGGAAGGCTGTGCTGCTCTGGTCTCAGCTCTGAGCTCCAACCCCTCCCATCTGAGAGAGCTGGACCTGAGCTACAATCATCCAGGAGACTCAGCAACAAAGCTGTCTGCTGGGCTGGAGGATCCACACTGGAGACTGGACACTCTCAGGTATGAGGCGGATCACGGCCGCAGGTTTATGGGCTCATATCATAAATAGTTCGGGATATTTTGATGAATGTCATCTGCCATCAGTCTTTTAGTCCAGAAAAACTAAAGGCGTTTTGCCTAATGGCTTATAATAATGATGAAGCTTGGTAACTGAAGGCTCTGGCTCCTGTTCTACATTTAGAGACTATAGTTACCACAAGTAGCCCAGCATTCAGAGAACGTAGTGTTCTAGTGGGGTAATAGGGTACTATGAGCTCTTTAAGATATGAAGGGGCCTGACCATGAAGAGCTTTGTAGGTGAGGAGGAGGATTTTAAATTCTCTTCTAAATTTTACAGGGAGCCAATGCAGAGAAGCTAGTAGAGGAGAGATGTGATCTCTTTTTCTAGTTCCTCAGTACTCGTGCTGCAGCGTTGTGAATGAATTAATTTCATCGGGCTTGATCGATAGATATAACTGTGTATCATCTGCATAACAGTGAAAGTTAATGGAGTGATTCCTAATAATGTTGCCTAAAGGGAATCATATATAAAGTAAATAATATTGGTCCAAGTACAGAACCATGTGGAACTCCATGACTAACTGTAGTATTTATTGAAGATTCATCGTTAACATGTACAAACTGCGAACGATCTGATAAATATGACTTAAACCAGCTTAGGCGGTTCCTTTAATGTCAATTTGATGCTCAAGTCTCTGTAAAAGAATATCATGGTCAATGGTGTCAAATGCAGCACTAAGATCTAATAATACAAGTACAGAGACAAGTCTATTGTCAGAAGCAATCAGAAGGTATTAACTTTAACCAGAGCTGTCTCTGTGCTGTGATGAACTCTAAATCGAAAATCCTCAAATAAGCTGTTGCTATGTAGAAAGTCACACAACTCTTTGGCGACTACTTTCTCCAGAATCTTAGAGAGGAAGGGGAGGTTAGAAATCGGTCTATAGTTGGCTAAAACCCCTGGGTAAAGAGTGGACTTTTTAAGAAGGGGTTTAATTACAGCTACTTTAAAGGACTGTGGTACATATCCTGATAATAAAGAGAGATTAATCATATCCAGTAAAGAAGTGCCAATTAAGGGAACAACTTCTTTAAGCAGCCTAGTTGGGATCGGGTCCAACAGACAGGTTGATGGCTTCGATGTAGAAATTATTGAAGTTAACTGATGAAGATCGATAACAGAAAAACAGTCTAAATATATATTTGACTTTTTATTAATTAAAGTTCCTGAACTTGGAGAGCCAGTGATACCTGTTGAGGGCATTTGGTTATTAATTTTGTCTCTAATAGTAATAATTTTATTATAAAAGAAGCTCACAAAGTCGTTGCTACTAAAGGTTATGGGGACATGAATAATAATAATAATACTGAATAATAAGCTCCTCTGGCATTACGGAGGGCCTTTCTATAGGGTTTAAGATTATCTTGCCAAATCAAGCGATATTCTAATAATTTAGAAGAGCACCATTTCCTTTCAGATTTCCTTGTTTTTTGCTTTAACTGGCGGGTTTGGTGGTTATACCACGGTGCTAGTCTCCTATGTTTTAATAATTTCCTTTTTATAGGAGCGATAGAGTCTAATGTTGATCATAGTGAGCCTGCAGCACTATTAACAAGATTATCAATTTGGGAGGGACTAAAGTTATTATAGGACTGTGTTAAATTCAGACATTGAATTAAACACTGAGGGAATCTCCTCCTTAAATTTAGCTACAGCACTGTCAGATAGACATCTGCTGTAGGAAGTTTTGCCTAATGGCTTATAATCTAATTATTAGATTATAAAGTACAGCAGATTATTTATTATTATTTATTATTATTAGATTCTAATAATATGAATTCAGAAGTTATTAAATAATAGTCAGATTTTATGGGAAGACTATTAAATGTTCAATATCAATGCCATATGATAGAACGAGGTCAAGAGTGTGATTAAAACAATGAGTTGGTTTATTTACACTCTGACAGAAGCCAATTGAGTCTATTAATGATATAAATGCGTTACTAAGGCTGTCATTGTTAACATCCACATGAATATTAAAATCACCTACAATAATTACTTTATCTGATTTAAGGACTAAACTTGATAAAAACTCTGAAAATTCAGATATAAAATCAGAGTACGGTCCAGGAGCGCGGTACACTATAACAAATAGAACTGACTGCAGTGTTTTCCAGGTCGGGTAAGAAAGACTAAGAACAAGGCTTTCAAATGAATTATAATTTAGTTTAGGTTTAGGGTCCATTAAAACGCTCGAATCATATATGGCTGCTACTCCACCTCCTCGGCCTGTGCCTCGAGGAATGTGAGTATTAATATGACTGGGGGGTGGATTCATTTAGGCTAACATACTCCTCGTGGGACAACCAGGTCTCAGTAAGACAGTAAATCAATATCATAATCTGATATTAATTCATTGACTAGAACAGCTTTAGAGGACAGAGACATGATCACACGGCCAGTTTGAGCTCTAATCTGTTCACAGTGTGAACTAGTTAGCAAAGCACAGACTCTTAAAGTGACAGTACAGGTATTAACACTTCAGTTCAAATATACTGTTCAAATGTACAAAACATGTTCTAAACTTCATCAAACTCAGATTCTTGGATATTTGTCAGGACTTTGTTTCAAACAAAGAAAATAAAGATATACTTTCAACCTGGTTACATTAGACACAACTACTTTATAAACTGAACCCCAAGTGGACAAAGAAATCAGTTGATGCAGGTTTAATCATTTCATTTACTGACTGACTGGTAGAGGAAACTGAGTCTGAACTTTATGATGATCATCAATATAATACTGATAATAATAATATATCATCAATAAGTGAACATAATGAGCTGTAGCCATCGGCCAATCAGAAGAAGCTCCACTGAACTGAAAGACTATCAGCTGATTAATAATAAGTGCTCCATGTGAAGATGTAAGTCCATTTGTAGAGAATAAGCTCTGTGTATGAGAGCGATGTAATGTCCATGTTTCCATGCTGCTCTGACCCCCCCTCCTCCTTTCAGGGTGGAGCCTGCTGGAGTCCGATGGTTGAGACCAGGTCTGAGGAAGTGTAAGTGTGAAAACAAAGCAGCACACATTCAACCATCTTCACACTGTGACATCACTCATTCACAGCTCTGATGTCATCATCAAAGTGTCAATCAATGATCAGATGATAGATCAATAACTGCAGCTGTATTGTGTCTTGTTCTCTCCATCAGATTCCTGTGAACTCACAGTCGACACAAACACAGTACACAGAAACATCAAACTGTCTGACAACAGCAGGAAGATGACATATGTGAAGGAGGATCAGTCATATCCTGTTCATCCAGACAGATTTGACTTCTATCCTCAGCTGCTGTGTAGAAATGGTCTGACTGGTCGCTGTTACTGGGAGGTCGAGTGGAGTGGATGGGTTTATATATCAGTGAGTTACAGAGGAATCAGGAGGAGAGGAAACAGTGAAGACTGTTTGTTTGGATGGACTGATCAGTCCTGGAGTCTGCAGTGTTCTTATAATGGTTACTGTGTCTATCACAATAAGAGAAAAACATCCTCCTCCTCCTCCTCCTCCTCCTCCTCCTCCTCCTCTGGTAGAGTAGCAGTGTATGTGGACTGTCCTGCTGGCACTCTGTCCTTCTACACAGTCTCCTCTGACACACTGATCCACCTCCACACCTTCAACACCACATTCACTGAACCTCTTTATCCTGGGTTCAGGTTCGGGTTCAGTCCTGGTTCCTCAGTGTCTCTGTGTCCTCTGTAGGAGGGAGAGAGAAACTGTCTCACTGCTGACCAGATAGTTCAGTCTGTACAGGATCACACACAGCTGATGTTAGTTAGTACCAACCTGATGTGTTTACTGTAATAGAGGAGGAAGAGGAGGCTGAAGGAAGAGAAGAGCAAAGGATGCTGGGATGAAGGGATCATGTGTGAGGGTAATGTGCAGCCTGCAGACGTAGAGATGAAAGAAATGATAGAAAGAATGAATCTTCTTCTATAACTCTGAAAAAAATGAACCTTTTTAGGATCAAATGTGGCTGCTTGTTTTTCATCAAGCACAGTTAGAGGGAAAGTGTTTTTATGACTCAAATATTAAAGTGTGAACAAATATTTGTTTCTGTGAAGAAAAAATGTGTTCAAATGTCAAACAAGAGTCTTTCAGGATCAGATTCAGCATCTGAGTAAAAATGTTTCCAAGGTGTAAAGAGTGGCTTTGATTGGAACTAAATTCATCATCTTCGGTCATCGTGGAACAAATGTACAAACTTTGATAAGTCAGGTTGAAATCAAAAGAAATCAGTTTTGGGATGATTCTAGATAATAAATGATGCTGGAAACCACATTTAAACACATGATGATTAAACAATCAACAGTCTCTGCATGGAAATGATGATAATTATCTTGTGCCTACGCGTTACTATCTCATAATATATATTTTAATCAGTATATAATAAGAACTTAAGAACTACTGTTCATATTGTGCACATGTGGTGCATTCACTATAAAACAATTTGTAATTTATCAAATTAAAAACAGCTTTCAAGCCCATTAAGCGACTGCCTGGTTGTAACATTGACCAAACCCCTTTCTGGGTGCCTTTTGTAGTCCACCTGGTAGAGCGTGTACCTAAAGTGGCCCGGGTTCGATTCCAGCCTGTGGCCCTAAATTTACTGTTACTCTTCAGCTGCACCTACCCAGTGCAGGCAACAAAAAGCCCCCAAATAATCTTAAAATAAACAGAAAAGAACTATTCTTGTGTTCCAGTCTTCCGTTGCTCGTATTCAGATTCTTCACCAGAGTACAAGTAGCAAAACCACAGTGTAAAATAAGATTATTAGATTATATATTATTTAATAAAAGGAACAATAAAGGCTTACTGCATCATTTTTAATCATTAAATTTACTTAAATTAGGTTATATAAATCAAAATACCCACCATGCAGTCGATATGGTCTCTGACAGTTATATTACACATTGATACATATATTGATTATTATTACTGATTAATTAACACTTGAGTATGAAAATATAAATAAACTGAGCCGTCAGTCCTCCGTCTGCTGGATTGCTCTGCTAACACTTCAGTATCTCTCAAACTGTCCACAGGATTTAAAGCTGCACATTAAAGGAAACAAAGACACACGGACATCCAAAGAAGATTTAATTTGTTGTTCTTTGAGTCATATTGCAGCACAACAAAAAGCATCAACCAGCTGTATCTGATGTTAGTGTGCGTGAGAGTGCGAACCAGAGCGCAGGAGAACGGGGACGCAGCGGAGGAAGGGTTACTACGGGGGTTCAAACTGGTGACGGAGGCACGCGTACATTTGTTCACTGGCCCTCCTGTTGCCCTTTGTCATAGCACCTCCTCTCGTCCTCTCTCTCTCTCCACCGCCTTGTGCTGGAAGCCCCTGCCGTGACCTCTCCGCGCCCCCCCTCCTCTGCTGTACAGGTTATTGGCCCCTCCCCTGCTCCTCGAGGAGCGCCCGTCCCAGTGGCAGTGTGCAGGCGCCGGAGCCCCCCCGCTGTGGGAGAAGGGTCGGTGAGGACCCCGTCTCCTCCCACGTTGGCCGCCTGCAGCGTCGACTGGCTGGTGGTCCGGAGGCCCCGGGGCCTCGTGTCGCTCTGCGTCTCTGCTCTCACACAGTTCTGCGTGTCCTTGCGTCTGCTGGCCGTGGTCGCCCTGAGCTTTGGCTCTTATTGGTCCCTCCGTGCAGTCTGAGGACAGAGACAGTTTGTCCAGGTGCTCCGTGACGGGGGCGGCTCTCCTGTGCTGGGGTCTGGACCGGCCCCCCCTCCGCTGCCCCCTCACCTGGTGCTGACGCCTCTGGCCCGGACCGCCTCTGCACTGCGACAGTCCGGGAACAAACCGGTCCCCCCTGACGCCGGGTTCATCGGAGGGGACGTTGGAAGCAGACGGCAGCGGGGGGGCAGGAGGGTCCTCTACGTCCAGGTTCCCGTTTTCTACAGACGGAGCCTGCAGGGAGTCAGCAAGCATCACTGTCAATGTTTATCTACTATATTATATATTACATATTATTATATTATATTATATATTATTACATTACATTATTACATTACATTACATTACATTACTATATTATATTATATTATATTATATTATATTATATTATATATCATTATATTACATTATTATATTACATTACATTATTATATTATATTATATTACATTATATTATATATTACGTTATATTATTATATTACATTATTATATTATATTATATAGGAACTGTGTTAATACTTGTTCAAACTGTCTCTGTTTTGGACAGTGATATAAAGTATGACAGAGATTAACAGAACATTTATATGTGATCACTTAAAGAAAGATTAATTATTGTAAATAATAAACTAACAATAACAAACCTTTAACTACATTAAAACATACCCTGATTAAACTAGCTCAGAAACTGTCCTGGAGTCAGTAGGATAAGAATAATAGAATAAAGGAATAACTATATAATAATAATATAATACAACATAAATGAAGAGTGTTCCCTCTCAGGTTCGATGTGCAGCCGTTGGATTCTCACCTCGTTGATGTGGATGAGGAAACGATTGGACTCCTCCTCCGGGTCGATGATCCCGCCTTTAGACCTCTGCCTCTCCAGAAGCTTCTGGAGTTCAAACCACTTCTGCTGGAACCGCGAACCGATCGCTGCTTCGTCGAGCTGAGGGAGGAAGACGAGGAGAGTTTCATTCAGTGAAACCTCCAGAACGGCTACAAACACCCCACCAGAGGGAGGCGGTTTACCTCGGGCAGCTGGGGCGCCGGGGAGGAGAGCAGCTGATCGGCGTCGTACGTTAGAGGCTCTCTGCACACCGGACACACCACAGACAGCTCCTAGAGGAAGAGTCAGCGGTTTAATTCCTCCTGAAGGAAAAAGACGCAGGAACATTTGTGTGACCGGCTCTGACCTGATAGTCCGTCCGGTCTCTGGTCTTGTCCTCCTCCAGCTCCTTCTCCCTCTGCCGGAGCTCGCTCTCAGAGTGGCGGACGTAGCGGCCGAGGCAGTGGCAGTGGAAGTAGTGGTAGCAGCTCGTCTTGGTGAACGTCTCGTCCTCCTGAAGAACACACAGTTACAGTTTAATCCTGCAGTCAGTGCTTGGTTTGTCCACAGGGGGGCAGCAGAACACACTGTTAAACACAACAGACACATTATCAACTCACAAATGAATCATGTTTTTATTTATTGCTGCGTCATGCAGACGACTGAGTGCGAGGGCTTACAACACTACACTGCCTCTGATGTTGAGAGGGAGCTTGTTCCACAGCGTTGGTTGTTTATAATGTTATAAACCATATCCAGAACTCATTACTGTCCACAGTTTAATCTCCTTTACAGCAGCTGAGCACGAAGCCAGTGAAACTTATCAAATCAGTCAGAGTACAAGGTTGCAGCGTTAATGTACTTCAGTCGTTAGTCACAGTTCATATGTGGATTCAGGACAAAGTCTGCTTCAATAAGATGAGCTTTGATTCAGTGGAAATCTCATATTTAACTATTAAATTCATGTAAACAAAAGATTTTGTGATTTTTATGCATTTTTTAAATAGACATCAACTTTATAAACCAATAAAAGTTTAGTTGATCTGTTTCCACCTCTAACAGAAAACACTCTGCTTTTCCATCAGCTGTCTATTTACTCATGCAGCAAACACAGAGCGACATTATCGTTCATCTGGAGTCGTGTTTGTGTCCACCCGATGAATGTATTCACTCATTTCAGGAGAAACAACTTGAGATGTAACATTTTGTCCTGAATTCTGAGAGCAGGATTAAAGAGTCTGAGTCAGTGGGACTCCTGAGAGAGACGGCTGAACGGGGAGAAAGAGAGAGGAAACGATGCTGAAGCGTTCAGAGGTTCGGACGGCGGCGGACGGAGACGACGTACCTTAAAGCCGTACAGGCAGATGACACAGTTTCCATGAGGGATGTTGCTTTCAGTCAGGATTTCTTTGGCTTTCTGGAGGAGGAAACAAACCAAGAGAACAGTTAGAAACCAGAGTTAAAGCTGATCAACAGTTTAATGTAGACTCAGTGGATAATCATTGATTCTCTTTAATGAAATACCTCAATGAGCTGATACAACACAGGTGAACCCAGACAGGACTGAGCCTCCAACTGAAGACACTTCTGGACACTAAGAGAAACACATGATTACAGGAGGTTACACTCTGTATTAAAGCAGCAGCAGTCTGATCGGCGCGGCGTCGGTTCGATACCTGCTCAGCTTGTCGTCGGAGAGACCTCGGGGGTTGTGAATGGAGATCGCCGGAGAAGACGACGGATACTGAGAACACAAAGCAGAGAGAGAGTCCAACGTTACTCAGTGTGAGAGAGAGAGAGAGGGAGTCAGCGGGGGAGAGGGTGGGAGGGAGCGTACCTGCTGATCGAGGGTCAAGGTCAGGGTGAGTCGGACAAACTGGGAGACGGAGTCCTCGGCTGTGGACGGGTACAGGACCAGACTCACCTCCCAGCCCCTGGAGGACACAGCACACGGGCAGCTTCAACAACAGCCGAGGACACACACACTGCACCAACCAGACTCCATTCAAAAATATGTGGATTTAACGCCTGTGTGTGTGTGTGTGTGTCTGTCTGTGTGTGTGTCTGTCTGTCTGTCTGTCTGTCTGTCTGTCTGTCTGTCTGTCTGTCTGTCTGTCTGTCTGTCGGGGTGTGTCGTCTGTCGGTCGTCTGTGTGTGTGTGTCGTCTGTCTGTGTTTCTTTAAGATCTTTAAGTACAACTGGTTGAGATATTGTGGAAACTCTGGGTCGATGTCGACGTTTAAAATAACAATATATTATATATATATATTTATTTGATGCTGATGATCATTTATTGTTATTTATTTGCTCTTTTGTGCAAATAAGTCTACAAAAATAAGCGTTTATCTTCTTATCTATCTCAAAATAATGACTGTGATACTTTAATTTAAAACATTATCTCCATAACTTTCTCATTATAACGACTCAGTTTCATCACATTGGCAGAAACGGGCTTCCGTACTTCGCAGAGATGTGTGTCAGGTTTGGGTCAAAGGTTCTGGGCTCTGTGGGTTCACCGGTTCTGGGTCGTACAGAGCTCTCACTGATGCTAATGAAGCTATATAATGTCAGCTGTTGTTGTTGTTGTTGTTGTTGTTGTTGTCTCACCCTTCCTCCTTCCGGTCGACCAGCAGCTCGTCCAGATAGATCGACTGCAGCACCTCGATCTCAGAGAGCACACTGCGGAGGAAACACACAGCCGTTAGGAGCCGTTAGGAGCCGGTAGGAGCCGTTAACAGCCGGTAGCAGCCGTTAACAGCCGTTAACAGCCGGTAGGAGCCGGTAGGAGCCGGTAGCAGCCGTTAGCGGCCGGTAGCAGCCGTTAGGAGCCGGTAGCAGCCGTTAGCGGCCGGTAGCAGCCGTTAGGAGCCGGTAGCAGCCGTTAGCGGCCGGTAGCAGCCGTTAGCGGCCGGTAGCAGCCGTTAGGAGCCGGTAGCAGCCGTTAACAGCCGGTAGCAGCCGTTAGCGGCCGTTAGCAGCCGTTAGCAGCCGTTGCTCGCTGATTAGCTCCATCGGGTGATATTTAATTCGCGGCACTGGGACGGTGAGCGGGTCCGTTGGCCGCGGACCGAACCCGCCCACTGTCATTGAATGTGTTGGAGGTTTTACGGTGTAAATAGGGAATCAAACTCACTCGCACTCGGCCGCCATGATGATGTTTCTGGGAGAGCTTCCTCTGGCGGATACCAACCGGCGCAGCTTTTCAAAACAAAAGCGTCGTTAGCTCGGTTCAGCACGCTGGAAGAAGATCACGTAAACGTGTCACACACTGACGTAGTTACGTCTGCTGTCGGCGTAACGTCGCTATTCCTGGAGGCAAAGGGCGTAACCGTGGTGATGCGTTTTATTTTGAATGTCGTCAGCGGAAGTCGCGTGCGATGAATGACCGCGACCCGTCATCGACCCCCAGCGGCCACAGCGCGTAACTGCACCCAATAATATCAATCAATCAATAATATCAATCAATAATAATAATAAATCAATAATATCAATCAATCAATCAATAAAAATATCAATCAATCAATAATAATATCAATCAATAATATCAATCAATAATAATATCAATCAATCAATAATAATATCAATCAATCAATAATATCAATCAATCAATAATAATATCAATCAATCAATCAATAATAATATCAATCAATCAATAATAATATCAATCAATAATATCAATCAATAATAATAATATCAATCAATCAATAATATCAATCAATAATAATAATATCAATCAATCAATAATAATATCAATCAATCAATAATATCAATCAATAATAATATCAATCAATCAATCAATAATAATATCAATCAATCAATAATATCAATCAATCAATAATATCAATCAATAATAATAATATCAATCAATCAATAATATCAATCAATAATAATAATATCAATCAATCAATAATAATATCAATCAATCAATAATATCAATCAATCAATAATAATAATAATAAAAGAAATCAATAATAAAAGAGAATAAAATAATTGTTTAATATATAATGTATAAATATAACAATGTACAGTTCACATATATATATAGATTATATTTATAAGTATTTATATTTATATATATCTTTAGAGAGACTGGGGTAAGATGAGACATTGTTCATATTTAGGATCACTACATCGAGGCAATCACAGTTTTGTCACTAACTAATATATCTGCATATATTCCAGGATGTTGTGAATCCCTTCAAACAAACAGAATCAGTGTAAATATAACTGTTACGATAATATAGCATGTCCATGGTCTCGTGGCTCAACTTACCCCCCACCCTCCTCCACCCCTCCCTCACCTCCACCCCTCCCTCACCTCCACCCCTCCCTCAATAAATCACTTCTTCACATTCATGTGTATTTTTATTTATTAAACACAATTCAACAGGTACAATGACTTTTTTTATTATTACTGAATATTACTGATAAACAGCTGTTTTGTAAAAAAACATTTTAACATGAGAATGCCTTAAAGTGCGTTTAGGAAGAGAACATTAACAGCTACTATCCATCTCCATCCCTCCCTCCATCCCTCCATCTCCCACCTCTGCCCTTACTCAATAATCCACCTGTCGAGGTTGCAGAGGAATACGAACCGCTGGGACCTCCTTGCTGTGCCAACAACTCTGTGAGGTTTGAGGAGCATTTTGGGAAGAATCCTTCATCTTTCTCTTTGAAAGTAACGGTGGGTTTACCATATCCAGCTTTGCCTTCAATCTTCTCCAACAAGCCTCTCCCAGTCTGTGTCGAGTGGAATCACGCTGTCACTCTCTGAGCTGCTTTCTGTGACGGGCTGTTGTTGTTGTTTTGGGTTTTTTTGCACCGTGTTTCTTGAGAAGTTCTCCAGACTTCTTCTTTTCTTTTTCAACAACTTCTCAGGTGTGTCAGTCAAGATTCGTGTCGTCACCTTTGTATGTTTTCTTTGAGGCTTTGTTGCCGTCCCCTTTGGGGAATGGCATTATTTCTACTGGAGATACTGGAGCACTATCAGAAAGCAGTGTTGACTCAGGTCCTGTGACACTGGGTGCTGGTGCTGATAGGTCAGCTGAGGTAGACGGCTCGTCAGGGTTGGATCCGTCTGTGACTGTGGATGGTGCATAGGCTCCCTGTGGGAAGATATCCCGGTTGAAAGGAAAGATACCAGCGGACCTGAATCCTGACAGGATGTTTCTTGGTGTCCTTGCTGACAGGAAGGTCTCATGCACAATCTCTGGGATGGCATAAATGGAAGCAGTTTGTCCGTGGTGGGTTCGCATCCAACCGTCCATGGCCTTGTTGTAATATGTCTTGAATGGCCCATAGAGCGATACATCCAAGGGCTGCATTTTATGGGATGTACGGGGTGGTAAAGTGAGCATCACGATCCCGTTGTCCCTCGCCATCTCCACAGACTTCAGGGAGACGTGTGCCGAACGGTTGTCAAGGATCAGTAGCAGTGGACGATCCTTGGAGCAGTCCGTCTGTTGGATAACTCGCTCCAGGTACACGCAAAACACCTCCTCATTTACCCGACCAGATTTTGTTGCGGTCCCGATCGATCCAGTCGGTGCTCCTCTGATAAAGTGCTCGTGGTATTCGACACCCGGGAATATGAACATGGGGGGGATTGTGTTCCCTGTAGCATTGACAGCACTCACTACCGTTACAAGCTCTCCTCTTTCACCACATGTGACTGCGCCAACCTGCTTTTTCCCCGTCTGTGTCACAATGTGCTTTGGCTTCTGTACAGTTGTTACGCCGGTCTCATCCATCTTGTAGATCCTGTTCGGAGGGAACTTGTATCTGAAAAGAGAAAGTGCACAGATTTTACATTCATTTCTAATCAGACTACAAACAAATATTCCTCCCATCAAGCAGCAGATACCTTTCCATCAGTGACGCCAGCTGATCAAAGAACACAGTGACATTGTGTTGTTGTGTTGTGGCCTCTGGTGTCCGGCATGATAGATGTTGTCGGTTTTTGAACAACTCAAGCCAATCCACTCCTGGAAAAAAAGTTATCTGAACAATGACGGCAATAACATTTTTCTACTAACATATTAAATCGAGTTTGCTTGAATTTTCTTTTTGCTGGCTGTAGTTGGCAGTAAGAGAACCTTTTATATTTAGATAGATCTCTATGTTCGATATCTCTCTACCTGCTCGTTCTTCTCTTGACCAGCTGTCCGGCACAGGGATGTTGTTTCGCTTTGCAAACTCGTAGGCGAGTTCTCTGCATTTGAGGGTAGTGAGCCCATGAAACTGGTCTGCGAGGTTCTTAATATGTTTGGCGAGTTCGGACTCCATGCCATCGGAGAGGATCCTTTTAGCCTCTGTTACTCCGTCATAGCCTGTCTTCTTCAAAGGTACATTTTCTTTTTGGTCAATGAACCTCTTCAGTGTCATTCTGTCTATTCTGGCATCCTTTGCTGCTGCTCGAACAGACTTCCCTTCTCTCACTTCACTGGTGGCTCTTTCAAGAACATCAGCGGCGGCTCCCCTGCTTGTTTTGCGCTTATATACACGAGGCATGATGTCCACTCTGTAATCATACAAATACAGAATCTTGATTTAATATTTAAGACATACAGGCTACAGCCAAAGTACTCTTATTAAGAGATAAATATCTAACCACTTTACTCGTGTGGTTCTTACCTTCACAGACTCCATGAAATGATGCCTTCCTTCTAAATTTGGTCACATGATCAATGTTTTTTACCATTTCCTGGCAACAAGGGGTGGCTCAGCTTACCCTTTGGCTCAACTTACCCTTTGGCTCAACTTACCCCTGGGGTAACTGATACACATCCGCTTCTCATTCTCTTACAGACCACAGTAAGCTCATAATACTGTTTTCTGTATGTTGCCATTAATAATGATTATACTGATATTAACACACACGTTTAATGTAGCGTTGCAGTTCCTCTCTGGAGCCACGAACACTCCTGATTCTAGAGACATTGAGGTCAACTGTTACTTATTTTATTAAGTGTATATTATTATTAATATTAATACAAAATATTATTAATATTTTATAAAGTATATATTGTATTTTTAAACTCTTACAGTGTTTATTATTGCCTTTATATTTAAATGCGGTGCAGTTCCTCTCTGTGGCCACTGGGGGCAGTAGACTGTTGGTCCTTCAGTGTAAAGACAGTTTAACACTTCCTGTGTTCTTTCAAAATAAAACAGCAGTGAGCCGTTATTAACGGCAGAGGGCGGCGTTGAGCGCGCGGGCGTACAGTTTGACCGGAAGCTCATTGGAACAAGAAAACCAGAAGAAGAAGAAGAAGAGGAGGGTGAACCCGCGATACGAGAATCAGGAACAAATATTTAAAATTAATAACAGAAAGCGTTATCAATATGATCAGTTATTGTTTTTATACGTTAATAAAACGCATCTAAAACGTAATGCGTGGTTTTACAGTGACGCGCGCGACGTCATAACACGACAAAAACAACCGAAGTTTAAATGTGTTAAATGTTTTAGCTGGTTCGTCCTTCGTGAAGAAAAGTGGAATAAAATGGAGGAAATCGTGATGGAATCGGACTCAGCCGATGTTTCTGCCGCTGCCCCGCAGCTGGGGGTCGGTGCTGCGTGGGACACTGTCACTACAGCCCTGGTGAGTGCGTTTAATCACCGCATTCAGGGGGGGGGGCAACATGGGAGCGAAGCGCAGGCGCCGAATTCCGTTCAAATATTTCACGATTTAATGTTTTCATGGTTGTAGCGACGGTTCACAGCCGCGGGGACAAAACTAAACACTGTTCACTGGTTAGTTGTGTTGTTCGGTTGGATTCGGCCAACATGGTGACATTGTCTCCTCTTTATTCCTGTCTGTGCTATATTCTGCGAGCTAACAGTTAGCCTCAGTGTCTGCACAACCAAATATTAAAGTTCACTGTTATTAATTAATGTAATTAATGTAAAGGATGTGTTGACTCTAATGCAGCTCACGGAGAATTAAGTTCATTATAGTTGCAGTATTTCCTGTCAGCTGACAGATACCAATAATAACCAATAATAACCAATAATAACCATTATTAAATGTCCTGAATGTTCCAGATGTCTCCGGGCTGCTCGGTGCCGGAGCAGAGCCTCTCGGACTCGTTGGTGCTGCTGTGTGGTCGCGGTCTGGGCCGGCTGCTGGGCGGCTGGCTGCTGGAGACTTTGCAGATGCGTCTGTCCTCCTCGGTGGTCCCCGAGTTCTGGTCTGGACTCAAGCAGCCGGAGAACGAGCTGGAGGAGCGGGGCCGGGCCTGGGTTCTCCTCACCGCCTTTCGGACTCTGTTGAGCCGACTGGAACCGTTCCTGGGTGGGTAGAAGGACTCCAGCGAGTCCAACACTGCATCGGCAACGATACTCAACCTTTCTTCCTCCCAGGTGGTCTGGAGACGTTGGGGACGTGGCAGCAAGAGGGTCGCAGCAGTCTCTGTGGCCCCGGGCCCAGGGGCCTCCAGGAGCTGGCCTTCACCATCATCAGGGCCCTGCTCCTCTTCTCGCCGGCCCCCGTCCTCCAGGAGCGAGTGCTGGAGTTCTACAGCAGGACCTTCTCCGTCTACATGAACCAGCAGGGGGAGGCGGAGGACGGGGCCGAGGCTCCGGACGGCCCCGAGGGAGGGGCCTGTCGGGGCTGCGGGGTCCCGACGCAGCAGTGCTGGTGTCAGGAGGCCCTGGAGCAGCTGCAGGAGCTCAGCCGCATTCTGTGAGTGGAGCGTAGAGACGACCCGTCCCCCGACCGCCGCCGACCGGCTGCTCCCGGTGTCACTCTCTGTGTTTGTGTGCTCGCAGGTCCAAACTGCAGCTGCTGGAGTGGGTCAGCTCCGAGGCCGTCACCTCCATCCTCCACCGGCTCATCGAGCAGCGGATGGAGCAGCACTGCCGCGGCGAGTACGAGCGCTCCTTCCTGCTGGAGTTCCAGGAGGTAAAACTGTCTGCCTGCCTGTCTGCCTGTCTGTCTGTCTGTCTGCCTGTCTGTCTGCCTGTCTGTCCATTCATTGGCTGTACTCTGTGTGCTCAGTGGCTCGAGCTGGTGTTGGGCTGGCTGAGCAAAGTGTTTGCAAGCGAGGCGGATGGAGAGAGTCCGGTACCCGCTCCCAGCGCTCCGAGTACTCCCGGCGTTCCCAGCACTCCTGGCGTTCCCAGCATGCAAGGCAACCAGCCGGCCAGCTCCGTCCTGAAGCAGTGGAGGTGCCACATGCACCAGTTCTTCTGCCGGATCTACGTCAACATGAGGATCGAGGAGCTCTTCAGCATCATCAGAGGCGAGTTTACAGAACGACGATCGGTTTCCGTTTCTCTGAATCAGAAACTGGAATTATATATTTTTAAGGTTTTATTTTACATAATAAATAATTGTGCTAAGCTAGGCTAAATACCTTCCATTCTGACATGAAGCAGTCGGGTGAACAGCGGTGATACCGATGATGCTAATTCCTGTGATTATGTTCAGATTTCCCAGAGTCTAAAGCCGCCATTGAAGATCTGAAGTTTTGTCTGGAACGAACCAACCAGCGACAGCAGCTCCTCACCTCGCTCAAATCTGCCTTCGAGAGCCGCCTGCTGCACCCGGGTCAGTCGGTCACATTCAGTGAAAACCAGAACCTTTAACTGTCTGCTTGTTGGGTTCAGGTGTTCAGGTTCCACACAGCAGAGCAGGAAGTTAATGATCCCGTCTTCGTCCTCAGGAGTTCACACCTCCGACATCCTCACGGTTTACATCTCGGCCATCAAGGCCCTCAGAGAGCTGGACCCGTCCATGGTCATCCTGCAGGTCGCCTGCCAACCGATCCGCAAGTACCTCCGGTGAGACATCAGATTCGTAACAAGCGTTCTCTCTACAGAGTCGAGCTGTTGGCGCATTAAACAGCAGAAATAAAATGTGACGAATTTGAACCACGAGAGAAACAAAGTGTGTGGTGTGTTTAAGGACTCGGGAGGACACGGTGAGGCAGATCGTAGCCGGACTCACCGGAGACGCCGAGGGCTGCACAGACCTGGCCTCCGAGCTGTCCAGAGGAGACCCGGTCACTCTGGAGATGCAGGACAGCGATGAAGAAGGCAACGACCCCGAGGACTGGACTCCAGACCCGACCGACGCCGTCCCCGGTCAGTGAACGCACCGTTTCGTTATCTCTGCCGCTCGTGTCCGTCGTCCACCGATTCTACTGACCGGCTGAATGTTTTTCAGATAAAATGGGCTCCAAACGTCGTTCGTCGGACATCATCAGCCTGCTGGTCAGCATCTACGGCAGCAAGGACATCTTCATCGACGAGTACAGAGCGGTGCTGGCCGACCGACTGCTGCACCAGCTCAACTACAACACTGCCAGGTACACCGAACACTGACGGGGTTTCATCAGGGGGCCACGTTCATGTGGTTCTGATTGTAGCGACGGGTCCAAAATGTCCTCGGCTCATGTTCTTCATATAGTTTCGTCCTCTGTTTTATGTTTGCAGGGAAATCCGTAACGTGGAGCTGCTGAAGCTCCGGTTTGGGGAGTCTCACATGCATTACTGCGAGGTCATGTTAAAGGTAAACCGTGTTACTGTGACTGGAGAGTGTCGCACTATAATCACCCGCCGGCCGCACTCACACCTTCCTCTCCTCCCGCCTCCTCTCCTCCCGCCTCCTCTCCCAGGACATGGCTGACTCCCGGAGGATCAACAGCAACATCCGCGAGGAGGAGTCGAGGCTGAGCGAGGAGGAGCAGCCGCCGCTGTCCCTGTCCTCCATCATCCTGTCCTCCGAGTTCTGGCCGCCGCTGAAGGAGGAGAAGCTGGAGCTCCCTCCGCTCGTCTGCCAGGCGATGGAGGCGTACACGCACCGCTACGAGAAGCTCAAGGTGGAGTTGGCCCGCCGACGACACGCAGCTGTTTCCTGAGTGAATGTTGGTGTGTGAGGACAGACGTGTTAACAGCAGTTCGTCCTCCGTGTGTTTCAGGCCATGAGGACGCTGAGCTGGAAGCCTCACCTGGGCTCAGTCACTCTGGACGTGGAGCTGGAGGACCGCACCCTCTCCAACCTCACCGTCTCCCCCATCCACGCCGCCATCATCCTGCACTTCCAGGAGAAAAGTACGAGCTCTCGTTTCAAACTGACTTCCTGCGTACGGTGGAAGTCATTAACCTGTTAGACTGTTTCTAAACCTTTTGTTAGATTAAAAAAGGACCAGAAAGGAGGATAATTTAACATTTACATGCATTTATTTAAAAGGAGGATTCACTATCCAACCCTCGTTGGTGACAACCACATACAGGAGCTTTATATCCAACATACACTGTATGAGCCTGTGGTAGCAGAGTCGTCTGTAAAGAGGCAAAGAAAGAAAACATTCATTCAGACCATCGAGGTTTTAATTCATTTATCTCCAATAACCCCCAAAACCCTCCAATATTATCCAAATGGGCCAAACGGTTACAGAAATATCCTCCTTATAGACGAACATATGCAAGTTAATTACGTTAAACAGAATGAATCTTTATTTCTCAGGTTCCTGGACGCTGGAGGAGCTGAGCGTGAAGCTGGGCGCCCCGAAGGAGCTGGTGCACAGGAAGCTGGCTCTGTGGCAGCAGCACGGCGTGCTGAGGGAGGAGGCGGGCGGGCGCTACTACGTGGTGGAGACGGGCTCGTCCAAAGAGAAGCTGGAGAGAGGCGTGATGCTCATCGACAGCGACGAGGAGAGAGACTCCAACACCACCACCCAGTCCGAGCAGAGGGAGGAGAAGCTGCAGGTGGTTGACCACACACACACACACACACACACACACACACACACACACACACACACACACACACAGTAAACAAGGTAAACAACAACAATCTGCAGAAGCATCCTAACGCTGGTTCTGTCCCTGCAGCTGTTCTGGGCCTACATCCAGGCCATGCTGACCAACCTGGACAGCATGGCGCTGGACCGCATCCACTCCATGCTCCGGATGTTCGTCGCCACGGGACCCGTCGTCACGGAGATGGACGTCAACGAGCTGGAGGCGTTCCTGCAGAGGAAGGTCAGGGAGCATCAGCTGACGGTGTCCGCCGGCGTCTACAGACTCCCCAAATCCAACTGACGGAGGACACACGGCTGGAGTGTGACGCTGCGTTCAGGTGCTGTGGGAGAATGCAGCTCTCCTCGGCTTTTAGGAAAGGAATCGAATTTTCACCAGCGCGTCAAAACTTCTTCCAGCATCGTTTTATGAACACTATTCCTCTGAACTCTATGGTTTTTCAAAATAAAAGCGTTTCCACCCCTCTAAAGGATCGCTGCAGGTGGAAATGAAGTTGTTGTGAAAGGTTATTGGCGTTGAACACTTTGTATTATAATTATAAAAAGCTCTTTAATGTCTCGTGTGTGTTTGTCTGAACTGAATCAACCAGGGACTCGTTACATTTTACTGATTTTAAGATGAGATGTTCCTTTAACTACAGAAGCAGATTCTTTCTACATTAGAGTCCTTTAAATCTCAGATAACAAACGGCTGATAAGAGTCGAGTCTTGAGTAATACGCTTCACTTCAACTCCCACATCAAGTTCCAGCAGCATCAGGAAAATGAAGAGTTGATTCTTTATTCTTAGTTACAGTAGAAACATTTCTGTTACGCCTCCACACAGTTCAGTACCGGCGTCAACCAGCAGGTGGCAGCAGACTGGAACTTGTATTTCTACTTTATTCTACTTTTTACTTCTCCAACACTTCAGAAGTAAATATATCTGACTCCATCTGACTCTTGAGTTTTCAGATGAATATTTTATATTAATTAAGCAGAATTGGAAATACAGACCAACTTTCACAGGGTGTCTTAAAATATCGTCTACTAATCAGAATTTTAGGTCTTAAATATGATTTTGAAAGGTCTTAAATTTGATTGCATTAATTACTTTAATTCCTTTTTGTGTGTTTTTAGGTCAATTTTGTGTTGATTATGCATCACTCAACAACCAATACCGATTTTCCTTCTAAATTTCCTTCATAAACGTCTTCAAGCTGCAGAAATACGAGCAGTCAGGATGAATACATGATCAATCATTATTCCAGCCGAAGCAAACAATAACTGGATTTATTGCTTTATTTGGATTTGGACACATTTGCTAGGCAACAGATTTACATAAAAAAAAAAAACCAACAACATACTAATGACGTGAATATTTTGGGCTGTCACACACACACTGTAGTCGGGGGTTACTGGCCTCATGAGGCGAACAGACGTCGGACTGCACTCCAAACACCAGTTAATGATTTTAAAGTTACAGTTAAGTCACAAATGCAACTGATTCCCTTTCAGTAAAACACCTTTAACTCTTAAGACAAAAACAAAATGGGCACATAACAGTGGTTCACTAGTGGAGAGTTAAAGGACCAGACTGGTGGGTTTTTTTGTACGTTTTCAGCTCATTTACAACCATCATCACGCTTTATATCTCACAGCAGGTAAACTGTACGATGTTCTGTGATGGATTGTCTCGAGTCAGATGTCACGTCTAAGTTAAATCTGGATGGAAGAAACAGACATACAGCAACAGAACCCTACTGTTGGTAGAGGACGGCGCTACAGAAGACAGTCTCAGTGATTTCATGACCCTCTGCCCCGATAGATTTTAAGACTTCTTGTGTTGGAAAGGTTGGACCATATTTATGAGGATTGTATGAACATCCACTCCACACTTCTTCAACCACAACTGAAACAAGACATCTGACGCCTTTATTCACCGTTTACCTGATGTTTTATAGACGAAAGCGATTAATCGAGAAAATAATCAGCAGATTAATAGATTACGAAAAGAACCGTTAGTTTCAGTCCTACAAACGTTAATAATTCATCCATTCTTAGAAACTTAGAGACAATAGTTGGGTTTAAAGGTCAGGAACTAAAAGTTAACGTGCTCCACTGCTCTTCTCCATCCTCCCGGCCAGCACGCTTTGAAGGACCAGTGTGTAGGATTCAGTGGCATCTAGTGGTCACGTTGCAACTCCCTCGCCTCACCCTCCCCTTCCAAGCTCAAAGGAGAAACTAGTGTTTGGTTTGTCTGCTTTGGGCTACTGTAGAAACATGGCGGACTCCACCAGAAGAGGAACCACTCTGTAGATAAAAACGGCTCATTCGAAGGTAATAAACACAATGATTCTCATGTTCAGCTGATTATATACGAATGAAAACATAGTTATATTATTATTAAAGAGCTCCTCCTCACTGTTACACACTGGACCTTTACATGTGACTTGTAGTAAACGGGCCAGAAACGTCCTAAAAACACCAGAATGATCCGTGAAGTCATGTGACCTCCAGGCTGCTACACGCAGTCAGTGCTGACCGACTGTGGATCCCTCCGCCTCCAGTCAGACTGACCTGTTGACGCCGTAACGCGGCGCAGTAAATAGTGAACGCAGTTTCAAACATTCGCGTCTGAAACAAGTTCCTCCTCCTCCTTAAGGCACGGGGGGGGGGTTCCCAATCTTATTTGAATGTTGTGGAAGCGATGAGCGGTTCGGTGGCTTCGTTACTCAGCAGCACTTCTTCCCTCTCTTCCTGCGGTCGCGGTCTCTCTGGGCGTTGATGTTGACCGTGTCCTTCTCGCGCTCTCGTTCCCGCTCCGCTCGGTTCTGGCTCTGCTTCTTGGCCCGGAGCACCATGTGTGTGAAGGCCATGAACATCTGAAAACAACGACGACACTTTATTATCGGAACATGTTCCAGAGCTGATCGATCAGAACAATAATCTGAGTATCTAAACAACTGATTAATCATTTAAAAGTTTATATATGAGATTTATAACATTAATATATCAGCTAACATTATATTCTCTATATAAAGACAGTCACATGGTGTCTCTCTCCCTCTGCCTCTGTGGTTTTTATCATCTATGTCGGTGAATTAAGGATTTATTTAAGTTACCTCTTCTACATTTATGTTCTCTTTGGCACTGGTCTCGAACACCCGGACTCCCATCGACTCCCCAAAACGCACAGCATCCTGGGTATCCACCTGTTTCCTGGCTGGGTCGTCATTTTTGTTTCCCACTGAGAGTCAACAGGTGGGTTCAATTTTATTATTTTCATCAAACTTCCCTTTAAATAAACAGGTTGACCTTTTTGATTGTTTCTATTTGAATCATTCAAGAATAGGACAGAATCTGTAAATATAAATAATATAAATAATGTCCCAGTCTGGACGTTTATACAACAACAACAACACAACAACGTTACGATTCTTTTAAAACATTAATACCGTTTACTCACCCAGGATCTTGCAGACGCTGTCACAGTTCTGAGAGATCTCATTCAACCACCTCTTAACATTGACAAAGGACTCTGGATTTGTCACGTCGTAAACAATAATGACACCGTGGGTGTTTCTGTAGTACCTGGAGGGGGAGAGGAGGAGGAGAGTGAGCGATGCACCAGCAGGATGAAATGAAAGAGAGAGAAATCCCTGAAACCCGGCGTCGGTGTGTGGGGATTACGTTGATGTGATGGTTCTGAATCTCTCCTGTCCCGCCGTGTCCCAGATCTGCAGCTTAACCCGCTCCCCGTCGATGTCTACCGTTCGGATCTTGAAGTCGACGCCGATGGTGGTGATGTAGCTGCCTGCGGGAGACAGAAAGCAGCAGATACGAGCTTCAGTGTTTCCTTCAGATTAACATACAGACGGCTCAGAGCTTCAGCAGGCGATTGTTCCACACAGGAGTATGTAGTTTGAGTTTGGACTGACTGAAATCTACGTCATCGTCAACCAGAGCAAACTGAACTAATAACAGAACGACTGAAGGGCCTTTAACTGGAAACTGGAAGAAACTGGAATGGGTATAGCTTTGTGGATGAATGTGGAATATTAAATCCAATCAATAAGTCTGAGGAAGGTTTCTAAATCAAAAGGTTTCGCTGCCTCGCTCTGGAGCTCCGACAGGTCCAGACAGCTCTGTTCCACCCTGCAGGAGATAAGATGACTCAGTTTGATAAAATCTCTGCCTGAAAGTAAAGTAGAGCCCGATGTGTGTCTCACTGAGGACTCAGGACTGACTCCGGGAGGCTCCAGTGGTTCCCTACCTGGGGGTCAGGGCCCCCGCTAAGAGCCGTGATCTTGTTGACTTTAAGGAGTGTAAGAAAACTTTAAAAAGATCTCGATATCTCATCATCCTGCATTAAAAAAGTACAGTTATAACAAGCAAAGAGCGAATAGAAGAAGAGTCAGGGAGGAGAAAACACTGAATCTGTCCAAACAGAAGACTATTAAGTCTCAATGATTGTTAATAAATAAAAACATAATACAGTCTAAAAATATCAGGAAAAACTCGTCTCTGATCAATATTCACAGGAAATAATCTGCTCATAATTCATCATTTTACACAATCCCCCTGTAGTTTATTTACTTTTAATGTCTCTCTTTATTGTCTCCATTTTTATCTTTATTCATATTTTTCTATGTTTATTGTTATACACTAATTTAACAAGGCAAATTCCTTCTATGTGCAAACCTGCTGGGCAATAAACCTGATTGTGATTCAGTTATTGTGTTCATCAGCTGTTCTCTACCAAATATAAGATATCCATAAACTATGTGATGTAGTCAGGGGTCTGCAGGGTTGGGATCGATACGAGCCTCAGCACTGAGGTATTTACGTTCACTCACCAGAGAAGGAGTTGTCTGCGAAGCGGAGGAGGAGGCTGCTTTTCCCCACATCTGAGAGAGAAACAGATCAGAGGTGACCAGATTAGCAAGTAACTCACTTTGAGGAAATGAATGTGACCAGTCAGGAACAGAAAAGCCAGTTAGGGCTCGACCTAGTGCCAGAAAGAAAGAGAACAAACATCCCACCCGGATCCCATCCTTCAGGTTATGTCATAAAGTACACAATGAAGGGCCGGAGAGCAAAAGTGAAACAAAGCCAGGAATAAGGCCAAAGGTTGAGCTCGTACTGGAAACGATGACTGAAAGAAATCCTTAGAGAACCGGAGGCAGTGTTCAAATGAGACCTGACAAACAGAACGAGTCAGCAGGAGGCCGAGGAGGGACGGTTTAACTCCCAACTATCACAATATTCAACCCAAACTGCAGAGCCCCTGCATTTATTTCACAATAAAAGTCTGAATGTCTGCAGGAAAACCGCAGAAACATCGTGATTCATCACAATCAGTTGTTCCACATCAGTACGGAGGCCCAGAAGTGGCAACAGGCTGTCTGACAAGTCTAAGCATTTCTGAGTGCGTCGATAAATAACAGCGGGTTCAATCATTAGAAGGTTTGTTGGCACAAGAGCAGGCAGGCCCGGTTCAACCAGATCACAGCTAAAGCTTGTGGGAACCAGAAAGTGAAACCTTCCGACTAACCTGCCCTCAGATAATCCCACCACACACACACACACACACACACACACACACACACACACTTATGAAAAATGATTGATGTCCTTGATGTTCTATAAAAGCTGAAGTTAGTTTTTTAATGAACATTTGAAGAGTTGGAGCTGTTTGTTGTTGTTGTTGTTGTCGTAGTAAACAATAATCAGAGCTATGAAATATTAAATCATCCCTTTTGTTGCTACATCTTCGTCTTTCTTGCCATCAGGTGGGTAAAAGCTCCAGGTTGTGAATATTATTGTTATTTTTAAAATACAAAGATGTAAAATGATCAGTTATGTTAATAGAAATAATAATAATGTTCTGATTGTTTACAGATAAACAGATAAACATTTATAAACCCTGCCGTGTGAAGGTAGTTTGTATGTAGGGCTCGGTACTGTATCTAGGTTTCACAATGGACAGCACAATGAAATCTAATAACTGTACAAAAATAATTCACTGCAGGGAGGAAGGTGATCTACGGTGACTCAGCACTTTCTGCAGCAGGTCGAAAAATTCCCAATCACGTTCCCAATGTGACAGAAGGACCGGCGCTGCCCAATAACCTGATGTTTGGTGACTTCTCACCAATAAAATGACGAGAATCTGAGTGTGTGAGTGAGTCACAGCTGATAAAATTCCCCGACCTCAGACGAGGTAAAGATAACGTCTGAATACCGAAGCTCTAAAGTCCAGAACAAGATGTCTGAAGATGCTTTGAGAAACAGTTCCTGCGGTTTGAAACTTGCTTTAGAACAAACATGACTGATGCAATGTGAAGCAGTTTGTTTGTACAGTGAGACAGCGGTGCGTTCACAGGCCCCGTCTCCTCTCTATACCAACACTACTTATTAATCTGATTGATTAACTGACATTAACTGATCAGTAATCAGGTACATACAATGTAGAATCAGTGTTTACTAAAGGCCGAGGCGACCACAACCCAAAGACATTCAGTTTACAGTCAGAGAGGACTAAAGAAACCAGAATATATTCACTTCTGAGAAGCTGAATTTAGAGAATTTGGACTTTTCTTTCTTTAAAAATGACTCAAAGTGAAGTTAATTTAAAAGCTGACGACTAACTGAGCTTCTACAACAATCAGGATTTATTATCCTCAAAGCAGCAAACACACATTTAACAGGAGGCTCGTACTGGTTTAAGGACACTGTGTCGGATCTACAGCGGAGTATTTAAGTGTTTATCTAATGTTACTGACAGACAGGTGGAGGTAGATGGAAATATATCTGAATAGTTACTATAATATATATAGTTACCTAAACCAGTGCTTTAGAGAGAAACTAAATTAAACCCGTTATGATTTGTTTGTTTGTAAAAATCTGGTTTAACTTGCATTTTATTATAACAAACAGCCTGTTTGATGTTCTTTATTTTATTATTTCAATAAAAATCTGCTTTAGTTCTGTTACTAATCTCTCGGGCTGCACCGGCCGCCTGCGAGTCCAATAACTGCATCTATAAAACACTGAATGGTCCCACAGACAGGAAGCTCTAGAGTTAGAAAGATAATATTCATAGGTCTGTTTTCATTAGTGATTAATCACCTTTTTGGTTGTCTAGTTTCTACAGCAGCCCAGAAGGGACAAACCAAACACTGACTTTAGAAAGGAGCTCCACTTTGATTTCCCTTGTGTCTGAATGGTGCTGTGAATAACCGTAACCATTTAAAACCACAGACGTCACTTATTATTGTCACTTCTGGGCCTCCGTACACTCACTCTGCCTTCATATTAAATCAGAAATGAATAAATTAAAGCACTGACTGGAGTCTCCAATGATGAGCAGCTTAAAGAGATGATTGTAGTCTTTTCCCGCCATCTGTTCGGCCTCTTACTGAATTCCCGAGTAAAATCAGTTTAATAGGAGGAAGAGGAGGTGATGTTCCCCCCCGACCTCCCCAGTGTTTGTGTTCGATTCCTCCCAACGCTACGAGCTCAGAGCAGCACGAGACTTTGTCCACAGATCACAGGCGTTCCCCTTCCACCAGCGACAGGACATTTCCAGCTCAATTCCTTTTTCCAGTTTTGGGGTTTTATCAGTCGTTCACATCGTTTTGTTCCTTCGGTCTCAGAGTGAAAGCACAGCGGCAGCTTCTGCAGAGGCCCCGCGTTTATGATTCATGCTTCCACGGCCGAGAGCGAGCGCGTGGTTCCACCTCAGTTCCAGTTCAACCCCGGTGACGATTCCTGCGGGGGATTTCCAAACTCACAGATCATTGATCTCTTATTGTAAAGTCACAGTTCTGCCACAGTGCAGCCTCGCTCTCTCTCTCTCTCTCTCTCTGATCATAAATCCAGTTATATTGCCAGTTATTGCCCTGAGCTCCTCCACCGCTCACTCTTTAACTCCATCCCTTTTTTCTGTTTCTTTTTTTTAAAGAAGTGAGTAACTGAGACGTTCCTCTTTTTCTCTGCAGGTCAGTAGTGGTTACATCCGCTGAGGTTTCCTTTAGGCTGATCCCTTTGATTTCACTTCAGTTCCTCCGGCGGTCGGGTAAAAAGTCACCTGTTCCTGGTTTCATTACATGAGGAAGGCTCTCGCTCTGCTTCTTCAGCCCAGGTTTAAAAGGAGCTGAACACAGAAAGAGGAAGGGGAGGAGAAAGTTATAAGAAGTTAGATAAAGATCATCAATCGGTGATCAATCAGGCAGCTCATTACTGTGATAGTCAGTGACACTGCAGTGTGTGTGTGTGTGTGTGGGCCCCTCCTTACCTCCCTCCCTGCTCCTCAAACAACAGCTGAGTCACTAAATATAACTTCCTCATCCTGCTTTATCCACCCCCATCCTAAAAAACCTAGCTGTTAGCTGCTAGCAGCAACAGAAGCTGTCTGAAGGCAGGGAAGTTAACCAGCCGGAGTTTTCCATGAAAACAGGAAAGGCTGCTGCTGGCTTTCAAAGTAACAGTGTGACGGGAGAACCAATCTCGGCTTAAAAAACGTGTAATTTAATGATTCTTTGTATATCAGCAAAGGTAAAACACCTTGTACGACCCACTTTAGATTTTTATTTTATCTTATCTTAGACAGCAATCAATTCGGCTCTGTCAATTCGCCAAAATGCATTTGTTTCAATAAAAATATCAAATTTGATTATTAGTTTTTGGCCGTTTGCTCTCGACTTCAGCTATGCGTTTAATGGAGGGTAGCTTAATGAATCCCTAAAAGTTTAATTTAGTACATAATTGCAAACCTACAGATGACGAAATTTAGTACAGTACCTACAGTTTGAGAAAAGATCTTACTTTGTGTAATATGAGGTGCGAGCGCATACCGATAGAGAAGCAGATGCGTTTTATCACAGATTTTGAACGTAGTTTGGCGTAGAGCGTCTTCGGTCAGTAACGTTAGCCACCGGTCAACCAGAAACCAGAAGGACAGGCAGGGCACCGGTTGAACGGAAGGTCGACAGTCAGTGAGACTAACCTGTATTAATGTGGTTGGAGCTGAGCCGTTACAGCAAGTGTGACAGTGACCGACAACTCACACTGTGCGACACGTTCTAGGTGTCAGAAGACGTTGTTCCAAACTACCCTTGAAAAGCACTCATTTTCCGGGAAATCCTCTTTAATGATGCCACGCGTGGGTTTTTACTTACTGCGATGTTAATGTGATTTACAACTTAAAGGATTTTCTACAATTCGGCACTAAAAATTCGGGCGTGTCCGACGGCAGAACCGTAGTTTATTTCAATTTGAACCCACGTTTTGGCTGCTCCTGCGCCGTACGGTTGGTGCTATGATGCCATGAGCGGTTAAAAACAGCGAATAAAGTCAAAACATCTTTAAATTAAACGCTGAACATTTCAACCGGAGTCGCAAAGACACCGTAACAAATCCCGTTAATGTGAACTGGGGTCGGATAAAGATGTGTACCGCGGCTCAAACGCGAGAACACTTTAAAAACTTCCAGATTGTGTACCCAGTCCGGAGCGACGGGTTGTGGGCCTGAGCCCGGCCTGACGTCGGGAAACTTCCCACTGCTTGGAGAAAACTTCTGGAAAACAATCCTTTAATTATTTATTTGTTTTAAACTTACTTCGGTCATGTTGGTGCGGTTGGGGCTCCGTCGCGGGGTCATGATAGGAGATCCGCGGTTAGACGTTGTGCTCGTCCCGGTAGGAGTCCACCAGCTGAGCTCCGGTCCGACCGTCTCCCCGCCGACCACACCTGACTGTCTGCAGCTGATGACCCACTCTCATCATCTCAGGCTGCCTTCACGTCATGTGGGAAAAACCGAAACCCCGTCCAACCGCTGTGCGCCAACTCAAGGGCCTGCTCCTACTACTGGATGGGTTTTAGTTCATGTTGGGTTAAGATCATTTCTGTCAGTGTGACCCCGAAACAGATTCTGTCAGTCATTGTTTTTATTTTGAGATATTAAGTTAAAATATTGACATTTCTCAATATTTTGAGAGACTACATAATTATTATGATATACTAAGTCATTATTCTGAGATAATAAGTCATTATTATGAGATAATAAGTTATTATTATGAGATAATAAGTCATTATTATGAGATAATAAGTCATTATTATGAGATAATAAGTCATTATTATGAGATACTAATTAATTATTATGAGATAATAAGTCATTATTATGAGATAATAATTAATTATTATGAGATACTAATTAATTATTATGAGATAATAAGACATTATATGAGATAATAAGTCATTATTATGAGATAATAAGTTATTATGAGATCCTAATTCATTATTATGAGATAATAAGTCATTATTATGAGATACTAATTCATTATTATGAGATAATAAGTCATTATTATGAGATACTAATTCATTATTATGAGATAATAAGACATTATTATGAGATAATAAGACATTATATGAGATAATAAGACATTATATGAGATAATAAGACATTATTATGAGATAATAAGATATTATTCTGAGATAATAAGTCATTAATATGAGATAATAAATCAGAATTTTTTGTTTTCATCATAATGGCAGAAATGAGCAACACAAATAAAGAAAAACACAAAACAGGCTACATAAGTAATGTTGTGGTCAATGAAGTCATTCTTAATGTCTAAAGTCCTTTTAACTATTAGTCAACATTTCTACACCAGGATAAGTTATGACGGGTTGATAAGGACCAGTGTAGTAAGTAATTACTAGTAATAACATTACAGTAATAATAGATTACTTTCCCCTGTAACTAGTACTGTAATCTACATTACTTTGATTCTAACAAACAAAACTGGTTGAGCTTTAACCAAAAACATTTTAGTGAGACACACCTAACACTGATGTCGCCATCCCAGTTTCAACATAGCAACAGCTGCAGAAACCAGCGTCCGGTCACAGTTAGCGTTGAGTAATCTTCCCGTCTGTGCAGCCGTATAAAGGTCAGATTGAACCTTCACACAGGGAACATCTGACACACTGATCCAGAGGTAAACATGTGGCTTTATCTTTTATATAAATGGACTCAATTCCTTCATCGTGAATATCTAATATACTCTAGAAGGTGTTTCCTGGACCAGTGGGTCAGGACCTCCACTAGGGGTCGCCAAAGCTTCACAGAGGGATTATTTGGTGGAAGAAAACTTAATATAGATAGATTAGGCTGATATTTATAGAAGCACATTTCTGCCGGGGTTAAATAAGGGATTCTGTAAGTTAGGAGAAACTTTTTGATATGCTAAGTCAATATTTCCAAAAACAGCTGTTTAGTATTTACTGTTAATAATGAAAGCAGCAAAAAAACTGAAAGCCAAGCATCCACCTGTAATAAAACAATAGTGGAGTATTGTCACATTGCACCTTGCAATTTAACAGGATACAGGAGCAACCTTGTTAAACTATATAAGAACAACAGAGGGGCAGTTGTTATATTCCTGTATAAAGTGAGGCTACGAAGGATTGACGACATTCATTTGACAGGATGCTGAATATGTTTATGGTGACCGTGTAAAATAAAAATAAAGAGAATAATTTAAAAACTCTGACGTCTCACAGCAAGAGGACGGACAAATTCCACACAAATAAAATGTACAATTGCTTTATTAACCATTTCCAACAAAGAAATTATCCACGTTTCAGTTTCTGCTCACATTAAATGGAAATCGATTATCTGTTACATGATAATAACCAAAATACAGACAGCTCATATCTACAGGTAGAACGCAACCAACGGTACAGGTAGAGAGGGACGTTGTTAGAGTATTTAACTGAGTGTGTGTGTGTGTGTGTGTGTGTGTGTGTGTGTGTGTGTGTGTCTGTCTTATTCAGCTCATAAAAAGAAGAAATGTACAGCCTCCACTCATCGTTGCTGTAAAAAACAAGCGCGCTGCCGATCGGTTGGTCAGCGGCTCAGAACCGAAGCGAGTCCGCTGACGTTCACAGACGCACATCTACCGGGCTGCTGGCTGTTGTAGTTCGCGTTGTAGTCCGCGTTGTAGTCCATTTCAAACCAGCTGGAGGTGAACAGGAAAAAGGAAAAACAAAAACACAGAAGGAGAAGTGCAGCGTCTGAAGAGGTTAACCTCATTTCTTCCGTCTGCTGCTTGATGAGCGGCTCGGTGACGGTCTGCTGCCGCTCCTGCCGGGGAGGAGAAACAGGAAGATCAATTAAAGGCTCACTGATGGTCTGTTAAATAAACTTTATTTGTGGAAACAAATAAAGATAAAACATATATTTGATTGAAGGCTTCCAACTTCTGTTATAGATTTATAAAAATCTGAAGTTGAGTCACTTTTCATACTTTTACATCCTCGTGTACACTTTAATCTGCACACCACTAATAACAAATAATTAAAAAGGTTTCTGAAGGTTTTAACAGGTTAAATTTAAAACCTTTTATAAAACCATTATGAATTAAATTAGAGATCTATTTTACAAAGAAAAGAAGAAAAACTGTATTTGTTCCACGTCGGTTTGGTTTTGTAGTTGTTGCAGGAAGATCAATACGAGTTTCTCCCAAAATCACATTTAAAGAGAGACTGAAAAATGCAACTTTATACAAGTAATGTTAACTTTATTAATCATTAATAATTAATTCAGGTCAAAATTAAAAAGGTCCAGACTGAAGTTACAGTGTTTGCTAACTCCGCCACTAGAAGAGGAGCCGCTCGCTCTGTAGATAAAAACAGCTCCTACAACAGTTCTTATATTTAATGAAAACATACTTTGATTTTATTATTAAGACTTGAAAGTAACTTGCTGACAGCGTTAAAGAGGCGGCTGCATTTCCAAAGGTAAATACTCTAAATACTGTTGAGCTAACTAGCTGCTAGCAGTTTTTCAGCTGCTCAATGAGACACTCTTCACCGGGTACGAGTGGATCTGTGAGTGGATCTGTGAGTGGATAACATGTAGGTCAGTTAACAAATATCTCTGGGACTTGTCAAGCTGATATTGTGAACCTGTAGTTTGGATCCAGATGCTGTGTGTTTCTTTAGCAGACACATTTATAAAACCGTTTATAGAGTCGATAAGCTGAGGTTTGACTCACAACTTAAATGTATGATTTAAGACAACTGCAGACACATAAGTTATCACTTCAATGTCTGACGCCGCCGTGTGCACAGGTAGGTTTCTATCTAGAGCTGCGTTCACGCTCTCTGCAGTGTAAATGTCGTGCAGAGGTTACAGACCTGCGGCTCGGCGAGGGCGGCGCTCTCATGTATCTCGGAGGAGAATAACTGAGTGAGCGAGAATCCCTCAGGGAATCAGCCGGCTCCCTCCCGGACCTGGCGGGGCTGCAGGGAAAACATAAAGGCAAGTCAGTCAAAGGCTCCACGCTGCAGTAAGATCAGTATTCTAACCCCAGAAAGGAAAGGACTGATCCTTAAAACTACACGATGCTTCCATCCGTTATCTGCAGCGTCTCAGTCAGTGATGGTAGAGAATCTGTTTCTGTAAGTGGGAACGAGGTTTTTGTGCAACCGACCACAGATATATTCCTGATTCCCTATATTTATTAGTTGGTACAGCAGCTCTGGTGCCAAACCTCATGAGTGACATCAAGTTTCACTTCTCTTCTTACCTCTTTTTCTTAGTTTCCTTTTCATTCTCCGATGAGGAGGATGAGGAAGGAGAGCTTTGAGCTTTGGTGGTCTTCCTGTTGAAACAGTAACAAGAGTTTTCATTAATAACTAGTTTATGATTCATTCACAGAAAAACTGTTTTATTTTTGTTCATTAAAACAACTTCCTGCTGCTTACCCTTTTCCTTGCTCCCCTTCGGAGTCAGAGCTGTCTGAAGAGGAGGATGATGAAGAGGAGGAAGAAGAGGAGGATGACGACGAGGAGGAGGAGCTAGAGCTGCTGCTCCTGCTGGCCTTCTTGTTCCCGTTTGCCTCCTTCCCGTTTACGGCGCTCTCACTTCTGGCTGTTTGGTCTGGTGGTTGGGGGGCCGTCACCGGTGACTGCTTCCCGCTTGAACCTCGTGATGGCTGATTGGTTTCTGGTCGGCTGCCAGCCGGAGACCTCCTGGAGGTCACAACGGAGCGCCTGTAGTCCGACTGGGAGCCTCTTCTACCTGAGCTTGGAGTGTGGGAGGAGTCTCTGGAGGGGGCCTGTGAAGAGGAGGATCGACCTTTCTGCTCTCTGTCCTTCTCGACATCCCGCTCCGTTCTTCCGTCTCTCTCCGTTAGTGCTTTTGTGTCTTTCTTCTCTCGTGGCGGTGAAGGTGAGGACGAAGAGGAGGAGGAGGAGCTGGAGGAAGATGAGGAGGAAGAGGACCGGTGGGGTTGTGGAACCTCTTTTGGTGGCAAATGCTCCTTTTCCCTTTGTCTCTCTTGCTCTGCCTCCCTCAGCCGGAGCCTCTCATGTTCCCTTTCTCTCGCTCTTTCTCTGGAGAGGGAGCGACTGCTCCTCCTTCGCCGCTGTGGAGACGGAGAGCGACGGGTCCTGGAGGAGGAAAATACAAAAGCCATTAAAATGTGATCCATTATAGCCTCAGCGTGATGTTATAAACCCGCCCACCTGTTGTCCTGAGCAGAGAAAAACAATAAACTTCAGGTTCTTTATCTTACCTGTTGGGGGGGCTTCGCCTCCTCGGGCTTCTAGACCTGGACCTGCTGCGCCTTCTTGGACTTCTTGTCCTGCTCCTCCTGGCAACCCGCTCGCGTTCTCTGTCCCTCTCTCTCTCCCTATCCCTATCCCTTTCTCTGTCCCGCTGCCTCTCTCTATCCCGGTCCCGGTCTGACCAGGCTGAAGGAGGAGAAGCTCTCCTGGCTCGGGTTGGGGGTTCCTGATACTGCCTTGGTGGAGTGCGCCGGGCTGGGGAGATGTTTGAGGTTTTCTGGGGTGGAGGAGAGCGTGATCTCCTGGCTGAGGGGCTGGACCTCCTGGCCGGGGGCTGGACCTCCTGGCCGAGGGGCTGGACCTCCTGGCCGAGGGGCTGGACCTCCTGGCCGGGGGCTGGACCTCCTGGCCGAGGGGCTGGACCTCCTGGCCGGGGGACTGGACCTCGCTGGCCTCCTTGCTGCGTCCCTCTCCCTCCCTCTCTCCCTTTCCCTGACTTTCTCCGCCCTCGTTCTCTCGGTTTCGGCCTCGGAGGGGGAGTACCTGTTGCTGCCTCGGCTGGCGTCCGCTCTGTGGGCCGGGGACGGAGGCGGACTGGGGCTGTCCATCTGAGTAGGGCTGTATCGTTCCTGACCTTTGGCCTGGGACGGGTAACTCTCAGCAGGAGCTCTTTGGGAAGAAGGCCTTTCCCGCTCACGTTTGTCTCCTCCAGCCTCTCTGTCCTTCTGGGCTCGTCTGAGTCCGTCTCCCTCGGAGGCTGAGGCCGGGCTTTCCTTTCTGCCGTTGGCTACATGCTTCTGGACCGCAGCCCCGGTGGCAGGTGGTGCGCCTTTCGAGGGGCTACTTTTTTCCGTCCCTGCCGTCCCAGCCGCCTTCGCCTTGCCCTCATCTTCAGAGGAGGACGACGAAGAGGACGATGAAGAAGAGGAGGAGGAGGACGAGGACGAGGAGCTGTCACTGTCGCTGTCACTGCTGCTACTGCCGCTGCTGCTGCCGCTACTGCTGCTCTCTCTCTTTTTCTCAGCCTGTTTCGCCTTGTCATCGCGTTTCTCCTTTCTCGGAGGACTCCTCGTCTTCTCCTGGCTCGAGTTCGTCTCCGGGCGTCTGGCTTTCTCCGCCGGTCTCGACCCGTCTCGCCGGCTTTCTGCAGCAGATCGGAGGGCCTCGTCTCTCTTCCTGCTGCCTTCTGGACCTCGCTCTCTGTCTTGTTCGCTCTGCTTGTTCACATGCCTGTCCCTGTCTTCCTCTCTTCTCCTCTCCTCCTCCCTTTCTCTCTGGCGCCTGTTGACAGGTGAGCGGGAGGCAGGTGACAGGGAATTGTGGGACGGCTGTCCATCCCTCCTCCTGTCATTTTTCTGTTGGCAAGGAGACGTCTCTCTCTCCTGTCTCTTCCCAGCGTATCTCCTGTTGTCCCCCTCATTCGTCGGCCTTGAGGGCAGATCTCTCTCAGTCCTGCGCTCCCTCTCCCCACTCCTCTCTCTCCTCGCCTTCTCCTTCTCCGGGGGAGGCGAGGGGGATGTGGAGTCGTGTCTTGTCTTTTTGTCCAGTTTATTCCTGTCTTTTTCCCGCTCAAGGTCTCTGCTCCTTTCCCTCCTGGTCTCCTGTTTAGGTGGAGGAGAAGGAGAAGGGGATGAGGAGGAGTCGTGTCTGGTCCGCTGAGGAACGCTCTCTTTTCCTTTGTCCCTCTTTTCTATGCTCCTTGAACGCCTCCTTTTCTCCACATCTCTGCTCCTTGAACGCCTCCCTCTCTCCCTCTCGTTGTCCCTGCTCCTGGACCGCCTCCCTTTCTCCATCTCTCTGCTTCTGGAGCGCCTCCCTTTTTCCCTCTCCTTCTCTTTGCTTCTTGAACGCCTCCCTCTCTCCCTCTCGTTTTCTATGCTCCTGGAACACCTCTTTTTCTCCACCTCTCTGCTTCTGGATCTCCTCCCTCTGTCACTCTCCTTCTGTTTGCTTCTGGATCTCCTCCCTCTCTCCCTCTCCCTGCTTTTTTCTGTCTGTGGTGGTGGGGGTGGTGGTGAAGGAGATGAGGAGTCATGTCTCCTCTTGGCGGACGTCTTCTCCGTCTCAATCGGTCGCTCTTTTTCTCTCTCGTGATTTGGCCTCTTCTAGGAGACAGAGAAAAGATTTGTTTTATATTTTACACAAACTTTAATGTTCTTGACAAATACATAAAATAAATCAGTTTATGAGCAAAATGTTTCAAAATGTTATTAGTCCAATACAACAGCCTCACCCCTTCGCCTCCCTGATGATGTGGGCTGTGCTCCTCGTAGCCCCGCCTCCTCCTGTCTGGCGATCTCCCTTTTCTGCCTTCATCGGCTTTTCTTGCACTTTGATCCAGCTGACGTGATCTCGGTGGGGGTGGAGACTGGCTGTTGATATCACAGGAAAAAATATATATAAATACATACAGTGACACTTCAATGTCTGGAAAATGGATTTTGAGCCGGTTCAGCCCACTACAGACTCAAAGGGTCCGCGGTGTTCAAACAAACTGGTACTGTTACAAAAAGCTTTCACAGCTGGAGTTCAGTGTTCACTAACAATAGTGTCTGGGTTAGTGTGTGTGAGAGACAACCTTTTATACTCACAATAAATCAGATCAAATGTTCTTTAACCTCTTACCATGTACGTAAAATGACCTAAAAACACCTAAAAACAACATTTACCCAAAGTAAATTAAAAGCTGATCTTCAACCATTTGCAGTATATGCATGGTTTTGGTCTCATTAACAGATAACACTCACACACAGCTGTTCATGGACATTTATCTCGTGTAGTGAGTGGATATATTGGACCTTTGGCAATGAAACAGGACTGTTTTTGTTGGATTATTACTGATTCCAGGATTACAATGAGACTTCTTGGGTGAGATTGGCTCAATTTTATGATTGCTTGCTCGCTAGTTTGAGGCGCCGATTGTGTTTTGATCAATAAATAGACGAGATTCGAAGCTTTCCAATTACATATGGTGTGGGTACTAAATCCAACATGGCAGTACGTCAATGAGAAGGTTAACGAGCCGCCCACTGACGCCTTAAGGAAGTCCAGAGATCGGTGCAGGTCGAGGTTGAAGTCTAGATTTCTGGTCAAAACTGGCGAATAAAATATAAAGATTTTGTTCTGATAAAACATTTAAACATAATAAACATTAATGAAAATCTCGTTTAATTCTTTTTCTGGAGGCAAATAATCTGCGACACGTCTCCGACACCTCGGTCAAGGCCGGATATTTCTGTCCACGAGCAAAGTGCATCACCACACATCATTTTATTGTTTTACTGCACACGCACTTAAAGCCAACCCTGGACTGACCCGACACTGCAGATACAGATACTTTCTCCTCTAAGTCTACAAGAACTGATTTTTATTCTTCTTTCCATATTTCTTGTTGAGTTCTGTGTTTTTAATGTACATACTTGTTAGTTTGTGCCGTCTCTTGTTTATTTGTTGTTGTGTTTTCTGTATTTTAAAAGGCCCATCTAGGGAGAGGCATTGCAAATGAGCTAAAGCTACAGATGCTGTTTTGTTTACACTACGTACTCGTCCCTAAACAAACAAACAAACCATCCTGATGTGACGTTGTACCTGTGAGCAGAGCTGGAGGAGACGCTCCTGTGTCGCATTGCCTTTGCTTTCGGAGGACTGGGACTTTCACTCTTCCTTCTTTTTGTCTTTGACACCTTCTGTTTCTCCTCTGAGGAACTTTGGGTCAGAAGGGACAGAAAGTTACACATGATGTAACAACCCCCCCGACTTTATTGGTGATCCCAGATAAATACAATAGCTACAGGCATGAGAGAGACTTTAGACCCACCTGTCGTCTTCTTCCTCCTCTTCTGATGCCTCACTGAAACACAAATTTCTCAGTCAATAATCTGTGTCAAACGTGAAATAAATATATGGAGACATAAGTTGAAAATCCAGGGATGGAATACCGTTTCTTCTTCTTCTTTTTTGATTTTTTCTTCTCTCGTCGAGGAGATGGGGACGGACTCTCTGAGCTGCTGACAGAAGGAACATAAATCAGACATTTCCTCGTCGTCAGGAACCTTTTCTGCTCCTGCGTGTGTTCACTGTTCTCACCTGTCTCTGTTCTTGTTTTTCTTTTTCTTCTTCCGGCTGCGCTTCTTGGGAGGAGAATCTGAGTGTTCTGAATCTTCCACCAACCTGAGAGAGTAAAGGCAACAGACACGGAGTCAGGACAGAAATGATGCCGGTGATGAGTGGACACATTACGCTGTAGTTAGTGACCATGCTGGCGGGGTTGTTTAAGTATAAACTGCTCAACCCTTTTCCAGAGCAGAACTGTGGTTGTGTGTCTGACTAAGAACATAAGTAAAAGAGAGGGTTTTAAAAAGCAGGCGAACTTTAGATCACAACTGCATTTTCGTTAGGGCTGCACAATTAATTATAACAATTATAATTAGGTAATGTAGTTCTGAAGAGATGCCGACCTCAACAAAGAGATGGATTTTCAAATATCTGTCAAAATAACTACAATGGGATTATTCTTTTTACATATCGTGCAGAGAGAGACGTTGTCTGGTATTCAGTGATGTGCATGAACAAGCAAAAAAGAGAGCTCGTGTTTTTGGTGAATGGTGAGCTGAAAGTAAAGTATCCCTTTGAGTCTAACTCCAGTGAGCCTCAACGACTGTTGAGTTAAAACTCAAAATAAACAACTTAAATCACAGGAAAGAGAGAATACATCCTGAAGAAAGGAAACGATTCTAGGAAGAAGTTAAGTTTCACTTTCCTGCGAAGCTACCTGAGCGCACCGCGGAAGAGAAAGTAAAACTAAACAGCTGGCTCAGAGAGTTATTATACAGTCAGTTATAGGGCTAATACCTGTGTGTACACTCAGCGCCATTGGTCAATTCCTGATACTTTACCATTTATTAATATCTATAGTTAACGTGTGGTTAAGAATAGATAAATAAAATAAAAAACATCATGAATAGAAAGCTGTCAATAGACCCTGTGGTCACATCGGCCGACACTGCTTCCAGTGATCCTGCACCGTTACTAGAAAGGTGTTTGTATAATGCAGTGACCCTCCTGTAACTCTGCAGTTTAAACTACCTGTCACCAATTTATCAAATGTTCATCCTGTTTTAAAGCTTTTTAACTGAGGCTGGAAAATATAGATTTTTAGCCACATTGTCCAGCTCCGTTTGCTGCTTCACTGGATCAGAGTGAGAATGAGACGTTAATGTGATACACACTCGAGCACTGTGGGCGTGAGCTCGTCCCACTCACGTGTACTTCTGCTGCTGCAGCCGCTCCTTCTCCAGGCGCTCCTTCTCTCTCTTCTCCTTCTCCCTCTCCTTGCGGTCGGCGTGGAAGGACGATCCGTCCACGTAGTCGCTGGCGATGCCGAAAGCGGCGCGAAGGCGGTCGTTCTTCTGCTGGTTGGCTGCAGCCAGCGCGTGAGTCTCCGTCACCCTGAGAGAAAACAAACATTATTTTATACATTTTAATCTTAAAAGGTCTTTAATATTTACATCCTGTAGTCTGTGAGCATTATGATGCAGCCAGAGTGAGTCACTGAAAAGAGATCTTTCACGTGATTTCTTGTTGCCTGTTTACTTACGTTGGCCTTTCGATGGCGGCGGGAGTCGGCTCCTCTTTCTCCTGCAGCATCATACGGAAACTGTTCACCTTCTCCTCGATCTCCTCGGCCGAATACCTGAACATCCAAACAGAGGAGAGAGTTTAACGTCACATAACTGCAAAGGAAACAACGTTGAGTTATTATTTCCACTACATACATCTGTTACATGTTACTTGTTGTTGTGTCACTTAAGGAAAGAAAAATTAAAATATGATTGAAAGAAGCTGACCTGATTCGTATTTTGAGAACTGATTAATCCATTTAATAGTTATAATAATAATTACGAAATGTGATGGTTAGAGCTTTAAAAATAAGAGTATAGGCAACTTAAAGTTTTACATACACAAATGAATTCCCTTGAGGTTTGATACTGTTGGTAGTCACAGACACTTGTGGTGAGTGTTTGGTCGACCAAATAACTTTTGAAAATCAATCAATCAACCCTGGAAATAGCTGATAGAAGTGGACCCAGGATTAACACATTATACAGCCTGGAATTAATTGATTTTCCATTTCTTTTCAACCCTGGTGTAAACCCTCATCCGTCTCACCCTTGCTCCTCCATCATGTCCTGCAGCTCGGCACACTTGACCTCCAGCTGTCTCTTCCTCTGGTGCTCCAGGATGTCGGCGTTGGGCTGCCTGTTGAGCTGACTCTCCAGCCTCTCCCGGTCCTTCTCGTCCCGCTCGCCGCCGCGCTCATCCCGCGGCCGTTTGACGCGCAGGGTCGACAGGTTGCGCTGCACGTAGCCATTGGTGCCGCTGCCCCTCGGAGTCGTCAGGCCAATCCCATTGTACATGACTCTGCGGAGGAAGATACAGATACAGTGAGAGGTTGGACAGTAGGAGTTAGGTAACATCACTCCTTACTACTCAAAACAACAAATCAGAAATAAAAGATGATTAAATATCGTATAAAAGAGCGTTAATCAGTCTGTTTCCTGTAAAGAAGAACCCCATATGAGCCTGTATCTTTCTGTCTGTCTGTAGTTGAAGGGTGGAAGTCGTAATCTATAGATATATATATAGATTAGTTAGATAGCTGACAGTCTATTAAAAAGCTGACGCTATCGTTGGATCATCATGTTTCTTACTTGCAGCCATAAAAAGGTCTCCAGAATCTCACTTTTACCACAAATATTTACAGAATCAGATTTATTGCCGAGCAGGAATTTGTAAGTTGGTGCACATAAAAACATAAACAAAGATAAAAACAGAGACAATAAAAGGAGATAATATACACAAACATAAAGAGAGAGAGACAATATGTGTTGATACTTAAATGAATGAAGAGCTAGTTAACAGTGTGACATATGAATAAACCTCTAAAGTCCAGTGGAAGACATTTAAAGCCTCATAAACCCACACACCACCTCCTTTGTGATTAAAAGCTACAAACAAAAACCTTCTGCACTTTGTGACTTTGCCATTTCCCGCATATTAAACCACCGAGGGACCTCCTAAGATGGCTGACACACATAAAGCAGCAGCGACTGAAGAACCCAGACAATATTTAAAAAACCCCAATCTGAGCAAAGTAAAGACCAAACAGCAGAAAACGGATCAATAATCAATAATAAAACCAGTGAGACGAACAGCTGGAAATCAGGCGGCAGTTAGCTCACACACACACACACACACACACACACACACACACACACACACACACACTCGTTGTTTTAGGGTTTATTCACAATATAATCTGTCTCGGATTAAACACGTGCGCCTCGGTGCGGCCTGCTGTGTCACGCCGCAGATTAATGATGAGTAATGCTAACACACAGCCCGTCTAACAGCCCCGTGAGGAAGAGGAGGAGGAGGAGGGCCGGGAGAGAGTCGCTGCTCGGTGTTTAGTGCAGTAAATAATCCTCCCGGGGAGTTTTTGGTGCTTTCTGTTTCTAAAAGGCCTCAAACTCTTCTGCGTAGCGCCGCAACGGAAGCTAGCTAACGCATTTCTAACGTACGTACCTGAGTGTCCTCCCGCGCCCGCAGACGGAGAAACGACGTCGGAATAGAAGTGGCGGTGAGAGATATCCGGTAGAATCAAACACCGAAACAGACTTTATAATAACTGCGTCTTTAAATACGGAACAAACACAGAAACCGCGGCTAGTTAGCTCTCGGCTAGCTGCTCTGCTCTCCGACCGAAGGAGGAACGAGATGAAGCCCCGGTGACGTCAGACGTCTAAAGGGCGATGCGTTCAGGGGTCGGACGCAAAGTCGTACAATTCTGTTACGGTAGGTTTAAAGGCAATTTTGGTGAAAACAAATGTTTAAATTATGCGCCAGAAAGTCATCGATTTACATTTAATGATTACAAAAATAAAAAAACACACGTTGTTTCAGTATCTTAGAGCTGGGACAGAATTCTGGTACAAACGATTAGCCAGTCTGCCTTTATTTCTAGGGTTGCCTTTCTCAGTCTCTCTGTGTGGAAATCATTTTGTGGTAAATTGCTTAATTGTGTTGATTCATTGAAACGTGTCTTGCAGGATTACAGTAATCCGGTGTAGAAATACTGGTTGGTTCTGGAGGATGTGAGCCTGGGGCTCAGTTTGGGCCCACTGCTCCTGCTTTACTCACTCCTACCCTGGTGCTCAATAGAGTGAATACATATTTCTCCACCTCAAAAGATAATTTAGAAGACGTTAAAGGGAAGAATGTATTTTGTGTTTCCTGAGAGTGTTTATATTTATAATATACCCAAAACATGTTTAACCTTCAGTGTTCAGTGTGACTCTGAAGTCAGGCGTCCCACTCAAACACTTGTGTATGAAACATAAATTATGGACTGTGTAATTTTATAAATGCTCTAATTATTGTTGTGATTATATTTTGTTGTTTCACTCACTAAAGTTGCAGCTGTGTTCACCTTACGTTGATAAAGACTGCCCCTCTGTGGCAAAGGAGAGGACTCCATCTTCTTGAGAAGTTTATTTAAAAGGTTTTTAGAAATAAAAACGACACAAAAGGTTTAAGGATGTTTGGCACTTCAGAGGGAACAAATAGTAGAACCAAGAACCATATTCATCGAAAAGAGTCTGCAGCAGATCAGAGACACATCTGTTTTGTTTTATTTGAATGTAAGAATGAACGTATAATAAGTAACAGTTATCAGTATTTGCCAAAGGACTATTTAAACCTCCAATCCATGTTTAAGTTTGTTATTATAATCAGATAAGATAAAATAATCTTTAAACTTTGTACCTTTTATGACACTGAGGTATCTGCAGCTGTCCACCCTCTCCAATAAAGATTAATTCCTCTTCTTCCACTATATGAGCTCCTTTTGTCTTGCTGACATAAGTTGTAAAATTAATTTTATTTCCAGTATTTCTGCACCATTTAAATGTATTATAATAGTTTTCTCTTAAGAAGGATTTCACCAGATAAATTAAATGTCTTAATAACAAATTACATGCTTTCATCTATCTATGTTGTTAAAATAAAACAAAACCTGGAAAATGTTTAGTTTAATAATATATTTTATAAAGGTCTTTCTAAATATTTATATTAATTTCAGCTGATTTGATTTTATGAACAAAGAAAGAAATAATTTCAGTGATGAGTCATTGAACGCCACACCCATAATCAATAACAATTTAAAACCAATAAAGTTCAGAACAAACTCTTCTTTATATTATTATCTATTATCACATTTATTATTCATTTCATTTTATTCGTATTAATTTAAATAAACCCACAGTTTTAACGAGCCAACGTGACTCGTGCTCGACACAACGAACACGAGAACTACGTTTCCCAGAATGCAACCGGCGGATTTTGACGCAAACTTTCCCTATAAATACATCCCGTCAGCCTCCAACGGTCAGTCAGTGACGCTGCAGCCAGAGGAAGAGGCGGCTGCTCTTCAGGGTCGTTTCCCTTCAAACATACACACAATATATAATATATATATAATATATATATAATATATATACACAATATAGTTCACAACGGAGCCCCAAACCGACTCTGGATCAGTAACGATGGCGGAAGGCGACAACAAAAGCGCGAATATGCTCGTGAGTATTAAACCCGGTTGATTTATTAACGTCTGTCTGTCTGTCTGCCCGTCTGCCTGCCTGTCTGTCTGTCTGTCTGTCTGTCTCGCGGGCTGTGACAGTTCCGTTATTATAAACTGTTTTTTATTACCCCCCCCCCCCTCCGGGAGGCGTTCACGGCCCCCCAGGATGGAGACGGTGTGTTAGCGCCGTTAGCTGTTAGCAGGCTAACTATAATCCGACCAACCGCCGCTCGGTTAGCTAACGAGCTAACGAGCTAACGTAGCTAACGTAGCTTAATGCGCCAGTTAGCTTCCGCCCCCTGTAAGCTAACCTTGCTAACGGGCGCTAAAGCTAACTCCTTTTTTTATTTATTGTTTTTATTTTTAGGGGAGTTTAAAAGACTGAAATCGAGTTTGACACGACGCAGGTTGATGTTTGTGGTTAGCTGCGATCATTTCCTCTGTTTTACTGCACAGTCATATCGATAAATACCGTTATCGATAAAGGCACACACACCCTAACTGCAGATATAATAAATTATATTGTATAATAATTAACTAGTTTCCTCAAACACGATCTCATTAAAGGTTGAACTGTATCTGAATAAAACCTGTAATGTTAATTAATTTACGTTTAGTTTTCCAGTCATGGTTAAACCTGGAATTTGATTTTAAATTACCATTTAATGTAAAAACCGATAATAATCTGTTATCTTGGAACATTTAAATGATATTTTAGTGTCTGTAAAACAAGAAATCTCCCTGATTTAACTACTTATGGCCTAATTAATGTGACAGTGTGGATCAATCCACCAGAGACCAACAGGATAAAGATCTGTGCTGAGAACAGCCGAGCCTGTCCCATAAACCTAGACCCCCTACCTGTCCTCGTCAATAAAAACACCGGGGAAACGTTCTGGGACATGATTAGTTAAAAAGAGTGTATTTAAATGTCCTTTCTACCACAAACTGTTCTCACAATTTTATAAAATGATCCTTGAAATTACAAATATGTTAGGTTACTATATATCCCGTTATCTGGAGGGGTTTAAGGTGAATGCAGGTTAAATATAATATAAATTGCTGCCAAGGAGAAACTCCTGGATGCTGATATTATAGACCTTTAGTTAGAAGGACACACTGATCGGTAACATGTGTTGGTTTGGTAATAATGTGTTTGACTTTGTGCGCAGGCTCAGGAAACGGCCCAGCTGGAGGAGCAGCTCCAGGGCTGGGGCGAGGTGATCCTGGCCGGGGATCGGGTCGTGCGCTGGGAGAAGCCGTGGTTCCCGGCAGCCCTGATGGGCGCCACCACCTTGCTCTTCCTGTGAGTCCATCTCCCTGCGTCACACACACACACACACACACACACACACACAAAAATTTCCTCCCTCTCTGCAGTGAAACATATGTGCAACAAGACAAAGACGAGAAGTGTCGAAATCAAATTAAAATGTTCAAATGTCGCGTTGAGCTTCCCACATTTTTTAAACGCAGCGTCAGAAGAAGGAAACAATGGAGATTATACCAGATTAGATTTTGCAGAATGATCTTAAACAACATTTTTTTGTTTGTTGGAGTAATTCTTAAATAACTAGAACACTAACAGACTGTTTTCTGTTACTGAATAACTTTCCTAACACATTCCTCTCTTATATTCCCCCCGAGGTGACTGTGAACCTCCTTTAAAATCTCTGGTTTTTAACATTACAGCTCCAGCATGAGCAGTCAGTCGCAACAAGCAGCTACTTCTGTAAGATAAGGGAAAATGAACAACATGCGTCTCGAGTCACGAGTGGATGATGCAAAATACTCTTCATTCCTTTGTGAGTGCTCGATATGAAACTGGTTCGTAACCATGACTCACTGCTTTGTCTTCCTCTTCCTCCAGGCTGATTTACTACCTGGACCCATCAGTGCTGACTGGGCTCTCCTGCTCTGTCATGCTGCTCTGCCTGGCTGACTACCTGGTTCCCACCCTGGCACCCAGAGTCTTTGGCTCCAATAAGTGGTGAGAGCCTGAGGATGAAAGTTGCATTCAGCCATAAAGTCTTATGTTATTTCCTGCCTATAAAACTTGTGTTTGTGTTTTTTAAAGGGATTTTCCTGTGTTTTGTTTAAGGGGGTTTCTGCTAATCATGAAATTCTGAAATGTTGGCATGAATCCTCCTTTCACTGGATAAATGCACGACTCAGTGGGAAGTCATCCTCCTTTAAGTCTGATTTCCTCAAAATGGAAAGTCATGGCAGCTCTTCTCAAACTGGTTGCTCGTCAGAAGTGTCACAGACCGTAGACACATCGTCGTCTATGTAACATATTTCTCTGAATTCCAGCAGCTGCGTCCAATCAAACGTCAGTGGATGTTTCCAGAACGAAAACCTCGTTGCAAGAACTGAACATGCAAGATATTTAGGCAGGTTTTGCAAGCCTAGCAAATAATGAATCAACCCTGACGTTTAGAGACGAGTGCTCCTGAAGAAATGTAACTGTCTCATTTTAACACATCTGCCGTGACGTTGAAAGCAGACGAGAGCTATAAAGACGATGCAGAGGAAGGCGTTGTGTAGTTCTACTTCATACTGCAAATAAAGCTGCAGCTGAGCTTTGAGCTTTGTTTGTTTGCTTTCTTGTTAGCAGCAGGAGCCAAAGCCAATAATAGTGGAATTAAATTGCAACCAGATCATCAGTTTGGGGATTTGCTTGTTCAATATGAGAGCGCTCTTTTTCATGGCCAACTTCTCTTTTTTTGCTGTAGCTGAATGTGGTCACCTGAAACTCCTCCAGCAGGCTGTTCGACCACTTCACTGAGCTTTGACATTACATAGTGCTTACCTAACGGCCCCTTGACTCAGCTGTGGGTGTTTGATTGTGAGAATCAGACACCCGGGGACAGGATAGAGTAACAGCCGGCAGTTGGCACAGTGCGTTGGACGTCCGTCCGTCCTCTAGCGAGACGCCTGCATCAGCAGAGCACGACCTGCACCCTTTAGCTCTGCTGCACATTCCTCAGGCCGAGCACTGAGCGTGTCTCTGAGTGTGCAGTGTCTGAGCACAGGTTTAAAATGCAGCGTTGTACTTTTTAGATATAAGCCAGGGAAGAAGTGTAGATTATGCTGCTTATTCACTGAGCCTGCAGCTTCATAAGGCAGCAGAATCTGTGAGGGCTGGTTAAATGGAGCTATTAAAGTCCGGTCGTGGTCTCCGTTTGGCTCCCTGACAACAAGGACAGAAATACGGAACGATGGCTAAGCAGAAAGTGAAGGCCAATTCTCCCAGCTGCCCTCCTTCATCCTCCAGTCAGGCCCTTCAGTGTTATATCCCTATAGTCTTACAGCACTAATGTACAAACGCAGGAGGTTTTCTGTCCCTTTATACCCGACTAGTAAGAACAAACTGTCGGGGTTGATTCAGGTCATTATCTCAAGTGAAATAGTCAAATTTTAAAGTCTCAGAAGAGGCTGTTATGTAGCTTACACTCATAAAACATGAAGAGAAACAACAAATATACAATAATGAGAGTCTGAGAACTTTTACAGAAGAGAAATCAAAATAGTTGCTGATTTAATTTTCTGTCAGTTCACTAACTAATGATTTAGATTTTTAAATGCAGATAACACGAGGAGAGCAATTACTTTCCCCTTGAAATGAATGAAACAAGGTCATGGAAACAGTACTGCTTTTGTCCACAGGGGCTGCCAGAATCAACACAGAATGAAGGTTCCTCGTGGTGGGGGGGGGGGCTTTATCAGAGCAACCCACTGGCCTCTGCTTTGACTGACGGCTCTTCCTCTGCTGGGATTTGGTTAGTTTTGTGGTTTTAATCGCGCTCTTCTCATCCTCAGGACCACCGAGCAGCAGCAGCGTTTCCACGAGATCTGCGGCAACCTGGTGAAGACTCAGCGTCGGGTCGTGGGCTGGTGGAAGCGTCTCTGCGCCCTGAAGGAGGAGAAGCCCAAAATGGTGAATAAACCTTTTAATCTGTCAGTTAGCAATGGCGTTCTGTACAGCGGCCCTACAGCTGCACTGCAGTAAATGGAGCCTTGGTCACAATGGCGAGCTTTCTCCGTGCTCCAGATAAAAATATCCTCAGCTGATTTGGCTTTGCTGCTCCACTTAGCAGATCTCAAACTGGGTTACAGGCGGCAATAACTAGGTTTTTCACAGCACGCTTTAACATTATTAGACACCCTCACATTCTTTAATTCAATGACCGCCTTTGTTGGTTCCTCCAAAAACGCCCACGTACGTTCTGCTAATGAAAATAAACCGAGTTAATGTGGCCGTACAGCCGAGGAATGATTGAACTCACTGTGCTGTCAGGATGCTCTGTGTGTCTGAACCGCTGTAGGTTGTAACGTGACCTCCCTGCTCTCCACAGTACTTTGCCTCAGTGATCAGCAGTTTGCTCGCAGTGGCCTGGATCGGACAGCAGGTGCACAACCTGTTCCTGACCTACCTGATCGGTGAGTACATAACATACAACCCTTTTATATATAAATCCTCCTGCGTTGTTAATCTCACTCTCTGTTCTGTGATCTTCAAAAACGCTGCTATTAAGACAAATGCACACTGGATTATTCAGGTTGTCTAACTTCCAAATATGTAGGGTGGAACAGCTGATCTCATTTAAAAGCAATACCGTTGAGGAGCTTGAGGCGTTGATGCAGTAAAGTGTTGGAGAGGAGGCGTGAGGCCGGACCTTGTATCTATATAAACGCTTTCATATCATTTAATTCACCAAAAAATGTAAAAGAACTGAATGGTTTTATACTTTTGTGGTTCAAGGCCACAGATTACAGAGCTAGTGTTGAGATTAATGAGAAAGGCCTGTCTGGGGGAAAAGAAGCTTTGAAGTCAGAAAACCTGCTGCAGTTTAATGATCATCACATGGCAGAAACAGGAAGTGGTAGGTTTCTTTGTCCGCAGCCCCCCCCCCCCCGGCTGTGGAGTCACATGAGCTCATCACCATCAGGCTTTCTGGCACTGACTCAGACGTGCAGCAGTAACGTAGATCAATACCTGGATCCCTGAGACCTTCAATAAGCAGCTCTCCATTATCCATTGAACATAAATGTGAGACTGCAGTGAAACTTGAACGTGTCCCTCCGCTCTACCAGGACAAACCCTGTGGTGCCTCAGGCAAGGTGGCGGTTGGTGAATAAGTAGGTTTTCTGGCTGTGTGGGAGCCAATCATCAGTTATATAAGCTGAGACATGTCTGATGGAGTAGAAAGGACTTCTGAGGGCGCGTGACTCTGAAACAACAAAGAATTCTTTATTTTAATCTCCGATCGGGTTCATTGGGGCTCCCGGTGTTCACTGTTCATCCCACAATCCTATTGATTGTGTCTGTTCACATACTGAAAGTCCTGCTGGAATGTGAAACCTTTTCGATAACCAATTATGGAGTTACACATGACGTGGCATCTATTTTTTCCAGTTGCCTAGCAACACTGTTTTCAGCACAACCACATGTACATAAAGCGGTTCGTGTGCGGAGCTTCCTGTGTCAAACAACAACTCACAAGTTTCTCTTCAACACAGCAACTATTAAAAATAAATAAATATCAGGAGACTTTTGGAAACATTTGTTGTTTTAAAGATTTCTCAGCTTCTGATGCAAAGTGATCTAAAGTCTGCCTGACTAAATATGACGATCATCATGTCACATTTAATCAGACTATAAAGCTGAGTCACAATATGAGCAGCAGGCTGAGAGAGAGAGGGAGCAGTGTTCACAGGTCTCTCTCTCTCTCTCGCTCTGTGTTTGTGTCGTAGATGAACTTTCAGTCCCAGCAGCAGCAACGCTCGAAACAAACGTCAAACTCTGAGTTAAACTGAGCTTCTATGTAACTGTACTTATTCTTGGGAATACTCATTTTTAGTTTTAATCTTCCAGCCAGCAGCAACACGTTGGCGTCCTAAACTCGTGTTAGAAATACAGCTGAGGACGCTACTGCTTCATAAAAACTGAAACGGATATGATGACAAATGACTAACATTGGCGTGCTGTATGGTTACTGTTTAAATGGGTTAATGACCGATGTGCCATGGGAATTTCAAAATAAAGGCATATCTTTAAAAATGACCACATGGATGTTTTCAAACTGAATCAATCACATTTAATCATTAATCGACTATCTGTACAGCCCTTATCAGGTAGCAACCTCATTTAATACTTACTCAGACAATATTAACTTATAATTTATACTTTTTCTTTCCATTTCCGACTCTTAAAGTCTGTATGAAATGCTCGTTGTGTGTTAAAGTTATGGTTATTTTTATTATCTATGAAATGTGCCTTTTTTACTGGTTGTTTTTAAATGACAGATTATCTTTAATCCAATGTGCAGCTGACTAAAAACCAAAGTAAATGCATGTAAACCCAAACAGCCACACGCTCGGTCTGTATGATTTAAAAGCGTAACCCGCTGCACTCCTAAGCTCGCCCTGTTTGTTCTGCAGTGAACTTCCTGCTTCTGCTGCCCGGCCTGAACCAGCACGGCGTCATCTCAAAGTACGCGTCCATGGCCAAGAGGGAGATCAACAAACTGCTCAAACAGAAGGAGAAGAAGAACGAGTAGACGGACGTTTGACGGTGACGGGAAATCTCCGACAGATGATCCACGACACAACGGAAGGTGGAAGGAAGTTGTTTTCGAAGAGAGAGAGAGGGGAGAGCTAGAAGTTAGCCTCCTGCTTCCTCGGCCTCCGCCACAGAGGAAACCACGATCTTATTTTGTTTTCACTCATTGGATAAGTTTCATCCCATCACCCACCCACTCGGTTATTCTTATGAATTAATCTGCCGTGCATGCAGCTGCCACATGAAGTTTATGTTGTCACACGTTCTCACACACGATACCGAAACGCTCAGAAGCACACACGCGCACACACACACGCTCCCCGCCACGTACACAAAGTCGAAATGTTACTTCTGTTTCTTAGTTTGAGTGTGAGCTTCATTTTAAGATGTCAGTAATGCTTTTAAGCCATTCCCTCTACTTAGACAAAGCGACTACTGAGCAGTTTGTGTAGCATTTACTGCATCATTTTAACCTCTCATAGATTCCTCATCATTATTTCCAGGACAGTGTTTGTCACTTAAGAACAGGTCATGTAAATGTACCTTTAAATATTTTTATTTTTTTGCTCATTCTGCTTCAGTTGTATTTAAAAATAATAGTGCTGAAAAAACAGAACTGGATTTGAAGCGGAGCTCGTCAGGAGTGAAACTGTGTCTAGATACAAGCCTACTGCTGTACCGCTGCTAGCTGGACACTGTGGTCTATTAGCTCTTCTGTAAAAACCCCAGTGTGTTACTGGTGTGGGGGGGGGTGTCGCTGTGTAAATAGACCTATCCCTCACTCTGTCTCGGTCAGTCTAATGTTTGTTTTCCTTTCTCTGTTGTTATTTATCTGTCCTTTCCTCCTCAGTCTCGTCGTTTTCTGGTCTCATCACTGTCTTTCAACTCATTTCATTATTTGTCTTTATTGGAGAACTTTAAGAAAATGAATAAAAGTTTGATTTCAGTGAGTTTTTTTTTTTTTTTTTAGGTGGTTTCTTGGTTTTTAGCAGCTGTATTTCCAGCTTTAAAGGTCCAGTGTCTGACATATAGGAGGTTGACCTACACACAATGTATACAGACTCTTTTCTCCAGTTTGTTTTTCAGCTCATTCTCGGCCTCTGACATTTGTCTAACAGTCTAAACGCTTAAGCCGAACAAACAAACAAAACCTACAAAGGCAACAAACATTAGCCCATCAGAGGCAGAACGCCTGTGGGGATTAATCGAGCATTCAGTGTTTAGGGTACCTGGACTCACCAGTGGGGTCTTGCACAAAAGTAGGATAAAGAAATCCAGGATAATTGAGCAAGCGCGGCTTGACTTAGCCTGCTCGGCGCATCCTGGTTTAATTGGTTGCAGGTTTGCCGAGCCAGGATGAAAAGGCGCGGCAATGTTAAGCCAGGTGTAGATAGTCGGGATAAGTGCGTGTTCACGGCATACTGAAATAGACCTCGCGATCGCTCACAGAATCACCGATGGGAACATGGATAAGAGTCATTATGAAGAGGGAACAGGTGGAATAATATATAGTGTGTGTGTGTGATATATTTATTATGGGATGCCGTTTAGGAAATTAAGCTTGAATATATGGAATGAATCTGGATATACGATAAAATGTGAGAATACGAATAAAATTCAAAACCTAGTTGTATCCTTTTCATCAAAGTGATAGCCTCGAATTAGCTGGTTTTACAAAATGGCATCAGTTGAAATATTACAATACTTTCTTAAACTGGAAAACTTTTTGCTTTTCTGTCAGGATTTAGCCTGAGGCCTGTTGTAGTCGGCCTGCCACCATTAAAAAGGGAGTGAACTTCTGTCAGGAGAACGGTTTGGGCACGGGTACTATGGGAAGGATTTTGGCCCGTACAAGCACTTACCAATGAGTTAATAATGTCCTCATTGATCAGTATTGCTGCCACAAGGTTCCTGACTGACTCATTCTCACTTCTACAAGATGGCAGCAGTGCCTTGATGACCAGTCAAGTTTCATTCAATATATTCAAAGTTTCATTCTATATATTCAAAGATTAATCTCTTAAACAGTATGCCATAATATATATACTATTTTGCCCTTGTCACAGATTTCATTGAAAACACCTTGCAACAGCTGTGTTTTGTAATCCAATACTGCAATAAACACATATTTATGCAGTTTGACAAGCAGTCTTCATTAGCATAGCAATATAACACTTGTCCTGAGTAATAATAATAATAGTAATAATACTTCCACTTGAATCAATATAAAAAGACTGTTGCAATTACAAACAGCCAACAGATTTAAATAAATGAGAAATGACAATATATATGTAATATTTGAATGCAGGATAATTAAAATGATGCAACATACTTAGAAAGACCATGGACATGCTGTAAAACACATTAATTCCTCACAGGACTGACGGTGGAAATACAGGTGAATCACCTGGATCAATGTTAGCCTGGCTGTTAGCCTGGTCTGGAGCAGGCTAACTGCAGAGAATAAATCACCATAGTAACTTGGCCGGGATAAGTTTAACCTGCTTTCATGCAACCGACTTGAGGCTAAATTCAGCCAGGATAACAAACATATCCCGGCTTAATCCCTTATCCTGGTTTTGTGCAATACCCCTCCGGAGGGGACGGTACACAATAAGTAATTAAGTAAACATCAGAGGAGCCGGCCCTCAGTAACCGTGAGAACAGACCTGTTTCAGGCGCTGGTAGAGACCAAAACTAGAGCTCATCCTGTTGGAATTCTGTTTGTTTTAAAAGGTGGTAATGTCTGTTTACATCTTCTCTCACTGTCCCACAGTGCTCAGATTATATATTATTGCATGTGTGGGAGTCCTGATACTCTCTAAGCTGCTGTAACTTTCACTATATCCTGATAGAACATGAGACAGAATCTGTGGAAACATCAGGTTCCTCTGGCTCCTCCTCCTGTTTTCACAGATTATCTCCTGTTGTACTGTCAGGATATAGTGAAAGTTATTCCTATAAAAGTCACCAACTGCAGCTTTAAACTGAACGATGTGGCAGAAATGGAGGAAACAGTGAAATGTGGCAATCTGGGCCGGAGATGAGGAAGTTTTCTATTATAAAATGTTTGAATGTCCCTTTTTTAAACAGCTAAAGGAAAGAAGCCATTCCCTTCAAACTCTTTCCTCCTTTCAGCAAATTCTGTCAAATAACTTCAACAGGACAAACAATCCTCACAGTTTGTGGTTCAGGACAGTGAAACAAGTCATGTGACGTAAGAGTACTGGATGTCTGTGCAAAGTTCAGCCTAGCTCATCCGTACATTCACTGTTTGTGCTGTTTGATTTGATTTTGTATTGATCTACAAACACCAATCTAATCCAACACAACATAAAGGGAAAGGCACTTCATTAGGACGCTGAAAGACTGAACATGTATTATAAACAGAAACAATGAGACATCAACACAAAGTAAAAGCTGTAACGTCGTCACACTTATTGATTTAATTTCTCTCTGTGTTCCAGTGTGAGAACATAAACAATGGATATTTTTACCAGTTTCATGGGACTTAGTCTACCAATTAAAGCCGCTCTGTGGTCTCTCTGGTATTTATGGAAGCCCTTTTCTAGATTCTCTTAAGACATTAAATGAGAAACTTTATAAAAAATAATGACTTAGTATCACAATGTTGTTATTTTGAGTGTATTTAAATTAAAATCCTGAGAAAGTTTCTCAATAGTTTCACATAAGTCTTTATTTTTTGTAAGTCTATCATTATAATGTCTTACAGATCTTTTTTTCTTCCTCCATACGTTGTTTGCCTCCTTCAGACTGATCTTAAAATATCTTGCTGCATATCTTATGTGACTGAGACTCCCTGTGGTTTCCCTCCAGGCCTGTTCCCAGTTTTTACTTCAGTTCATAGAGTCAGACGTCTGCTGACACTGAATATTCTCTGTAATCTGCAGAGGGGGAATCAGTCGAAGTAAAACATCAAACCAGACAGCAGTGATCATTAATATTGAAGCGTTGCAGTGTGATTGTTGTGATGTGCGTCAGTAGAGTCTGAGTGCAGAGTAGTCCGTCTCCCAGCGCCTCGCCGCCCACAGCAGCTTGTCCCTGGACCGTCTGCTGGGCTTCCCTGGACCAACCATCGGCCTCTGTTCACCTGCAGAGGACACGAGTGATGAATACACTGTAATCAAACCCACACAGGAGGGATAATGCAGTCTGTGTGCAGAAACCTGCAGTGGGATGTTTGAGTGTCTGTGCAGAGACAATAGAAGGATGTTTTCACACTCAGAAATGAGCTCAGTCAAAATCTATAGTAAAGGTAAAGGTGTGAAAAAACATTTTAGGGAACTGAAATTAAAATACAGAAAAACTAAAATAACTCTGTTTGAAGGTCAATCCTGGTCCAATTATTATACTTTTAATCACACACACTAATGAGAGGCTGCAGTTCCTCCCTGTGGCCACTGGAGGCCAGTGAACACTCATGAGTCGATATACACTCAGGTCACCTGTCACTACACCCTATACAAGGACTTCCTGCAAATACTTTCAAAATAAAACAATCAAAAGTGACAGCAGTGTTTTCAGTGTTCTGCCCACCGACCGAGTCACAAATCTTTATCTGTTGCATTTATATTTAATCAAGAACAATCTGAATTCAAGTTCATACACTGCAAAGCCAATATGTAAACTAGTTTCCATTAACCTTTGCGAATTAGAACAGCATGAAGGGAAGAGCATAGATACTATAGTGTATTCTACACTCAACCTGTCACTATGTAATTATTTTAATAACCTTGTTTGTTTGTTATTCTTCTTTTGTTCTTGTTACATTATTGTTTGTCTTGTCTTGTTTAGCCAGTATTAATAAAACAGAAACATTAATTGTAATAATAATCATAAATATCTGTATTATTCTGACTACCTGTCAGTATGTTGTGTTGGTGCCACTGTGTTGGTCTGCCGCCTGCCAGCGGTGGCGAGCGGTCGCTTACTGGGACCCTGAGCTCCGTTTGGTAGGTGGTCCAGTACTCTGATGGATCCTGCGGGTTGGTGACCTCTCTGACGGCCCGGCCGCTGCGATACCGGGCCCAGTTTTCCACCTTCGGGTCCATCCTCTGGAGGAAGACCGGAGATACAGAAAGGTGTGAGGGACAAAAAGTCTGTTTGAGAGTTTGTTTAATTTACAGAATGAATAAACTGTGACGAGTGAAGACAATGATACCTGAATCAAAGGATACCTATTAAAGTGTGTAGGATTGCAACTAACTGAACACCCCTCGCGTCTGTATTTGAGGACGTAGCAGTGAGAACAGTGTGAACATGTGAAGAGTGTGGGAGAAACTACGAGAACACAAAAGGCTCTTTTCAAAGCCAGTGTTTAGGTTTGACCTTTCTGGGCTACTGTAGAAACGTGGTGGACTCGACCTGATACATCGAGAACTTTACAGAGAAGAAGGAGACTTTATAAATGAACAATATTTAAATATTCATAGAGGTAGACGCAGTAGATGACATCATTGTTGATCTGAAACCATCAGACTACATTAAAGAGATTCTCGGAGTGATGAAGTCCTGATGTTATATCTGGAGTTCATCATGCTGCAGCCTTACCGGTGTGATGTGTTTGGCACTGTGCACCTCTGTAGTGTGTGACTGCAGCGCACACGGCAGCGCTGTGGTGTCGGTACTGAGGTCCAGCCGGGTCCGGTGCTGCGAGGGGAAGCTGGGATCTCTCAGGTGGAAGAGGAGAGGACGTCCGTCGGCCGACCTTCCAGAATAACTCTGACGAACACAAAGAGGCAAAATGATGAAGATGCCACAAAGAACCGTCCTCAACCCGGACCCCTGAACCCGCTGGAGCAGTGTGCCGACCTGGTTGTGGGTGGTGGAGTAGCTTGGTGCCGTGTCCCCCAGGTTCAGGGTGCTCTGATGCAGATGTCTCGGTTTGGAGGTCTTTGCTTTACTTTGACAGCGACAGCCACAGTGGGCCGAGCTCTGGTCCATCAGACTGCTCATGTCCACGCCTCAGTAACAGAGGGTTCTGGTTCTGGTCCGGACTTCAGCAGATGAACCGGAAAATACAGAAACAGTTCCTGCTTGACTCTCAGAGAAATGTGTTTAAATTATAAACCTTAACAATCTGCTGGTTGTAATTTATATCAGACAGACTATAAACCTTCACATGGAGCAGTTTGGGGTCCAGTGTCTCGCTCGAGGACACTGGGGATCGAACCGACAACCCTCTGATGGGTGGACAACCCGCTGAACCTCCTGAACCACAGCTGCTACATGCTACACTAATCTATTTTGAAAAGTTATGATTAAGATAAAAGTGACAGCTTATGTTAACTAGGGGAGTTGTAGACTGACTGAATGAACAGACTGTGTGTAATTATTATTATTATTATCATTATATTATTATTAGTGTTTGTACGAGCTAACAAATATAACTTATATAACCCCAACCGACGTCTTTAATCTCAACATATTCTAATAAACTGCACTCAATCATTAAATACTGACATTAATCAATAATTAATGATTATTGAGTCAAAGCTTTACAGGAAGTAATCAATAGAAAGATATAATTAAGTAGAGAATAAAGTAAATCAGTGCTGATTTACCTTCATCGTCGGCTCTGTGGAGACTCACCTGTGTCAGGTTGCTCCTGGTGAAACTTTGTCGTCATGGTGACGAGAAAACAAAAACAAACAGAAACATTAAAATCCAAGTTTACTTTTAAAGTGTCTGTCAGTCTGTAAAAGATTTAACTTCATATAACCTCATATAAGCATATAATACACTACAGTTTCTGTTATATAATATTATTATTATATAATATTAAACATGTTACTCAACTCCATTAAGATCTTATATTGAAATCACATGTTCAGATTATAAAATATGAATTTATTGTCATAGATTAAAGTATAAATAACAGTATAAAATGTACCAGATACTTCTATAGATTGTATTTATATATATTGTATTATAATGTTCATTTGTTCTGTTTTTAAATGTTTATGTGCATATTGTAACATTATATTTTATTTTCTCTATATAGTTGTTAGATATTGTAATGTAATAGATCATTTTAACATTCTATATTATTATTTATATTTATATTGTATATTGTAAACATCAATAGTATTAGTTTATTCTCGTTTTATTTTATTATTATTAATTCCTTCTTTGTGTCTATAAAACACTTTAAAACTGCCTCTTGTCTGAATTTTACCATATAAATAAATCTACTTATTGAATTATGATATTATAAATTATATAAATAGTAATAAGTGTTATTTATCTGATTGATTGATTGATTGATTGATTGATTGATTGATTGGTGACTCCGCCCGCCCCTTGCGGTGGCAGGAGGAACTGCAGCAGTGGACCGTTAAAGGGACGCCGGTGTTCGTGCATCCATCTTCCTCCTCCTCCTCCTCCTCCTCTTCCTCCTCGGGTCAGTCAGTAAACAGCTCGCTGTTTGATCTGCGGGGTTTACGGTTACCGGCTGTTCCTTCGTCCGTTGAAATGTCGTCTAACGGTAAGAGAGAGTCCGGTTATCGGTGTAGAGCCGCAGACACATTCAGGAGGTTAACGGGCGAGTTAGCTGCTTATTGTTATTATTATTATTATTATTATTATTATTATTGTTGTTTATATATCTGTTGAACAGCTGCTAATGTTTTTATTTTTAATGTTTAAAAGAATACAGAAGAGTCTGTTAGCGACCGTTATCCGACCGGAGGAAACCTCCACCGGTTAGTTAGCACCGATTATCTGCCGTTAGCATTAAGCTAAACGGGCTCCGGTCTAATTTATATGGCTCCGTGCCCTGTTAGCTGCTAGCTGCTAGCTGCTAGCTGTTAGCTCGCTTGTGCTACTGACCCGGTTCTCCCCCCCCTCAGCACTGCGGGTTTAACGCGGGTTATAGTTTATATATATATTTATATATAACATATTAATATATAATATATAATATAAATAATATATATATATTAAATATATTATATTTGCTTTATTAAATATATATAATATTTAATATATATAATATATAATATATATTAAATATTATATATATTTAATATATATAATATATAATATATATTAAATATTATATATATTTAATATATATAATATATTAAATATATAATATTTAATATATTATATATTATATATATTAATATATATAATATATTAAATATATAATATTTAATATATTATATATTTAATATATAATATATTAAATATATATAATATTTAATATATATTAAATATTATATATATTAAATATTATATATATTTAATATATATAATATTTAATATATATTAAATATTATATATATATTTAATATATATATAATATTTAATATATGTTAAATACGTAATATATTATATATGGAAGCTCAGTTCATTGTAATGTCTCTAAATATTTACTTAGTATCTCAAAGTCATTATTATATGATATTAAGTCTTTATTATATGATATTGTTGTTGTTAAGAGATATTAAGTCTTTATTAGATATTAAGTCTTTATTATAAGATATTGTTGTTATTATGAGATATTAAGTCATTATTTGATATTAATTCTTTATTATAAGATATTAAGTCATTATTATAAGATATTCATTCTTTATTTTAAATATGAGTCATTATTATATGATATTGTTGTTATTACGAGATATTAAGTCATTATTAGATATTAAGTCTTTATTATAAGATATTTAGTCATTATTATGATAATATCACCAAACACAGCTCCCACCCTGGCTTTGACCTGTTGCTGAGCTACAGGTGCATTAGGACTAAAACAAACAGACTTCAGCTTCTTCCCAAAATCAATAACCACTCTGAACTCTCACATCCACCCGGACTCTCTTCAGTCACTATTAAACACTGTTAAACCTACAAACATACCTACTGTGCAGTATCATACAATGTACAATATATATATATATATAAATATATAACACCGTATTTATTTGCAAATGTTCACACTCTTTGCACCTTACCTCCTTTTTGTACTATTACTTTATGTCCTGTGTTTATATTGTATATATTTTGATAATTGCACTGCTATTGGAGTTGGTTTTCTAACCTCATCGTACATGTGTACAGTGACAGTAAAGGCTTTCTATTCTATATTATGTTATTATTGTGAAATATTAGTTAATTATTTTGAGATATTAAGTCAGAATATTGAGTGTCTCATTATAATGACTTACATAATCTTTTTTTGGTCACATTGGTGGAAACAAGCTTCCATAAGATCTGTTAATATGATGGTTTATAGTAAACAACTACATGTATTTTCTTTATGAACAATAACAACATCATGTTAAGCTCAATGCTACAAAAGTTATATTTTAAATAAATAAAAGCTGAATTTATTACACTGCTGGTTAATCGCTCATCCTCCCATTAATACGTTAGAATAACAGACAATACAACGTTTATAATTTCTAATTGTTTTGAACCCTTTATGTTCTGTAGTTGTAATGAAGCTTTGTAGCATTTGGATCAGCCATATTAGATCTGTGCTTTTAAATGTCGAAACTTATTTAATAATAAGTAATATTAACACTCCGTTTGGTTTATTCCACAGATTATTCCCAAACATCTGCCCAGGGGTGAGTAGAGCTTCTTAACCTCGGGGGTCAGTGGATTAACAGATATTATATAAAGGACATTTGTTTAGTTTTTAAATATATTATAATATGTTTTATATAAAGCTTTGATCGCTCCCGTCAGTCTAATATAAACCTCTAGGACAGAAACTGTAAATTATTATTAGTGATTATTATTTGCTCTTTACCGGCAGCTATGGGTCCTACGGTGGAAGTGGAGGTGGCGGTGGCGGTGGCGGCTCCAACCAGGGCTACGGTCAGTCTTCCGGCCAGAGTTACAGCCAGCAGGGCTACGGAGGCTACAACCAGAGCTCGGACAGCGGCTCCGGCTCCTACAACCAGGGAGGATACGGCAGCTACAGTCAGCCCTCGTCAGGTAGAGGAAGACTCAGGAACAGTTGTTCACTAACACATTGTTCTATGGTTAACGCCGATCTCCTCTCTTCTCGCAGGAGGATACGGTTCTCCGTCTTCTAACCAGGGTGGCAGCGGTGGTGGTAGCGGCGGCGGCGGCGGCGGCGGCAGTGGTTATAATCACTCCAGTCAGTCCTATAGCTCTGGAGGATACAACAGCAACCAGCCCTCCAGCATGAGCTACAACCAGCAGTCATCCTTCTCTGGGTACAGCCAGCAGCAGCCTCCTTCCTCATCCTCCTCAGGGTAGGACAGCTTCTCATTTACAGACTTAATATTATATAATCACCATCATTATATATCTTATAAGGCCCGTTCGGACAGGAGGACAGATTCTGGAGGGATGTGGGTGATGAAATGTGAGACATACATACTTTCACTGCGTCCATTTTACATCGGAAAACAAATATTTGTACAAACCTACATCGGACCCCTGGATCGATCTAAATCTACCACGAACTGCTCGAAAACCTGAATCTGTTGATTAAAGCTTTAAAGCTAACGATCCTCTCGAGGTCGGTACATAAAGAAAAGTGTTCTCTCTCAAGTGCTCCCTAGTTTTTTTTAATACTTATTCTTCCCTCCAACAGCTATGAAGGGAGCTCGCAGGCTCCCGGCTACAACCAGCCACCGAGCGGCGGACAGAGCGGAGGTGGTTACGGCAGCAGTGGCGGTCAGACTGGTGGCTACGGGGGCAGCGGGGGCCACCAGCAATCATCCCAACACGGAGGAGGTCACTACAACCAGCCTCCGAGCTACAACTCTCCCCCTCCTCAGAGCTACAGTCAGCAGAGCCAGTACGGTGGAGGTGGAGGTGAGATTTCTGGAAAAATCGTAACACTGTTTTCTGGATTGACTTGAATAAAAATTGCTGTTACGTAGCCGTAGACGGTAAATCTGTGGAGGTCTGATTGTCTCAACTCTTCCTCAGGATACGGAGATGAAAGCCCGCCGTTGAGCGGAGGAGGAGGTGGAGGGTACGGTGGTCCTGATGGAGGTTACGGTCAGGATGGACGTGGAGGCAGGGGCCGCGGGGGTGGATTTGGAGGACGTGGCGGCGGTGGCGGCGGCGGCGGTGGCGGATACGATCGCGGTTTTGACCGAGGTGGCCGAGGCGGACCGAGAGGAAGAGGAGGCATGGGGTAAGTGTTTAAAGACTGATCTCGTGTCCATGTTATCAACCTGAGTACAGTGATTCGTGTCAATGTTTCCTCACCTTTGGTTACACGTGGAGCTGTAGCATCTGTAGCTACATGCTAAAGCCACTGAGAGGTGTGTGCTGATGTGTTCACTCACTCAGGGTTGACACCAATATATCAGAAATGCCTCAGATACAACCCAATATGCTGGATCGAGTATCAGCGAGTACCATCCGATACACCTTGCTACTTCCCAGCAGCGTCCTGTTTTTCCCCCACCAGGATGTTGAAGTCATAAACCGCCCTACTCTGTCTCTGATTGGCTTACCTTGATATTCTCACCCTAACCTAATCCAACCAACCCAAATCAACTGAGGCAACGAGTACCAGCCAATCAGAGTCAGAGTAGGGCGGATGGTGTGGAGTTGAGTTAGTGTAGCGTTAGCCAATGTGACTGACTGTCAGACGTGATAATATATAAAAGTTTAATGTCTCTGTATGTATTTGTTCATACAACAGCAGCAGCCGTACAGGGTTAGTTATATTCAGCTTGTTAAATAATAATTATTTAACACAAATCTTCCGGGATCAGTGTTGGGTATCGGAGCATCTTTTACTTTCCAGGAAAATGCCACAAAGCAATCGATATGTTTTCTGTCTGCAGTGACGTCTGCACAAAATTTTCTTTGTTTTCTGAGCTGAATACCAAACACACACCTTTCTTAGGTGAACACAAACATATTAAAAGTGTTGTTGCAGAACCTCCCTGAGATATTTGAGGACAGGGAGTGTCAACGTACCCACCTTTAGTGTCCTTCACTGCCTGTGGACGGGCGGTATGATAGATATCACATATCACAATGTTAATATTAACAATACGGTGCAACATCCTGTGTAAAACAAACTTAAATTGATGCAATGAACTGTGAACCCTGATTCATTTCATCAGTAAAAGCTTGTGTGAAACATTACTGTTCGCTTGTAATCGATGGTTTAACCGACAACAGATTGTAAAACAGTAACACGCTATAATCATATCATCGTGATATGATACCACTGGAAGTAATCCATTTAAATTATTACCCAGCCTACTGGATGCTACACATTAAACCAGCCCAGAGCTCACAAAAGGAAACTGTATATGTTTAAAACATGGTTGCCTGGGTCCAACAGAAAGGGAGTGGCTTTAAATGAGTTGAGCTTGTAAACTGGGTAAAATTCAGATTATATGAGGAGGTTTGGAGTCGCTGATGTTGGGCTCATTAAGTTAAGGTCCTTGTGGCTGAATGCTGGTCAGAAACCAAAGTTTACATTATCAATATCGCCACAAAAAGCAATGAAGTATTAAAATGGATGAATGAAACTGTGTCCAGCTCTCAGTCAGTTCAGTTACGACAGTTTACTGCTGGACTGGCTGACCCAACTCTCAACAGAAAGCGAACAAAAGTGGGAAGGAAAAAGGGAAACTTTTAGAAATGTAACTTAAAGGCACCTGTAGTAAACCTGTTTATGATAAAGATCAACAGCACAAATACAAAAGCTTTTAATGGCAAACATCTGCACTGACAGATCAGTGTCTCCTTGTACAACAACTAACAAACGCTGTGTAAACTAAAAGGAAACATATAAGCGTATGATGGTGGTATTAAATGGTGATTTGGCTGTAACTGGTGTGTGGTGGTGTTGCAGCTGTCGCCTCTAATCTGCTTTACAACAAGTGATATCTACAAGTAAGATCTGAAATGTGTGTAACGGCAAACAAAAGCCAGCTAGGTGCAGCTCTCTCATGTTAAAACATCCCAAGAGGAGAGGGAGAGACCCCGGCGCTGAATATATTTATCGTCTTTTCCCTGATGGTCACTAGTCACTAGTTGCTTTTTAGAAGTCACTAAGAGGGTCTGACAAGTTTCTACAACTAGATAGACTAGACTAAGATAAGTGGCAAGTTGGTGCTACCTCATGTTTTTACTAACAATTAAAATTATATATATATATATATATATATATATATACTATGGCACAGAAACCTAAAATAATTACATACTAATGATGAATTTCTCTGTATCTTTGTGTCCCAGTTGCTATTTTTATCCATCGAACGCAGGTTGAGAATGAATTTGTGATGTCTGTTTGTGAGTCGCTGAGCAATGTTGAGAGTTGTCTGCCATTCACAAGCTGCTTTCTGATTAACTGAACTCATTTGACCCAATTATAATAAATTGAGTAAACCTGAAGAGGCTGTTCAAACTTAAATGTACTAGAAGGAGGTTATAAAACAGTTTTCATTTATGTTAACTTACATAAACTCAGACCATCAGTGAGAAGCTATTTCTATGTAGTTATTCTTAATGTTTTCATCGGGTCGGATTCCCCCTTGAAATCAATGAAACGAGGTGGTGGAAGCACTACCGCCTTTGTCCACAGGGGGCGCCACAATCAACACTAAGGGAAAAATCCTTGTTGCTGCTTTAAGAAAAAGATGAATACAGAAAAATGGATTATGGGTCGGGGGACAAACTTATATAAACCAAATAAATTATACAGAACAGAAAAGAGATTTTACAACAAGATCACTGAATGAGTAAAACTATGAAGCAGAAACTGGTAAGTTGATGTTTTTTGTTTTCTTATCGAGGGTTACAATATCTCATGTACTTTATTGTAACCTTATGATGTTGGTGATGAAGTCACAGACAAATCAGTTTACCATTTCATTGTATGTTCTCTCATCCATTATGGACAATATTAGAGTCTCCTTCCCCCACCATTACGATATTCAGAAGTCAATCCCTCAAATCTGTCACAAAATCACTGTTGAATATATATACATACCGTAAAACTTCTTATAATAGCCCATTTATTTGCTTAAATCACTGAACTCCCCCTGCCTTTATTGGGGACAGGCCTCTATTTGGGACAGGCCTTTAATTCCTTTAGCACAACACTAAACTAAACTCTAACTGCTGCTTCTCTTGAGGTTTTGTTCAGCAAATTTGACGACTAACATGATGATTATGATGCTTCAGAGGTTTTTTTTCCATCTCTCTTGTTTACCATGTTACCGGTAAGTCAGAATGAATTAACGTTATACTTTGTTGTTGATAGTTTTCGTAAAATATAGTGAACGATTGAATTGTGGAGAATCTATAACTGATCTAACGATGTTCATTATGTACATACTGACAAAAGTTTAAACATTTTAAACAGGAGATCAAAACGACTCAAAGCTCGCTGAAGCGGGCGACCCGGTGGGTTTTATACATGAGATAATTTCTATAAAATCCAGACCAGGCCTCTATTGGAGACCTGCGTTTATTTGTCAAAACGAGTAGCCACACCAGGCTTTTAAAAGAGACCTGCGTCTATTAGGGACCCTGCTTTTATTTGAAGTTTTACGGTATATATCTTTTATGTATTGAAGAGTTAAAGTGGTTTATCAGTTATCTTGATTTAATATTTAACAATGGAGGAACGTGTAAGTAAAAACCGTGTCTTGTACTTGCTATCTTGGTATAATGAAGCACAAACTGTAACTCTAAAGTTAGTTAGAAAGTTGTGTGTAAATAAAAACAGCTAGCTTGACCAGTAAGCTCCTACAAACTGTTAAGTCTGAAGCCAATAGGGTGGGGTTTTTACCTCCTCACGAGTGTCTTTTTGCCAACACGGGACGTAAACTGTGGCACTGACTCCTACCGCACACTAACACGCCACAATACATTCCCATCGCCTGCCTTTGTCACCTGTTACCTCCACCTTCCCAACCAGCCCTTACAGGATCACTGTGTCATACTCTGCTTTAATCAATCTTTGAATCTTCTCCTAGGCTTTTACCTTCTCTCCAGGCTGGCTTTCTGCTCTTAAGCCATCATTTGGGATATCTACAAACAGTTAATAGTCTTCTTGTAGTTAGAGAAACGATTTTAAATTGCTTTTTTGTTATCATTTGAGAGATCATGAGAAAAAAGCCTCAAAGAAAACATTTGGATTTACTGCAATTTGTGTAAAGAGTAAAGGTTGTCTGAGACCTAAAACAAAACATCCATCCAGGGATCAATGGTGTTAATGTTTGGGTTGGTTAATTGACACAAAAGAAGTGATTTGATGAAAGAAAATGGGTGCAAACAAGTCACTTAATAGAACTTAAAAGGTTAAAAAAAAATGCAAATTACAGCTGCTTCTGAACATATAATGACAAGGTCTTTAAACTGGCCTCTTGTCCTTCGAGGTACATTCAAGAGACTCTGACCTGAGATTACGTAGGGGTTTCAGTAGGACGAGTGCCCGAAACGAAGAGGGGTGGGTTTAATTAAGAGACTGTGTGAAAGAGTGAAGGTTACCCACAACCCATTGAGAGAAATCGCTGTCAGCACCCAGCCTTCAATGCGTGTCGTTTCTCTCTTCCTCCTCATCAGAATGGGCGATCGTGGAGGATTCAATAAGTTTGGTGGTAAGTGACAAAAAAAAACAACAACAAAAAAAAAACAAAAGGTTTGAAGTTTGAAGAGTCGAAGCTAAACGGAGGGAAGATCAGTAGACTTAAAGCATGAAGCGGGTGATCATTAAAGTGTGTGATTGTGTTTATATATATATATATGCTATGCACAGGTAAGAACAGTTTATGTTATCTGAATGGATACAACTCTCAGGTACTCAGTGTTAGTAAATGTCCAGCAGAGGGAGTTAAACAGCACATTATGGCTTCAGCCGCTCCATCTTCTTGCAGCTTTGGTGTTGGAATTTGATGGATGGGAGTTCAGAGCTTTCGTCCGGTCACGTAAGAGTCATACACCTCGCAGTGTTTGATGAATTAGATGGAGAAACAAAAGAAATGAGATAAGAAAAGTACGCCATGCCGCAGACTTTGCAAAACCAGATCCAAGTTGTGTGTCACATGGACCCCTGACAGCAAGTTTCGGTCCGGCTGTTCAGAGATCAGTTGAATAGTAAAAACTGGTTTGATTGCACAACTGTGAATTTTATTAGGTATCTGCAACCTGATCCGGTTCACATTGTACTGTAAATGGAAGGGAAGCGTGTGATTTCAGTGTGGTAGTCCAGTTGGAACAATACACCAGCCCCTATTAGAGCTTCATCACGCAACTCCCTCCATTGTATGAGTGAACCACGTGCAATGTGTGTTTACCACCTCTAATTAGTATGATTGTATGTTATAGGTTTACAACTGGAGGTTTACTCTTAAGCTCCAGTGTTGACATCTACTGTAGTTAATGTTTAAGTTGGTAACATAATGTGTTCACCATTAAAAATATAGTTTGTCAGGAAGTGTATTTTGTAGGTTTTACTTACGATGATATTAATTATGTAATTAGAATTTATGTATAATTATATCGACGTTTTATTGCCGTAATTAAATTGTAATTGTTGTTTTTTAAGTGGCTCCATTGCTGCAAACAAGCCCTGCAGTTACTATTATAAACTGCATCATTCAAGGATTTAAAAAGTTTTATTGTTACATAAACAAACAATATACGATATGTAGTGAATAATAACTAGAATCAGGGATAAAAATAAGGTAAACATTCCAACATAACACAATATAAATATATGTTTGAGTATTAAATGTGTGCATATTCACCCGGTCTGTAGGTGGTCTGAGTATAAAACATTAAACTCTACAACAGAGGACAATGTGCTGTACGAGTCCAAGGACAAACAGAGGTCAGAGTTCACCGTCCTGATGGTTGGAGGGAGACGAGTGTCTCTCTGTGTTGGGCTCGTGGCTACAGATGAGTTGTGTAGAAGCTGGAATAGTCTTACTGAGGTGGTGGATCCTTCACAATCCGACTTAAATCTGGTTCTGAACCTTCTGTTGTAAAAGTCCTGCAGAGTGCGGAGTGCAGATCTAAAGGTTCTCCACTCTGTACAGCTTTGTGGTCCTGAGCGGAGCAGCTCCCAGACCAGTGGGTAGGCTGCTGTCCACTGTCTCTACGACCCCCGGAGAGACTCTGATTATTACTTCAGGTGATATTTTACATTAAATAATAACAAACGTCACAAAATATCAGCGATAAAAACACTTTACAGTAGCAGAGTTTGTAGTTTCAGTGTGAACCAGTTGTTCAACTTATGGGGGAAGGTGCTATTATAATGAAACATCTATAGATATTCAGATAAACTGTACAGAAAAATACAGACACATTCATTAATGTCACTTATAGAACATGAAATGAATTTACCAATCTCTCGGTCCCACGTGGAATTGAGACTTGAGATCTGAGTTGAAATGTAGAGTTTAATCTTTCACACTGATACCTGTGCATCAGTGGGGTGACATGGCAGCGTCATGGAACAGGTATCACTGCCAGCTGTTTCCAAGAATAGTGTCGTCTGGTCAGTTCACAGAGCGACAGAAGAACAACGATGACCTCTGTGCTGAAAAATGATTTGCTTTCACAGTCACACCAGTTTTATTACCTAAGTGGTTCAAATGTCGTGTTGATGCCAAAGGTTTTTTGGCTTCCAAAGACAATGAAGAGAAGGGACTTTGTTTTAAATTCCAGAAACTCTGGTAAATCCAGCTGCTAATGACACAGTGTGCAGGCCATCTTCCAAAAGCTGACGGGACCTAAGGAACCACAACACGTCTCAGGTGTTTCAGTTCACCTCTCTGGAAACTTCATTGGAAGTTGGTTTTTTTATGAATGGGTGAAGTGTCGCTAACCGTGACTACCGAATAACAAAACGCTCTCAGAATGACAAACATGGTGTTTCTTATTTCCAAGATATACGTTGGGACAATTTCCCAGAATCCTTTGTTAAAGCCATGTGCAAAACCAAAGTAGACAAAGGAGTGGATAAATGACAGGGGTTACCATGTGAGTTGAAGGTGTAAATACTTTTTAAAAAAGGGGGATCGTGTTGCACGGTGTTGGAAGAGTTGGTAAAGTTTGTGTGAAAGGAAAGAAAACGCATCAACACAAATACATTGACTCTGCAAGTGTTATAGAATTACAACCAAAACCCCATGAAACTGTGAAGCTGTGTGAGAGGAGTTACGGTTGTTACTCCGATGCATAAAATCTACTCGAAGACAGGCAAGAATGTGGGCAAGCTTGTTTCGTACGCTTGTTCGTGGGGACTTAAAGATAATGTCAGCTACTTATTGTCCTCTGCTAACAAATGGTGTGATGGAAGAGGTGATGAAAGAGTTACACGGGTGGAAGACGACATTGGTGAAAAATGTGTCTAAATTTAGAAATTATGTGTACATACAGAGTGACTAGAAGCTGGTTGGAACGAGGAGATAAAATAACATTTAATATACAGATTTGGTGTTTGTGTGTGTTTGGTTTTCATTTATTCTTTTCCACAACTAATTTCTGTTCTTCTTTTTTGCCTTCTCAAGGACCAAGAGACCCGGGACATGGAGGACCCGGCTTCAGTAAGTTTTGTATTGTTTTATTCAAAAATTATATTAAGAAAATGTACAAACAAAAGCTGAAACTTAATCAAATAACCTTCCAGACCCACGACAGGTACAGTAACTAAAATGTACACACTATTGGAGCTTTTACACCTCGAAGCGAGTGCAAACAGCCGACAGGTTCACCTGAACAACTTTATAAGGACATAATATTTCAGATGTTGTGTGTTAATAGCAAGAATCAGTTTGCTTCGTTTTAGTGCCAGTCAGTAGTTGTAGGTCAGAATCTGAGTCTAACTTCTCCTCCTGTTACAGTGCAAGACCAGGATAACTCTGATAATAACACCATCTTCGTGCAAGGCCTGGGCGACGACTACACTGTTGAATCAGTGGCAGACTTTTTTAAGCAGATCGGGATCATTAAGGTAAGTCTGCTCGTATTTTACACATTTTTGCTGCTGGGTCAATAATTTTATACGTCTTTAAAATCATGTCCTGTCTGTCTGCCTGCCTGCCTGCCTGCCTGCCTGCCTGCCTGTCTGTCCATCCTCTCAGGTCAACAAGAAGACCGGCCTCCCAATGATCAACCTGTACACAGACAGAGAGACGGGGAAGCTAAAGGGGGAGGCCACAGTTTCCTTCGATGACCCCCCCTCAGCTAAGGCCGCCATCGACTGGTTTGATGGTGAGTTGATCCTCATCGAGCTTTGGCTGATAGCTCTTACTTACTCATTACATGTAAAACAAGGTCCTAGAATCTGAGTTTGGTCTTATTTCTCAGCTGTTTTATTTCTTGCCTCAGTTCAGCTTCTTACAACCTTTCACTCCTGTTTTTCCCCGGAAGGTAAAGACTTCAATGGCAATCCTATCAAGGTGTCTTTTGCAACCCGCAGAGCCGACTTCGGAGGCCGAGGTGGGATGAGGGGAGGTCGAGGACGAGGAGGTGAGCTGTTACTGAGCTTTTGAAGGATGACATTTTGTAATAGCAGTACGAGTTGTTTCCAGTCTAATTTCTGTTTCTTGGCTCTGCGTAGGGCCGATGGGTCGCGGTGGATTCGGAGGGGGTCGAGGTGGAGGTTTCCCAGGAGGCAACGGGGGCAGCGGTGGAGGAGGAGGAGGAGTAGGAGTAGGAGTAGGAGGAGGAGGTGGTGGAGGAGGTGGAGGAGGAGGAGGAGGAGGAGGAGGGGGCAACAGAGAGCTGGAGACTGGAAGTGTTCAAACCCGTGAGTCAGGATTTGGTGATTCTGGTGATCATTTCCGGAGGTTTCAGGATAGAAACTTTCTGTGCAGCTTCACTCTGTGTAATCGTAGCTCCGGGCTGAGAGTTCGCCCTGGGAACAACACACACACACACACACACACACACACACACACACACACACACACACACACACACACACCTTGTTAACCCAAGATTAACCTGAGCCCGGGGCTACACACTGCACCTGTACCGGCCCTGTTTGGAGCTGTGTGACCCGAATATTGTTCATATCCAGATAACGATACATATCACAAAATATATATATATTCAATAAATAGTTACAACATATAAAAAAGTACATTAAAAGCATATTTCTTGTTATATTTTTGATTATATACTGAACAAATAAATGATACTTATATTTGATTCTTTCTTTTATTTAGAACTTTAAATTAAGTTTATAAAGCATATAAAATATGTTGTTTGTGTTGCCAGCAAAGCAACAAAAAAGCAGCAAAAATAAAGATGATTTCCTGTCGTCCAGTGTCCGTCGTTGTTGTTAGTTTCACACTGGCACCTTTTAGCCCGTCCCTAAACTTGGGTCTAACTCGCAGCCAGGAACCCGTCGACTACAGTCGGGGTTAGGATGTGCCGGCAGTTTAGAAAGTCCTAATTATTTTATTAAGTATCAACATTCACTATCTTGATGACGTGTCGCCTTTATTAAATGTAGATATTGTATTTCCTCTCCTATGTTAGATTATAAACTATAATTCTGTGGTGATATTGTAGATCTATCGTTGATACTTTCTGTCATTTCTCTTCAGCAACTGTGGCAACTTGAACTTCTCGTGGCGTAACGAGTGCAACCAGTGCAAGGCCCCGAAACCGGAGGACGCTGGTGGGATGTCCCCAATGGACAGAGGTTAGACCTCCGCACTCTGTGTAATAAACACCACTCGAGATGGTGTTAAATATTATGTAAACTATCCTCATATTCACTGGACTTTGTGCTTTAAACTGGAGTTATTGTTCTTTGTTGTTGTTTCTTTTATAGCTTTGTTGTTGTTTCTTTTATAGCTTTGTTGTTGTTTCTTTTATAGCTTTAATGTGACTCACTTCACTAACACTATTCATTACATCTGAGTACAATAGAGCGACACTGAGTCATCTTAAACCACAAGCTGTTTATTTGTCTAAGGTGTGTGTTTCCCCCCCGGGGTCAGACGCAGTGACAGTGACGCCCTCTGGCAGGAGTTTACAAATTGTCACCAAATTGTTTGTTCTGCCGTCAGGGGGTTACGGAGGAGAGCGCCGAGGGGGGTTTGAGCGGGGCGGCTTCAGGGGCCGAGGGGGCGACCGCGGGGGCTTCAGAGGGGGCCGAGGGGGCGACCGGGGAGGATACGGCCCTGGGAAGATGGACGCAAGGTCAGAAACAAACAGCACTCTCTGGTAAAAAAGGCTTCTACGTTTGAAACTAGGATTCATTTTGTTTAATGTCAAGTGTTTAAGCATCAAATGTACAGACAGTGTTTCAGCTCATATGAGGCGTCAGCAGTCTGAACTACAGGATTTACAGTCTTTTTAGTGCCAAATTAATCTGCAGCAAAATCAGCTCTTTTCAGTGGAATCATTGTCGGAGTAACTACACTGATTTGTGGTTCAACTTTGAACCCTCAGAGAGGAAATGTGGATGTTACAGCAGCACAAACAGGAATAAGTACAGATACACAGAGAAACCTCACACATTAATAAAATAAAGACAATGAAATACAATCAATTAGACTTAAAACGTCAAATTACAGGCAGTAGTGGTAACCCCCCAATCCCAAAGACCCTGAAGTCTGTTCACGAGGAAAATGAGCCGAAGTGTAATTTGATAAAAATGTTGTTTGTACTCGATGAATGTTTGCGTACTGTGTGACCAGGACGTCTCTGAAAGGTGTTTGCTGAACATCGACGTCTCGGTTGTGTAAAACTCTCACTGTTCAACCACACGCACACACACACACACACACACACACACACACACACACACACACACACACACACCTCTGCTCATTGGTCGGATGCTGATGATGTAATCTGTCTTTGTTTCCAGGGGTGACCGCAGGCAGGAGCGGCGAGGTCGTCCCTACTAACTCACCCACCAAGGACAAACCTCGACACAAAGCCCAGTGTGTGTACCGTCGTCCGTGCTGGGCCCGGTCCCGTGACCTTTCACCTTTTATAGAACTGTTCACTTTGAACCAGTGTGTAGAGAAATGTGACGATCCCTGTTCCTTCAGTTAGCTCTTGTTGGTGTTCAGTCCGGTGTTTGCACAGCGCGGCCTCGTTTAGAACAACCTGAGTGTGAGTTTCAGTCCTGGAGTGTTATTAAGGAGCCAATCAGGAATTACCTGATAATTAATGACTCATTAATATGTAGTTGGGACGATATTAAAGTCTCTGTCAGTCAGTGATTCTTCTGATGGAAGTTTAAAGTTTCTCTGAGCTCGTTAAACATCTGATTCATCATCTGATCGATAGACAAATAGTCTAATAATAATAACAACAATAATAATAATAATAATAATAATAATAATAATAGGTAGTAAAAGGTTTCACTGAAACTTCACTAAAATCTAGGTGTGAAAAAACATTTTGGTGAACTGAATTAAAAATATAAAACTAACTGAAATGATAAAGTAGAATAAAAGTACAGAGGAAATATCAGATTAGGTCGAATGTGTTTGTATTATACGAGTTATTCTGAAGACTTCCTTTTATAATGAAAAGAAAAACTAAAACACTGAAACTAATAAAAACAAGTAAACTCTCTGGACTGAACTATAAAACTATTAAAGAACTAAATTTAAAAACCATAATAACTGTCAGTCTGTCCTGATCCACCAGTACAAACACACTGACCATCGTTTATATATTCATACACTCAGGAGTCGATTACTTTACTTTACTTTACTTTACTTTACTTTAAGGATTTTAATGTGTAAATTATAATTTTATTAGCAGACAAACATTAAAATACGTCTGGAGGGAATCAAGTTTGTATTCGGTTGCAGAGATTGTGGCCGAGCCGTCGTTCTGGTTTGAGGTGGATTACAGCCGACACTTCGTCTGACCTTCGGCGACGTCGGGGATTTAAAAACCTGTCGGAGTTGTTTTCACTGTCACTCTGTTGTTGGTGTGAAGTTACTGTCAGGGAACGACTTCCAACAGATAATAATGATGGCCAGAATCTGTGGAAGTGAGACTGAGGTTGTTCAAATCAAGAAGAAAATCACTTAAATGTGAGAATATAATTTATCTTATCTAAATTGGAGAATGTGATTATCAGGAGTTGCTGATTCATTTTCTGTTGGCCAATCAATTAATCAATAATGTCCTACTGTGCTCTCTCATCCATCTCAGTTATGGACCAACTTTCAGCGTCTTCTTCACCTCGACATTTTTTACATTTAATGGCAGTTTGGTGGTTTTAATGATGCAGCTCTGAGCAAACTCCACAGAGGAAAGTTTAGGATGAAGACACTGACATGATGTTGGCCCGAGGCCTCGGTTTGAACAGGTTTAATAACAGAAACTGAACTGAAGCCGCTCCCGTGAATGTAAAAGAAAACAAAAGCAGAAAATCGTTTGTGCTTCTTTACGGTCGGAGGTTTTCTGTGTCACTCTAATTGGACTCGTGCCCGACTCTCACCTGTCAACCTGAGGAGGTCAGTTAGTGACTGATAACAACCAGCATAAAGTGTGTATGTGTAACGTTAGCTGACACACAAAACCAGGCTGGAATGACACACACACACACACACACACACACACACACACACACACACACACACACACACACACACACACACACAGTGTATAGGACTGGAGTCAGAGGTTGGACGTTACTGTACTCGAGTATTTTGTGACAACTTTTCCCTTTTCCCTCAACATTTTAACACAAATATCTTTAAGAACAGGCTCCTTACTTTAGTTTTGATGCATCTGAAGGGAATTATTGATTATTTTATTGCACCAGTCTGCAGAAATATTACAGTACAATAAAACATTTACACCACATTCAAAAAGCTGTAAAGGTTTTTCCCCCAAGAAGCTGCATGAGATCAACATAAAGAGAGACTCCTGGGTTCCCATAGGACCCATTTTCATTCAGATATCTGGGGGTCAGAGGTCAATGGATCCCTTTTAAAAATGCCAACACCAGTTTTTCCATCACCAAAATTGAGCTTAATAATAGCAGGATAGCAGTGGATGTGTTTGGTCGTCTAGTTTCATATACAACCAGTATTTGTCCCTCAGTAGAGAGCGTGTGCTCAGAATCACGTATCCAACCTCTGACAACGTCACAGCGGGGGAAAGATCGTGATGAGTTTTTGTAAACGAGGCCTCTCGTCTGTGCAGATGTTTCAGTGTATTTATTATTTATGAGTTGTTTTTTGTATTGTGCATGTGCTGGTTTTCAAATGAAAGTTGTTGATGAAACCAAACGTTGGCTCTGTGCGTCTTATTGACTCCTTTTATATATTCAGATATCCAGAGCAGCGTTAAGTTTCAGCGCCTGCAGACGAGGAGACGCCCACTACGTCCTTCACACATCGGTCGGCAGGTTGTTTGCTCTCACAGCTCGGTGATGAGTCTGGTTTAATTCCTCATAATTCTCAGAAATGTTGAGAATAATGTCGTCCCTGTTTCCTTCTCGGCAGCGTTGTGATGGCTCGCTCTCTCTGATAAACCTGTTCCTCTGCCACTCCTCTTTAAACCTGGCAATGATTAAAGCTCCCAAATGAACTGATGATAAGTCTAATAACAGATTAATGTTTCATACAGTGTGCAGAGAGAGAGAGAGAGAGAGAGAGAGAGAGAGAGAGAGAGAGAAAGGGAACTGTGTGCGCGTTAATAAAACCTTGTAGATTCCTTTATAAGTAATTTCTGTGAGGTAGACTAGCTGTTGCCCTGACAACTGAAGAACATGTCATAAATCTCCTATAATGTCAGTTTATTTCACTCATGCTGTTGGTCTAAGGATAAGTCTGCTGACATTCAATAGTTCTTATCGGACTCGTGAAAGGACTCGAACAAACAGCTATTGTGTGAAAGGGTGATTCATCTGGAGCTGCTTCAGTCAGACTGCTTCAGTCAGAGCCTCGAACCAACAAAAGCTTCATAAAAGAGGTTAAATGTCTTAAAACTTTCACTTAGAAGAATTTTTTTTCTGTTAAAATAATATATATATATATATATATATATATATATACGCCCGCACATAGACAACAACAGTTTATATCAGACATTGTCTGTCTAATAACCTTAAAATCAAGAAGGCTTTGCGCCCCCATATGAAGCTTTAGCGACCCTTCCTGAGGGTCCCGGCCCCCAGGTTGGGAACCACTGCCCCAAGGCTCCTCTGGTCTTCTGTTTTATTAGTGCATCAACAGATATAACCCCCCCCCGACTCTCAGAGATCATAATAATAACTAACTTCAATCATCACCCTGAGGTCATTTCAGGTGGTAAAATAAACTCGGTGGATCAAATTAAAAAGCAGCTCGACTGTTAAACTGCTGACTGAGCACAAACTGCAGCAGCTGCAGGACGCCGGCACAAACACGCCAAACAACGACCGCACACAATCAGCGCTCAGAGTCACATCGATGTAAATATCCAGACTGAGAGCGGCTCAGTGTGAGCTTCACTGGTTGTTGATATCAGAGCTCAAACGATTAATCGATTAACTGAACTGAGGATCCGGGTATGTTTATGTATTTATAGATGAGTTTAATATTTAATAAAATGATCCAAACTGAAGTTACGGTCCCCAGAGAATCAAACTGTGTTCATGTTCCCTCGGGATGAACTGTGACCCTTTTCTCCATCTGACAGGTCAACACCTTCCCATCAGCCTCAGGGGCGCTTTGTGTTCACTGCTAATTAGCAAATGTTATCATGTTTACACAGCGAATGAAGACGGTAAACATGATAAACTCAGATATTCTCATCTTTACCTTTAAGTCTGATCCATTAGATCTATTCGAGTTGTCGTATATGCTCAAGTTAAAGGTTTATTAGTTAAATAGAGCTGAAACTAATGTTTGATACAATAAACCTGTAATAAATACGAATGAATGTCTGGTTTTGTGTGATTCTGTGTGACCTTTAATAACCGGCGAGGTTCAGTAATCTGAAGCTCTTTCTCTGGAGTTTTGTTGTCGTGTTGTTTCGCGTTGCAGAGTTTTCCAAAATGACTGTGCATGTTTTCATGGCTGCAGTCCGACCTGTTGTCTCTTTCTGAATAAAGCAGACTTTCTTGGCGAGCTGTCTCACTGTTTACGGTCTCTAACTGGCTGATCCGGTTTGCAGTCGTGTGTTAATGTCGTTGTGTTTGTTCCTGGAAAAAAAAACCCATCCTGGATGATAATCGATAATCACAACCGATTACTCATCGCCTGTAAGTGTGTGAAGAATAAAACTCATATATCATAAACTGTTACAGACAATACACTTTGATTCAACACTGTAAGTTCACATGTCTAAAATACTAATGTTAAATACTTAACTGTAAATAATCATAAAATTACTGCTTATTTAAAGGAAATGTCCTTTTTTTCACAAAGTTAAAATCTATCATTTTTTCACAGATTTTTACTGTTTATTTAATAGATCAAACTCTTAAATTCAAGTTTAATATGTTTTTTCTAAAATTATGTAAAATTATCAGTATTGTATAATTTTACAAGGATTTGTTAATTGACAGATATTTTGTATAATTATGGAAGTTTTCACAACACAAACGTTGAATAAATGTTTATCAGTGTAAGCGTTGGTAAACTGTCAAAATACAGTTTTTATCAGTGTAAACAGCAATAATTACTGTAATCTCACAGATAATTTATTACAGTTCAGATTAAAATAATAAAAATCCAATAATACCAGCACTCTGCTGTAAATGTAAGCCTGATTATTTGTATTATAGCTCATTACATTGTTTGTGTGAGTGTAAAATAAAGACATTCTTCATTATGGAGGCTGTGACGTTTGTCCTTTATGATGCTGGAGGGTTTTCCCTGGTTCTTCTTGTTTCCAGAACAATCTGAGACTCACAGTGAGCTCAGTGCGTTCGTTCCACAGGCAGCCGGATGTGGTCGGACCAGTTCGGTCCTTCGCCTTGCGTCCGTCTGTCAGTGGACACCGATGGAGGTCGGAGGTCAATCTGAACAGACCTGAAGCTCTCTGATGGTCGGAAACGTCTCAGCTGATCATTAATGAAAATATCAGCCTGTTTACATCCTGTAAACGTTTAAAGACTTTAAATCTAATGTTTTATTTCCATTATGTTGACACACACAACAATGAAAGTAAAAGTTTGGAGAAGAAACATCCAATAAAAAGCTTCGTTAAACCGTGTGTGTGTGTGTGTGTTATGATGATTATGAGAGAGAGAGAGAGAGAGACAAAGGTGCACAACAACTAGAAGAAAGAAGAGAGAGAGGATCGAGAGGAGCTCAGTGCACCATGGGAAATCCCCCGATAGTCTAGGCCTATAGCAGCATAACTAAGGGATGGTTCAGGACTCACCTGATCCAGCCCTAACTATAAGCTTTATCAAAGAGGAATGTCTTAAGCCTACTCTTGAATGTGGTGAGGGTGTCTGCCTCCCGAACCACAACTGGAAGCTGGTTCCACAGGAGAGGAGCTTGGTAACTGAAGGCTCTGGCTCCTGTTCTACTTTTAGAGACTATAGGAACCACAAGTAGCCCAGCATTCAGAGAACGTAGTGTTCTAGTGGGGTAATAGGGTACTATGAGCTCTTTAAGATATGAAGGGGCCTGACCATGAAGAGCTTTATAGGTGAGGAGGAGGATTTTAAATTATAATACAGGAGAAGGAGCTGATATAAGGAGCTCTATAAGAAGAGGAATTATTATTTCAGTTTATATTCGGTCGTTGGGAACTGTCTAATGATGACTCACCAACTTATTAGTTAGTTATTAGTTATAATGAAAGTTCAGTGGGAAGCAGCAAATGTACATTTACACAAGTTCTTTATTTTGACAACCGGGGAAACTTCCTCCAGAACGACTGAACCTTTAAATAATGTGAATGTTCTACGTGGATATTTACATTTTCTGCTACTTTCATATAGAAACAAACTAAAATGTATTTTATAAATTAAACTACCAGACATTCTGTTAAAATGAGTTCAAACTGAGCCAACAGTAAACTGCTGCTTAAACACATCCAATAATAATCCAATAATAGTATAATATGTAAAGTCGTTAACAGCGCCACCAGTGGTAAAAACATCTGACAGGCAGTTGGAGTGTGAGTTCTGTGTAGAGATGCAGGAATGTCGACAGGTGAGATTAATGTCTGCCAACGCTGCTCCCTTCTGCGGGGGGGGGCAGGTCACCTGACTTCCTGAGCTTTAGTTCAAATCCAAATCCTCCTCCTCGGTTCAACAAGCTGGAAACGTTTTTAAATCAATAAACACGAGATGAGTTTATTGAACTCATCAAATGGTTTAAACAGAAGTGGAAGAGGATTGTTAAATAAAAGTACTAATACTGTAATGTAATCTATTACAACAGGCACTTAAATTCATCCAGTTTGTTCCTTTGACTCAGTTGATTTTATATAATTAATAATTTACTTTTAGTGGAATAAAATTTAAAGTTAGTGGTAACATTTGGTTAAAGAAGATGGATTTAAGTTTATATATAAGTCTGACTTATTATTCTGATAAATTCTGTTCACACATTTTAAATTAGTCTGGAGAAATGCTGCATATGAGTGTAACTAGTTCAATTAACTTAATTTATCCAAGTTACCTCAACGAGACTTTATTTAATAAAGGTAAATTAAGTTAATTGTGTTTAAAAATAGTAAATATATGACACTCAAATTTAAAATGTGTTAAAATAACTGATTAAAGTCACTTTGAATCTTCTTTAAACAAATGTTTCCAATTAAATTGAATTTACTCAAATTATGATATAACCTGTAAAAACAGTTGACATACTATAAAAAAACAATTTACAATTAATTTATTATTAGAAAGACAGCCAGTTAATTTTGAGGCTTATATTATATAAATATATATATAATGTTATATCACTGATATTAAACAACTGAGTTATTACTTCAACGGTTCATTATTGAGTTGGGTTTAATTAATGGAAACTTCTTCTATTAAGATTTGCTGTTTACAGGATTTACAGAGTAAATATAAAAACTTTTCACTCTGAACTCAAACTTGAGTTGTCGACAGGTTCGCTGTGTGAAACAGGTGATGTGCTTCAAGGTGCTGGGCGTGTCGTTGGACAGGTAATGTTTGTCAGTAAGGCGGAGAGAGGTGTGTTTGTGCTGGAAGTAGAGACAGAGAGAGAGAGGGAGGGCAGAAGGAGGATATTTATGTAGCTGCAGGTCCGATCATATGAACTTTCAGTTATGGCTTTCTACAAAGTGATCTGTGTGGCGACTCTGCTGACTCTGCTCACACAAGGTAAGGAACCTCCTCGCTGTATGCACCTGAACCAATATAATGCCTTCCTTTAACTGTTGAGTGAACTAAAACTACTGATATTACTTTGTTAGATTAACTGAATTATCTTGGTAAAGGTCTTTTATTTGCAAGTGTATTAGTAAAATGAACCTAAACGCACATCTGAATCTGAATGAACTCCATTAAACTGATGCCAGGCTACAACCTCCTGTATAGGATCTTTGAATTAAGTCACAGTAGAACATGTGAGTGTAAATCCTGTGTTCAAAATTCAACTTTTTCAAAGTGCTGAATCAAAATATTCATGAAGAAAATTTATGAAAATGATCTGAAGGAAAATCTATGTTGAGTGAAGTTTTTAAAACTCTTTAAAGTAAAAAAAGTCAGATTTCTAGAAAGCAAAAACATTAATTAAAGTCTGCAGAGTAACTACAGTAACTAATATAACTATATAATAACTATCGTTGTCAATTAAGAACAAACAAACACTCGATTATTAGTTTTGTCTCATTTGCAGCTTTGTCCGAAGGCATTAAAGTGAAATAATAACGTTGGATATAAGATGTTAGATTGTAAAACAGTGACGTACGTGAAGCTTTATCTTTACATGTGATTGACAAGAAAACATTAAACTGATGCAAAATCTTCATGTTTAAATATTTATGAATGAGTTTTAAGTCGGTCCAGAGCTGAGATATTTTAGCGTGTGGTAAAAATCAAACCACTTCATTATACCTTAAACTGAGATATATATGGTAAAAATCAAACCACTTCATTATACCTTAAACTGAGATATATATGAGGGTCTGAGAGAGTTTTTCCTTTTATTATAAAGTGTTGTTTGTTTAAAGTGAAATATTTTAACATATTGTCTTTATTCTATTCTTATTTAATCAATTCTAAGGATGTTTGATATCTTGTGTTTGGGTAAATTAGTGTAAATGTGGTTGTTTTAAGGACTAACAGGGTGTGTCCATTCATTTTAAACATTTCTTAGGAAAAAGTCTCTAACGGGAACAAATGTGATCTTATAATAGACTGAAGGTCATGATTCAGAGTTTTAAGGATATTTGTGGCTTTAAATACAGATCCTTAGTGTCTATGAAGGGATGTGAGGATGAGATTAAATGTGAGAAATAAGTGTTTTTGAGATGAAAGTACTTTCCTGTGTTCCATATTGGAAGGTACTTGTTACTCAAAGTGAGATTATATATTCATTTATTCTTCTTTTTAAGGATGTTTGGCATTAATTATCTTAAGGAATGTGTAATTTTATATCTTAAAGGCACTTTAAATGGAATAAGTCACTTTAATGTGTATCATTATGTAATTTGATCCTTGATGGACCAGGTCCACGTTTTCATTAAAAGGAACTTTAGTTTGTGTTAATGAGAATGTGGATATATATAAGATATATCACAGGAACCGAGGTTTTAAACGATGTTTAAGGTGACAGTACACAGTGTTTACAGTAGGTGGGTTTCAGGTTAACATGGAGCCACGCCTCAGTACATTACAAAACAATACTGAGAAAAAGGAACATGTTGACTGAGCGGTTGCTCATCCAGAAAATCCTTTTGTTACCGAATGTTTGACAAGTAGTGGAAAATTAACTCAAGCAGGGTGATTTTTATAGATTAAATCAACAACATTGTAGAGTTGTTTTCACAGGCTGAGTAGTTCTCCTTCATGATGAGTTTAACTTCTGCTGTCTTTGTTTTTCTGAGTCGTGTTTGCTCCCAAAGAACCCGGAGCTTTTAATCCCACGAACTAGTTTTTCAAGGAACTAAAGGGTTCAATTGTTGTCTGCATGTCTAAAGACCTGCAAAGATCTCGTGGGTCCACAAAAGGACGAATTAGTTTGTGGGTGCAGATTTTTAAATGCTGCAAGTAATCGACCAAAGTTTCTGGGGAGTAAAATAATGTCCCCAGAACTTCATGTAGACGCTGGTTCCTGGTTTATTCATCATGGAATATATATAATTTGAACTGTTAGGTGTCCAAAACTCAAATAATGTGAGCTTACACACAAAATCAATCATAGTTTTGAGTCTTTATTTCTAAAAGTGTAGTGACCTTTTCAGTCAAGAATTATATTCAAATATATTAAATTGTCATTAATTTAATGAATGCTGCCAACAGCACCGAGGTCTCTACCTCTCCTCTTGGGTCGTGTACAGTCGGTAGGAGTCTCTGCATCAGGCTGTTCCTTTAGCTTATATGTAAATAGTTTGAGCTTGTAAATATTTAAATTGTTTCTTTGTTATTACTCCTCCTTTTGTAGATTTAAAACATAACTTTTGACTTTATATATAAAATGTCTCTGTATTAGCGATCAATACATCCTGCTGTGCAATTTCATCCTTTAAGACAAAGATTTCTATATATTATAAATGTATTATATACTTTTAATGTTTTTAATATAATGCGACACATCAAACATATGATAGTATATAAAAGGTGTATGTATTGTATAACTGCTGTAACAAGTTAATTTCCCCAGTGTGGGATCAATAATCCTCTCTTATTATTATTATTACAGTGTACCAATCAGACACAGGTTTACTGTGATGCAGTTATTGATCAAACAGTTAGAAATAAACAAGTAACTCAACTAATAATTAAAACTGATTGTGGGCAAACACTAAAGGATGAGTTCAGTATTTTATTCAGAACTTCCAAAGCGGACCAGAGACAATCACGTCAGACTTATTATTTATTATGTATGTATATATATTTTTAGTCAGGGACAGTTGAAGGTAGAAGTCAGGATGGGACACTGAGGGGATGTGCTGCATATTTTACAAGAAACACAGACTGTCTGTGCAGAACACGTACGTTAACAATCCTCTCAAAAGGCGATAAAACCCGTTGGATGGGACAGCCGACGGCACGTTGCTCCACTACAGACGGATCTATTAACACAACATGACAGTGTGTAAAAGGTGGCTGTTAAAAGACAAAGACATGCAGAGTATGTCGACACCCACTCACTGATAAATCACAGCACCGTGTGCCAATAATAGTAACTAATATAGTCTATGTTGACTCTACAGCTGCTGTCACTAAACCCTCGTTTACATACGTTGAATGGAGCATGTGTATGAATGAAATATACAGTGTTTTAATATGAAAATAAACAATAAAATATAGAAGAGGAATGGATCATTAATTAAATAATCAAATTAAGATTAATAAGTGATGCCAAATAGTCAACGCAGTAACAGAATCTAGATCGGACTCACTGAGAATTAGCTGTCAATCACAAGGTAGCCCCGCCCTAAAGCATACCCTGCTTTATGGTCTGTTTTACTCTAAATGGGACCATCAGTTACTAAATGAACATCATGCTGTATGGAAGAAGACTGGAACTAGAGACTGAGACCAGAAACTCATCAGGAAACTGTTTACTGAGCTCATAAATCAACTGAGAAATTGTCTAATTTCTCCATTAGACTGAATGGTATCAGTGTGTTATTGCAACCAATGGAGCCGCCCCCTGCTGGACATTACATAGAATGCAGGTTTAAGACCTTTCACCAATTACTTCAGTTAACTTCTGTAAATCATTTTTTAAGGAGATAGACATTCTCTATTTGTGTCCTGAGATAACTTTTGTTATGAATTGGTGCTATACAAGTGAATGAAAGTAGTGTGCAGTAAATTACAGTTGTTTTTTTGTTAAAATGTAACTCGCTAACAAATCTCACATCTCACAAATTTCCTCCCATTCATATCACAAATCAATATAACACGAGACACATGAGTACAAACACAGAATTGTTGTTTAAAGTGTTTTTTGTTCTGTTTTCCAGAGTCTCACTCACAACTAAGTGGTAAGTCAAAGTTTTTATGCACATTTTTCTACTTCCTGTCTCCGTCATTTATGATATTTGAAACATGTTTTATTGTTGTTATTTGCTGTCAAACCCAGAATCACAGATTTAAAGCTGCAGTAGGTAACGTCAGTATATCCTGACCGTAGTACATGAGACAGATAATCTGTTCCAGGTTCCTCTGGCTCCTCCTGGGCCCTAAATAGCATTTGCAAGAACCCGCCGGTCCCAAATGAAAGCAACCAATCAGAGCCGGGAAAGATAGTTGATGAGTCTCATTCCCAGATCGTCAAATACCGACACTGGGAACGAGACTCAACAATCTTGAAGCCTCCAACCCAAAGGGTCTTCCCATCTTTGTCGGCTCTGATTGGTTGTTTTCATTCAGGCCCGGTGGAACAGTTTTAAACCTTTCTTACTCAGGAATGTTGGATAATCCACACCTGAAAGCATCCTGACACACTCCCTGGATCATAATCCTCAATCAACAGTTCAGTGCTACCGCAGTGGTAATCCAGGGAAGGGAGAGGATTGCTCACTCAGTGTTTTTAATGTCTGTCTGTCCTCAGAGTGCGGTCAGCCTCCGCTCAACACCAGGATTGTTGGAGGACAGCCGGCCCCTGCAGGAAGCTGGCCCTGGCAGGTCAGTCTGCACAGAGGGGGTCACTTCTGTGGAGGATCCCTCATCAACAACGAATGGGTGCTGACTGCTGCTCACTGCTTCCCAAGGTAGAGACAAACAACGGGGTCACAGGATGATAAATGGAAGAACATTGAGCACATGAACGAGTACTTTATTAAGATACTATGATGAACTTGTGGGAATACCTCCCTGTTGCAACATCAAACTCTGACTAGACGTTGTCTTAAAAGGACTTAGTTTGGTTCCTCTTCTGATCCCCTCAGCTCCAGCACAGACAGTCTGGTTGTGTATCTGGGTCGCCAGAGTCAAGAGGGATCCAACCCCAATGAGGTGTCTCGGACAGTAACACAGATCATCAATCATCCCTCATATGACTCCAGAACCAATGACAATGACATCTCCCTCCTGAAGCTCTCCTCACCGGTGACTTTCACCAACTACATTCGACCCGTCTGCCTGGCAGCCTCAGGCAGCACCTTCTACAATGGCACGGACTCCTGGGTCACCGGCTGGGGCACCATTGGATCTGGAGGTGGGTCAGTTCTTTATCCTGTGTGTAGGGGTACTTTTACTATAATCTGTCACATTAGCAAACACACAGTTTTGGAACACTGAACATTTTAACCATCATTCAAAGGTCCTTTAGGTTGTTGTTGATTCATAGAGAAACAGGCGGTTTTAAATTATATTTCACAATTTGTATTGTTAATTTACCTGTTTCTTTGTGTCTATTTAGTGCCACTTCCTTCCCCACAAGACCTGATGGAGGTGGAGGTGCCGGTTGTGGGGAACCGACAGTGTAACTGTGACTATGGAGTGGGCTCAATCACAGACAACATGATCTGTGCCGGGTTGCGTGCTGGAGGGAAGGACTCATGTCAGGTGATAATTTTTACAGCCGTGATTGTGTCAGATTCAGATTGCAAAGATTCCTTCTCCTAAATGTTTCTCTCCTCAAAGGGCGATTCAGGCGGTCCGATGGTGAGCAAGCAGAACAGTCGCTGGATCCAGGAGGGAGTCGTGAGCTTCGGAGTAGGTTGTGCTTTGCCTGAAACGCCAGGAGTTTACACCAGAGTGTCCCAGTATCAGTCCTGGATCAACAGCCAGATCACCAGCAACCAGCCGGGCTTTGTCACCTTCACGTCCACTGGGACTGACGGTGACCTCAGCGTCACCTGTCCTGGGCTGCCACCACCGCCAACCACCGTCGCTCCAACACCCAAACGTGAGTGTCTTCCATGTCCAAGACTGATTTTAACCTTAAATATCATAAATATTCTGAATCAGCTTGTTCCAGTTCTTTTTGTTTTTTTCCCAACATGGACCTTTTTCACAGTAGGTTGGTAACACCAGTGTTTACCCTACTGTTTCATGGCTGCTGTGAAAAGGATCCATTCAGCCTGACATGTTTAGTATTTTTGGAAACTTAAAATAAAGTTCAGAGTTTGAACAAAGTTTGATAAAACAACAGGGCATTGTAACGATGGATCAACAGTATCTGGTCCGAGTTTAAAGACTTGTTGAAATGTTGATTTTCTCTCCAGCTGTGGTCTGCGGCCAAGCCCCAATGAATTCACGTATTTTGGGAGGAAGCTCGGTGGCGACAGCCGGTGTTTGGCCGTGGATGGCGAGCTTACAGAAGAATGGAAGTCACATGTGCGGCGGGACTCTGGTGTCCGAGGACTCAGTGTTGAGTGACGCCGACTGCTTCTCAAGGTGAGAAGTTGGGCTGCTGTGAAAAAGGTCTAGAAAAACTCCAAGAAAACGATTTCTTACAAAGAGTGTGAACAGTCTCAGAAGCTGAATCTGTGAAGGTCCTGTTGTTGTCGTTTCCTGACTGAGTTGATTGTGTCTCCTGCAGTTCTCCCGTAGCGTCTGAATGGACCGTCGTTTTGGGTCGTCTGAAGCAGAATGGATCCAACCCCTTTGAGGTGACGCTGAATGTGACCAACATCACTCTGAGCAACCTGACCGGGTCTAATGTAGCAGTGCTGCGTCTGTCAACCCAACCCACCCTGTCCGACTACATCCAGCCCATCTGCCTGGACAACGGTCAAACCTTCAGCGAGGGCTCGACGTGCTGGGCTGCCGGCTGGAGCTCCGGGCGAGGAGGGGGTGAGTCCAGTTTAATGCTAACTCTCTTTTAGCTTCCTGCCATCTGGGTTTGATTCACACGTCTCATCATTTTCTTATTATTCCCAACTTTAGAGGAGGAAGTTCTGCAGGAGTTCCAGACCTCGGTGGTAAATTGTGGGAACAGGTCATCGAGTGACACCATTTGTACGAGCTCTTTCACACTGGAGCAGGTGAGTAGTGAGAGCAGATTATTAAACTTCTGAATCTGAAGTTTCACCAAAAGATGTGACTGACTTCCATAATCAGAGCGAGGTTAAAATCGTTGGACTTGAATTTATCTGTCTGTTTGTTCAGGGCGATTATGGCGGTCCGATGATGTGCAAGAAGGACGGCTCTTGGTTCCAGGCGGCGGTGTTATCGACTGACAAGAACTCCGATACAAAAGGAATTATTATTATTATTATTATTAAAACACGAGCAGATCCTCCGATGGTCTTCGCCAAACTGAGCACCTTTCAGTCCTTCCTGTCTGGGGTTCTGGGGACGTTCTTATCTCCAGCCGCCACCACCACCACCACAGCTCCCAGCAACCAGACCACCACTGCCGGCGCTCCCGCTCACTCCTCCTTCTTCATCTTCTTCCATCTCCTCGTCTTGTCTGCGTGTCTCCAGCTCTTCTTATAGAAACTCCAACTTTATCCGTAAATAGGGATTTACAGGATGTGACGAACACAAATGAAAGTAAACAACGTTGAATCTGAGACACAATTCAGGCTTAAATCTACATGAAGTAATCTATGACTTTATTCTGTTGGTGACAGGAACAGAGTAGTGAAGTAGGGGTTAGCTTACTGGCTAACAAATCTACATCAATCGTTAGGTAGACAGTTAATCAATAAAGTCTATCTATCTACAGAGCAAAGGTTAGCTAACTGTTTTACATTAATCATTAGCTGACTAGTTACATCTGATAGTTTGTGTTAAATGCTACCTAACTAGCTACAGTTGATGTAGATTAGGTACTCAACAGTAAAACATGATTCATAGTTTCTTATTCCAGTCTAAACTGAAGGGTGTAAAATACGGGTGTGATATGAAGAACTTTTAAAGATGCACTGAACAAATGTAGATGTAGCATAACACTGAAAGCAAACCATGAAATGTGGTTCATAGTTTTTGAAGCTACATGGATCAATAATTATATCTACTCTGCTGTTTTTATTGTGATTTTTAAAAAAATCAATCTGTTGTTAAATGTGTGAAATCTGTGTAATATATTGATTTCACTGATTATTATTATTATTTTTGATTGTTGAACAGGAGCCATAAGTGTCATTCAGTATGTCATAGTTGGATTCAGACATTATAATGATTTGTAATTTATATAATTGTTGGTATTCAGTGATCAATAACTCTGCCATTTAATTCCCTGCACACTGTAAAGAAGCATATTTTAGGTCTGAGGAACACATCTACCTCATATTACCAGAGAGCTACTGTACCATAATGTTCATTTCTATCTGACAAAGCACTTAATGTGAACGTCTTTGCTCTGAAAGTACACAAGCTGCACTTTACAATGATCATTATTTGGTCTGAAAGATAAAATGTCAATCTTGCCGAGCTCATGAAATAAATCCGTCATGTAAATGTGAAAGTACTGAATCATTTCTCTCTTTGTCTTTTGAATGAAGTGAAAATACTTTTTCAGTGACGCTGCTCTCAGATTTAATTCTGAAAATATGAAAACAGAAGATGTTTTCATACAGTTGAACTTGAAATGAATGAATGCAGCAGAGTCCAGAAGGTGAGCTGGCACTTGAGCTTTGATCGGGCCTGACAAACATTCTGCAAGAGCCCGAACCAAAGAACCATTTATTAAGATAAATAATTTTAATACAAATTATTATTAAAACTAATAAATTAAAGCTGCATTATTGAAAGAATATTAAAACATATATTTAAAAAAGAATTCTGTCTGAGCCCGACTTATGGCAGCGGTTTTGGGCCTGAACCTAATGGATTGTGTCCGGGTTCAAAGATAAAAAGAGACCGTCTCCAGCTTCCAGTCCATCCTCCACACTGTGGTCCATGCTGGACTTGAACCGGTCACCCTCTGGTTCTTAAGCCAAGTCCATACGGGCTGAGTTACTGCTGATCCTGGAGGCTGTAGGAGGAGGTGGTTCTGCTGGGCAAACTTTAACTACAGCATTCTGATCCTCATCCTGACCGAGGCACCGACCTACTAACTAGTTTCCTCTGATCCAAATAGCGTCAGGTTGATGGGAGAACTGAGAGGCATCGACAGAGGCGGGGATATTCGGTACCGTCTGACGTCTTCTGTAGGAACCAACGGGCTGAGAGCCACAGACAGGAAGTCAGGAAGCACCGACACATTGCTGGTTCGAGTCGGCACGTGAGATTTATTATGAGTCAGAACAATATTGATTAACGCCAGCCTTAAGCTTCTCAAAATACAGAATTAGAAAAGGCACAGTAACGTCAGAGAGACCAACAAAACCAGCTCTCAGTCACACTGGTGTCAAAATAAAAGCCTGTAGCACTTTGCTCCTGGTAAACACTGCAGCCAATTCCTCTACTCCTTTAAAAATGAAAGATATCTATCTAGTTTTTATGTTGAGTTGAGTTTTAGCGTTCTGTGACCATTTAAACGAGTAGAATGACTGAATACTACGTTGGCTGTTAATACGTACTGTGAGTCGATATGATTGCCATTCGACTGTTTTTACTGTACATATAAAAATGTCTTTACTATCAAAATAAAGGCACGAAAAGCCCCAAAAAATATCTTTAAAAAAAGCCATCTGATGGCAACAACAGAATCATTTTTCTTTTAAGGTAAAAGATCAAAAACAGTCGTTTTTTTGTGGCGCGACCGGTAATCTCTCCACTGTAAACTCTAATAAAGACAGACATTTAAAAAAGCACTTAAAGTACTCAAAGACTGAAGCTCTTCCTCCATCCTCTCCTCTCCTACTTGATCCTGATCTCGAAGCAGAGACAGTTGCAGGAGTCACACTCAGGAGGCTGACAGGTGCAGGCACAGTCCCATTTGACACACTGCGGGAGAAACACACACATCACAGAGTTCACTGAGGAGAAACACAACACTTCACTACTATGATGCTTTTACACTTAAAGTCCGCTGAGCTTTCTGCCAAGGAGCACTGACACTTTACCAACAGAGAGAAACAAAGCGTGTGCCAGGGACGTCGCCTGTGTTCTGATGTGCGACTACAGTTTTTACTCCAACTGTCACATTCATTTTCCAACAGCCCATAAATAACAGATCAAATTAAGTTGAATTTATTTTATTTTACAGAAAATGTGCCAATTAAGAAGTAGAAAGTCTTACAATTAACATCGTTGTCTGTGTTTATCAACCACAACAACACGTCTCCTTTTAATTAAACTTCCTCCAGGACACTGTGGATTATTTCCAGGATATTTGGTCATTTTAGTACATTCCCATGAAATCCTAGTCTCTAAATGTCCAGGTTTTCCAGGATGCGTGGTTAAACCGTGAATGTGCTTTGTATTTAAGGTGTGTGTTTGGAGGTTACTCACAGAAGGATCAGGACACGAGTTGGAGCGACAGGAGTTGATGGTCGGCAGGCTACAGTTGCACACTTCTGCCAGTCTGAAGCACTGCTCACATACAGAAATGTCTGGACAGCAATCTCCACACTCTGAGGAACAACGGTCCTTCGGGAGAGAGAACACAGAACTCAGCATCACTGATATAAACATCGTTCTACCTGGAATACAGCAGAATATAAACCAGTTTGTATGTCTGTTGAATGATTAAAACATTTCCAGCTACTTGTGTTATAAGGAATATACAGATATGAGTCTGTTGCATGTGTGTACTGAATAAAATCCCTCTTTATTGCTTACTCAGAGAAAAGTAGAAGTCCTATGTGCCAAAAGACTAAATATAGTGTGATAACAAAAACCCCACTTTTCATTGAAATTCAGAATTTAATTGTATTATTTTATGAGCACAAATACGTTGAGATCAACAAAAGAAACGACGAATACATAATTTCAATTCTCTCTGTTTCCATGTGGATCCAGGAAGGTTCCTGAAATCATAAACACATAAAAACACACATATATATATCTGTGTATAATATATATAATAAATAATATACCTGTATAATGCTGAATGTCTTTCTAACGTAATATAATGTATAATATTGTTTTTAAGAGGGAACAAATACAAATACTCAGCAATTAAGTGCGTTTTTCTGCTGAATGATTTTATATTATTGATTTATTTGTCTGCCTTTAAGTAGATTTAATGTAATTTAATGTAATGTTCTGCTGTCTGCCTCAGTTAAACCACCAGAGGACCTTTTCACATTCTCCACACAGAGCCTCGAGTTATTATTCCACACAGTGTAATCAGGAGAAAGGTCAGTGGACCAGCAGCAACCCACCTTAAGGCAGAACCGGATCCACAGCCCAATCCCCAGAACGACCATGTAAAGGCTCAGAGTTATCATCAGCACCGCGGGGAGAGGGATGGCGAGCCCCCAGATCGGCAGCACCTGAGGACAGAGATATTATATTTATATATATTATATATCTATATTATATATATATTCTCTGAATGGTGTCCAGGTAAAAGTATTCTCACTCACTTGCATTGTCTCTTCCTGAGAGGACATCTTTAACCGTCACAGGGCTCACATCTCTGGGAATTCAAACGATCATTTCAAAAACATCGAGGTTGTTTGTGAAGATTTACGTTTCCAGGAGCAACCGATGGCTCAAACAGGAAGTCAGGAAGCAGTGAGAGACGTTTGAATCTGCACACGAGATTCATTACCAGTGAGAACAACATTGAATAACAGCGGATATGTACAAGATGCTTGATTGTTTTGAGTAAATGAGTAATGTTATATTGTTGTGCTGGTATTTTAACTCAAGAAAATGATCTAGGTTAAATTATTTCCAAAACTACGTAAGAAACAACAACATTAAGATTATTATTATTATTATTATTATTATTATTATTATTATTATTTGGACAGATATTGCGACACATTTAATTTTCACTGTGATTTGACATTTTTAGGGTCTGTAGCAAACAAACATGTTGTCTTAAATCAGGAGAACAAACATTAGTAAAGAATTAGTAGTCCAGGACATCTCTGCAGCTCTATAATATTTAATTATAACGCTGCTTTGTCTCTTATTTTAGCTTTATCAAATAACTGCAGCTTCTGAGATTTAAATATTGCACTTGGCCTTATTGAAATATCAATAATAATAACTTTAATGTCAAATATTATATCTAATAATGTAACAGTGAAAATGTGCACAGTTACTACTTTTGTTACTATAAGTACATTTATTAATATATAATAAATAATATAATAAATAATATAATATATAATAAATAATATAATATATAATAAATAATAAATAATATAATATATAATAAATAATATAATATATAATATTATAATAGTAAATCAGGACTTTTATTTCTTTGTTCTGGTGCTTTTACTTTAGAAAATTATACAGGTTAAATATTATTTACAAAACAACAACAACTAATCTAAAATAAACATCTTATTTACCGGAAACCAACCGGGGCAAGAAAATAAAAGCACGACTTCCGGTTCCGGTTCCATAGAACACACGTATATTAGCATTTAGCATTTAGCATCAGTACTTTCTAATAATCCATCAGAGTTTAAATGTTTATTAAACGATAATAAAAATGTCGGACTTTGGAATTAAATTCAGTTTAGTAAAAATAAAACAACGAGTTAATAATGTGTTTACGTTAGCTAACAATGCTAACTCCTTACCGTTCAGTTCGGTCCTTTACGTTCATTAGTAAACAATAACAACAACAATAACAACAGCAATAACAATAATATAAACACAGACGGCGGTATGTTTGAAGTAAAGTCACATTCCCGCCGTTTCTTTATCGTTAATTGTTAGAAAAAGATCGCAATCTGAGAGCTAACGGTAGCTAGCTCTGGCGGTAGCTGCGTGCGTTGCCATGGAGCCCGACGGGTCCTCAGAGGGGACAAACGGCGCGGAAAGGCGAACCGGAAAATACACTGCTGTACGGTGACGTCGTTCAGGAGAACAAAAGAGGATTTTATATAATTAAACGTAATTTTAACCCGAATTAAGTTTTAATTTTATATAAAAATGTGATTTTAATTAAAATATTTAACTTTTATTTTTAATAACGTTCCTTATATTTTATTTTTAAAGTCAAATATAAAAGTCAAACAAATATCTACACAACCTTCTTGTTTTGTATGTTCATTAACATTTATATGATACATAAATAATAAAGTTTAAATATCTCATATTGTTCTAAAATAAGATCTACAGGTTGTTTAATATTATTTTAATATAACTGCAACGGACTGAGGAACATTCACCCACACATAGAAAACAGGACATGCTCATCAACTACAGAAAGTTTATTGAACCAAACGTGGATTCTTGCAAAATAAAACTAAAACTAAAACAGGCTTGCTCTCCATCGTCTTCAGTCAGTACGAGCTGATCGTGGCTTCGATCTTTATATCAGCAACACCAACATTTATAAGTTATTGCATCATTCTACCGTAAATTAAAAAGATTCAAGTGTCCATAACCACAGGCCACACGTAGTAAGACCACTGAACGCCCCCGTTTAGCTTTAATACTTTAAATTGGCAGCAAAATAAAATAAAAGATCTGGAGAAGGAAAAAAAAGTGCCATTAAATAAAAGCAATAAAAGAGAAAGTCGCTGTCGGGACGGTGGAGCAGTCAGCGCTCTGCACAAACACCGCTCTGTAACCTGAGCAGGCCGCTGGGCGTGTAAACAACGCAGCGTGGGACACTGACGCAGACTGAAACCACCGACGTCCCTTATTTCAGCAGCCTCAACAAAAACCTCCTTCCCCTCCTCCCACCTGCAGCCACAATCACTGAGAGCTTCCTGCACCCCCCCCCACATCCCCCATGACACCACTTCACTCCAACATATGGACACTCATCATTTTATTGAAACACCTTTAAGTACAAAACAAAAAAGTTACATGAAACGGTGCCTCGTTGTGGCACAAGAACCTAAAAAGAAAATTAAAAAAGGAAATAAACGAGGGGCAAAGGGGGAAGGAGGAAGTGTGTGTGTGGCCGGGTCGTCACCACTCATCCCTGATGTTGTGTGGAGCTGCAGTGGTGCGTCTTTGAGAGAGCGAGCCTGCCCCCTGGTGTCGAAGGGGGGCAACGGTGTTACAGAGTCCCATGTTTGTCAGAGGTAATTCACGTGTTAGCTAATAGGAGCTGGTGGGGCTGCGAGGGGGGAGAGAAAGAGCAACAGCAGCACATAAGAGGAAGGGGGGAGGAGAGGGGTTGGGGGGGTTGTTTAATGGCCTTCTAGGAGAGAAGGGGGGAGAGGGCTGCTAGCAGCTTCTAGAAGCCGTGGACTTTGAGCTGCTCCTCCTTGGCCAGGTCAACCTACGAGAGAACAAAGGGATCAGTTAATGAAGATGACCTCTGACCTCAGCACACATTAAAAACAGGAACAACAACCCGACAGACGGTGCTGTGAAGAAGAAGAAGACCTACCTCCATGATGAACTGGCAGATATTCTTACGCTGGTCTCCCTGAAGCTGGATCACTTCACCATACTCTGGGTGCTCAATCACTGTCCCATTGCACGCAAATTTCTGTGGGAGTGAAAGAGAGAAGAGTTGGGACCAGAACGCCATAAACAACAACAACAACAACAACAACCGCCACCAGTAACACAAACACTGTCTGTCTCTGGGTCTGCACCTTCTTGAAGGCCTTGACTAGCTTCTTCTTGTCATAGTCGGCGGCAATGCCCTGAACAGTGGTGAGGGTCTTCCTGCCGTTCCGCTGTTGGATTCTTATGTGGATGTAGTCCTCAGTC